GGGCTGGGGCAACAGGTGGGAACGAGGACAACATCTGCTGCTGGATTGCAATGGCCTGCATGGTCATCTGCTGGGCCTACAGCACAGAAAGACACAGCGTTACCAACAATCACATCCATTTTACTGTCAGATAAAACCTCGCCCCTTGTGAAAACGTCAATGACCCCTCATCAAATCCTAAATTATTCAAATTATTGTTAGAAATTATTATCAAGTCACAACCTGAACCTGGAAAAGTGGCATGAAATGGATGGATGGATGGATAGATAGCTGATGGATGATGGTAGATAGATGATGGATGGATGGCTGAATGGGTGGAAGGATGGATGGATGGATGGATGGATGGATGGATGGATGGATAAATGGATGGATGGATGGATGGATGGATGGATGGATAAATGGATGGATGGATGGATGGATGGATGGATGGATAGATTGATGGATGGATTGATGGATAAATGCATGGATGGATGGATGGATGGATGATGAATAAATGGATAAATGAATGGATGGATGGACGGACGGACGGACGGATGGATGAATTAATCAATGATGGATGGATGGATGGATGGATGATGAATAAATGGATAAATGAATGGATGGATGGATTGATGGATAAATGCATGGATGGATGGATGGATGGATGGATGATGAATAAATGGATAAATGAATGGATGGATGGACGGACGGACGAATGGATGAATTAATCAATGATGGATGGATGGATGGATGGATGGATGGACAATTACCAGGAATGCTGAGTTAATTTTCACCAGCCACAGTCACTTCAATAGCACCTGTCTGACGATATCAAGTATGCTAAAAGATCCCAAAAAGCCAAACATCACACCCTGTTTTGGAAAAATCCAAGATGTTCTAGTCTTTAAAGCCTCATTTAGCCCAAACGTGGATTTATTTAAGTGTTTAGCTTCATTGTAACTCAGCATATGAACAGTTGCATATAATCAGGGAGTTGCTGTGGGACGGTGTATGTCTCACCAGAATAATAGCTTGCTGGTTGATGATGGCCTGTTGCTCATGAGTCAGTACCGCCTGCTCCATTCCTGAATAAAAAAAGAAGAGACATCTGTCAGATGACAAAAATGATGAAATGATGTTGGGGAACAACATAAAACTCAATGTCCACTACAAATAAACTCGATAAATCCATGCGCTTTAAAAATCACACATCATCAACTTCGATCTAAAAGTCCACCATGCCCACTCACTTTAGGCCAAACATGCTGGAAACTCTACCGCTCACTCTTTGTGTACCTGGCATACCTGTCGTCACAGGTAAGCCTGGAATGGCAGGCATGGTTGGGCGTGGGGAAACGGTCGGCACACCTGGTACAACACTGACACGGGGTGTATCGGAGTCTCTGACAGTTTGAGGGACGGCTTTGGGCTTAGTAGCAGGGGGGCGGGATGGTAATGGAGCGGGTGCTACAAAGGAGGCGGGAGTGGCTTTAGAGGAGGTTGGCTGTTTGTAGGGCTGGTTGTACTGGTGGTACTCTGGTGGTGGCTGTTCTTGCTCTTGTGGTGGTTGTTCTTGTTGTTTTTGTTGCTGGTGTTGCTCGTGGTGATAGTGATGGGAAGGGACTGGCATTGTTGGGATGGGAGGCATCATCCCACCTGCTACTGGCAGCACTGGAACAGCTTAAGAAGCAGTGGGCAGGTAAAAGGACAAGAGTCAGGACCGGAGTCACGTGGTAAACCATGAAATTCATTAGCAATGATTGTCTCCACCCACAGTCCAGCAAGGCACCATCTACTGTTATAAACACAACATGGAGACTAGTATTAGTATCAGCACCTCTCTGACAGCATGATGGGAGTATCTAAAAATGACAGCGTCTTCACTAATACCATGCAGACGCACACCTATCTGGAATAATCCTGATATTTTGCAAAATAACCAAATGATGAACCTTCCGGACTGGAAAAATAAAGGGATCCTATACCTGGAACACATATATGAAGGATTGGACTTCATCCCATTTAATCGAATAGTCTCCCAATTTGGAATAGATAAGAATAGCTTTTTAGAATACCACCTAATTAAATCTGTAGTCAAACAAAAATTTAAGCTCAATAAAAATAGAATTACAAACACCACCAAGGGTATTTGACTTCTATAATCTCACCCCCCCCCCCCCAAACTACTGTCTAAAGTATATTAGACACTGTCCAAAATAGACGATAAAATTGCAATCCCTATTGAAAAATGGGAGGTGGATCTATCAGTCAGCTTTGACCAGAACTTCTGGTTCCAAACTTGTTTAAAAACTTTTAAAATGATCAGACACCCCAATTTACAATTAATTCTGTACAAAATTCTGCACAGAGTACACTATACAGGTCATCAGATGTTCAAGATGGGGTTTGTGTCGTCTGACACCTGTACACAGTGCACAAATAACATTCCTGACAATTACATTCACACACTGTGGTCCTGTCCACCTGTCCAGGAATTTTGGGGTAGAGTATGTGAAGATCTGTCAAAGTGTCTGAAATGTCATTTCCCAACTTCCCCCTCTCTTTGTTTACTGGGAAACCTGGACGATGTCCCGATTGAAACATCTTTGGTTCACGTGCTTCAGACTACTGCCATATGCATCGCTAAGAAAACTATCCTCTTGAATTGGAAAAATAGAGAAACTCTGCATTAACCAGTATAGAAATCTTTTGTTAGATCATATTACACTTGATTTAGCCTCTGCTTCCACTTCAAATCAACGCAAATCTGTGGTCCCTCACACTCTCTATTGGACGCTTTTATAGAGAAACCTTACATAAACAAGCGCGTGTACACACACAGGTGCTCACATGGTGCTCTCAAAAGTATGGGCTTGGGCACGTTCAACACATGTCTTAAGGCTGTCGTTGCCACTAAATGCACTATGATTTATTATCGTGTGATTGTTCAGTCAAACAATGTTGATTTTATATTTCATCATCAGGCTGACACAGTGATAGCTTGCTCCTGTTGTATTGTTGTGTGTCCCATTTTTTTCTATTCTTTCTCCTTCTGCAGGTCTAGAAGCAGACTCTTGTTCATTATTGTTTATTTTTCACACACACACACACACACACACACACACACACACACACACACACACACACACACACACACACACACACACACACACACACACGCACAAGCACACACACACACACACACACACACACACACACACACACACACACACACACACACACACACACACACACACACACACACCAAGTAGTGTTTCTATGGTTACATTGTGATTTCTTAGTAAATATTCTATTTGGTGAGAGATAAACTTTATTGTATTTATCCTAGTGAATCTGTAATTAAACGGGTAAACTAGTAGTAGCACATTCAGTGTCAAGAAAAGTAAAGTGTTATTATCAGGAGAGGGAGGATGTTTAAGTGGTTAGCAGAAGTGTGCTAGACGATGGCCCCCTCCATGAGGCCACCACAGCTCAGCAGAACATCATTGTAGCTTTTTCTGGGGAGAAAAACACTTAAAGAAAAAATAAAGTTAACAGCTGAAATAGCAGGAAATAATGCAGTTAAAGAGCACATTGTAGAAGAAAATAGTCGAGTGTGGAAAGTGGTTAGTACATCCTTCAGCAGTCTAAGCCTATAGCAGCATAACTACAGAGATTAATCTGGATAACCTAGCCTTTTAGATGGAGGCATGTTGGAGGCAGGGCAAGAGAGTGCCGTCTTTACCGACTGTATTCTCCACCTCCCTCTACTCCCCCACTTGTCCAGATCTGGGCTAACATCAGATTTTAACCATAGGCCCTATCAAAAAAATATGTACAACTAATCTAGCCTAGAAATCCAGACAACCCATATCGGTAACAAACAGTTTTGCTTCACGGGTCGGTCTAGCCACGCTCCATTGTAGCCTCAGCAGGTCTATCATTGGCCTGACCAATTTAGGTTGGGCCAATCACAGCTCTCCATGTTCATAGACAGATGTTGGGCACGAAGCACCAGAGCTGCAACAAAGAAAAACTGCAACGATACTGTCAGCTCAGGAATGGCGCTTAGGGTGACTAGTTGTCCCGCTTTGTGCGGGACAGTCCCCATTTTCATTACTTTTCACGTGTCCCGCAAATTGCGACTCATGTCCCCCATTATTGACAGTTTCACGTTTCGAGTTTCAATCTTATAGAAGAAACTGTGGAGAAATCTGTCTGTTGCTGTCAATCAAACAGAGGCGGGACTTTATCACAGATCCAGAGCGTGTGGAGCGCACCCGAACCGCCAAAACAAGCGTGAGAGAGCACGGAGGAGAAAATGCTGTAAACTCGTGAATTAAACGTGTTCAGAGATACTCGACAGAGTCTTTGTTGTTTCTGAGTCATTCTTTCATGTCTCAGCACAGAGTCTGATATGAAGAGTCAAAAGCAGGTTTTCCATTAATTAGACAGGTCCATGATAAACACAATGGAGGCTCTAACACAGACAAGGTGCTGCGGTTTCAGATACCTGCACACATGCTGAGCCCCTTACAGCACAGTAAAGAATTAATGAGAATAAATGGAAGCTTTGATCACGCATTCTCAGACATTTGAGTCGCTACAGTTATGTTGTGGTTACGTGAGAAAAACTGAATAGTAAAGCTTTTGCTGTATGCTTGTTCATGTTGAATTCAAATAAAATACATACAAGAAATGTATGATGATAAGAATAATAATCATTTTATATATATGTAACATTGATGTTAGGGCTGAAAGGCAGAACTACTTTGGAACTTCAGGTTGTCCCACATTGAGTAGTCTTTGTCCCACATTTGGCAAGTTGGGATCTGGTCACCCTAATGGCGCTCGTTTGAAATGGAGTTAGCTCTTTGGACAATTTAAAATCTGGCTTTTCTCTGAGAAATCTCCTCTAGTTCAAAAAAGGAGGTCTTTGCTTTTTCACGGTGTATGTCGAAATTTCCTGTAGACTGATTTCTGTAGCAAAGATCAAGTTGTGTTGTTCATTGCTCTGATTGGTCCAAATTTTATCCAACAGCTTGTAGAGACTATTTGAAAGACAAATAGGTCTTAGGTGAAGGGTGAGACAAAGAACGGTTCAGAAGATCTTTCATGGACGTAAAAACAAAGAGTCAGTGTACCCGGCCCGGAGGGTTACCAGGGTCCCACCCTGGAGCCAGGCCTGGGGTTGGGGTCCGTGAGCGAGCACCTGGTGCCCGGGCTTTCGCTCATGGGGCCCGGCCGGGCCCAGCCCGAACCAGATACATGGGCTTATCCAACTGTGGACCCACCACCCGCAGGAGGAACATGACGGGTATGGTGCAGTGTGTGGCAGACCGAGGCGGGAGCCTTGGCAGTCTGATCCCTGGACAAGGAAACTGGTTTTTGGGACATGGAACGTAACCTTGCTGGCAGAGAAGGAGCAGGAGCTTGTGGCAGAGGTTGACCGGTACCGGCTAGATATAGTCGAACTCACCTTGACACATAGCATTGGCTCTGGAACCCAAGTCCTTGAGAGGGGTTGGACAGTCTCCTTTGCTGGAGTTGCTCCGGGTGAGAGGCGGAGGGCTGGAGTTGGCTTTTTGTTAGCCCCAAGACTTTCTGCCTGTGTGTTGGGGTTTACCCTGGGGGACGAGAGGGTAGCTTCCCTGCACCTTTGGGTCGGGGAATGGGTCCTGACTGTTGTTTGTGCTTATGCGCCAAATATCATTTCAGATTACCCACCCTTTTTGGAGTCCCTGGGATGAATGCTAGATAGTGCTCCATCAGGGGATTCCATTGTCCTGCTGGGGGACTTCAATGCTCATGTGGGCAATGACAACATGACCTGGAGGGGTGTGATTGGGAGGAACTGCCTGCCTGATCTGAACTCGAGTGGTGTTTCGTTATTGGACTTCTGTGTAAGCCGCAGTTTGGCCATAACAAACACCATGTTTGAACATAAGGATACCCATCCGTACACTTGGTACCAGGGCAGCCTAGGTCGCAGGTCGATGATAGACTTTGTAGTCGTATCATCTGACCTGCGGCCGTATGTTTTGGACACCCGAGTGAAGAGAGGAGCGGAGCTGTCAACTGATCACCACCTGGTGGTGAGTTGGATCAGATGGCAGGGGAAGACGCCACATAGACCTGGCAGACCCAAACGCATAGTAAGGGTCTGCTGGGAACGCTTGGTAGAAGAACCTGTCAAGACGGTCTTCAACTCCCACCTCCGGCAGAGCTTTCACCATGTCCCGAGAGCAGTGGGGGACATTGACTCCGAGTGGACCTTGTTCCACTCTGCGATTGTTGAGGTGGTTGTTGAGAACTGTGGTCGCAAGGTGGCCAGTGCCAGTCGTGGTGGCAACCCCCGTACCCGCTGGTGGACATCAGAGGTTCGGGGAGTTGTCAGGCTGAAGAAGGAGGCCTACAGGGTGTGGCTGGTCTGTGGGTCTCCGGAGGCAGCAGACGGGTACCGGATAGCCAAGCGAGGTGCAGCAGTGGCAGTTGCTGAAGCAAAATCTCGGGCGTGGGAGTTTGGTGAGGCCATGGAGAAAGACTATCAATCGGCACCAAAGAGGATCTGGCAAACTGTCCGGCGCCTCAGGAGAGGGAGGCAGCAACTCGCTCACACTGTTTACAGTGGGGAAGGGGAGCTGCTGACATCAACTGGGGCTATAGTCGGGAGGTGAAAGGAATACTTTGAGGAGCTCCTCAATCCCACCTTTGCGCGTTCCGAGGAGGAGCCAGAGCCGGGAGACCAGGGGATGGACTGTCCAATCTCTGGGGCAGAAGTTGCTGAGGTAGACAAACAACTACACAGCGGCGGACCCCGTGGGTGGATGAGATTCATTCTGGGTATCTCAAGGCTATGGATGTGGTAGGGCTGTCATAGTTGACACGTCTCTGCAACTCTGCGTGGTCATCGGGGCAGTTCCTGTGGAGTGGCAGACCGGGGTGGGGGTCCCCATCTTTAAGAAGGGTGACCGGAGGGTGTGTGTTCCAACTATAGGGGGATCACACTCCTCAGCCTCCCTGGAAAGGTCTACTCCAAGGTACTGGAGAGGAGGGTCCGATCGATAGTTGAATCTCAGATTGAGGTGGAGCAATGTGGTTTTCGTCCTGGCCGTGGAACTGTGGACCAGCTCTATACCCTTGCAAGGGTGATGGAGGGAGCATGGGAGTTTGCCCAACCAATCCACATGTGTTTTGTGGATTTGGAGAAGGCTTGTGACCGTGTCCCCAGGGGCACCCTGTGGGGGGCGCTCCAGGAGTATGGGGTGGGTGGCCTTTTGTTAAGGGCCACTCAGTCCCTTGACCAGAGGAGCGTGAGTTTGGTTGGCATAGCCGGTAGTAAGTCGGACCTGTTCTCGGTGAAGGTTGGACTCCGTCAGGGCTGCCCTTTGTCACTGGTTCTGTTCATCACTTTTATGGACAGAATTTCTAGGCGCAGCCGTGGTGTGGAGTGTGTCGAGTTTGGTGGCAGGAGAATCTCGTCTCTGCTTTTTGCGGATGATGTGGTTCTCCTAGCTTCATCCAGCTCTGACCTTCAGCTCTTGCTGGGTAGGTTCATGGCCGAGTGTGAAGCGGCTGGGATGAGGACCAGCACCTCCAAATCTGAGACCATGGTTCTCGACTGGGAAAGGGTGGTTTGCCAACTCCGGGTCGGGAGAGAGGTCCTACCTCAAGTGGAAGAGCTTGAGTATCTCGGGGTCTTGTTCAAGAGTGAGGGTAGGAGGGATCGGAAGATTGACAGGCGGATTGGTTCAGCGTCTGCAGTGATGCGGACGCTGAGCCGATCTGTCATGGTGAAGAGGGAGCTGAGCCAGAAAGCCAGGCTCTTGATTTACCGGTCGATCTAAGTCCCAGTCCTCACCTTTGGTCATGAGCTTTGGGTAATGACCGAAAGAACGAGATCGTGAATACAAGCGGCTGAAATGAGTTTCCTCCGTAGGGTGACCGGACTCAGCCTTAGAGATAGGGTCAGGAGCTCGGACATTCGGGAGGGACTGGGAGTAGAACCGCTGCTCCTCAGGATCGAAAGGAGTCAGTTGAGGTGGTTTGGGCATCTGGTCAGGATGCCTCCTGGACGCCTCCCTGGGGAGGTGTTTCGGACATGTCCTGCCGGCAGGAGGCTCCCGGGTCGACCCAGGACATGTTGGAGAGGTTACATCTCCAATCTGGTTCGGGAACGCCTTGGGGCCCTGCCGGAGGAGCTGGTGGAGGTGGCCGGGGAGAGGACAGTCTGGAGCTCCCTAGTTGGGATTCTGCCTCCGCGACCCGGACCCGGATAAGCGGAGGAAGACGACAACGACAACTTTACATTCTGCCCCATTACTGAGCTCTCTATGAGTCCCGGTCAGACTATATATATATATATATATATATATATATAGGACGGCTTGCTAGGCTAAGTGACTTTAAGGGTCAACCCACTACACGAGAGTGAGTCCGATCTGATATTCTCAACCAGTGTTAAGTGGTGGAAACATCAACCCTGTCTGACTCATGGATATTAGCAGAACTCACAAAGTAATCATTAGATTTACATCTACAGGTAAGATTAGCTTAAACCAATTCAAGATGGCTGCCATAGCCAACTGACCTTAGACCTTAAGTTATTTTGAAATCGAGAGAAATTCCTACCGTCATAAATATTTGTAAAAAATACTTTTTTCCTTTGGAAGCAAATGACAACAAGTTAGAATGTAATAATTTATCATTTTTGCACAAAATACATTACAAGAAAAACAGAGCAGCCAAACAATGTAAGAGAGCAATAGCAACAGAAATAACAATGACTAATGCTTACTGGGCAGAGGCCCTTTTGTTATAGCAGATGACTGTTTGTGTATTATTTATGAAGCCAGAGTGCCCATTACAGCTTCTAAACAGCAGATCAAAGTTGATGAACTGTGGGCTCAGATACTGGATCCAGCAAAGAGTAAATTAGGTAAAAATATGGAAATAATCTCATTTTACTATTCATTAAGACATGATTAAAAATCCTGGAATTTTCTAATAGTTTTTTCCACACCTCTGACAAACTCCTCTTAATTTTAACCCTAATAAATATTAGACCAGAATGTCTTCAAATTGGTGTTTTTTTCCCCACAAAAGTTCAGTATGAGCTGAAAAATGTGAAAAGGGCATGAACTGTCTATTAATACGACAGTATGGAGAAAGATTTAGGATCTACTTAGATCAGGATGAATAATTGATGCAGAGAGAGAGAGAGAGAGAGAGAGAGAGAGAGAGAGAGAGAGAGAGAGAGGAGCAGAAAGAAAACAATGTTTTATTAAGCGCCTCTCAAGATAAAAATCACGAGTCACTTCACAAAAACAAAAAAATGAAAGTATAAAAAAGATTTTAAAAAATGATTCAAAATATGTTGAAAATGAGAAAATAATTAAAATTGTGATTAAAAAATGTAAGGAAAGGGAGAGAGAAAACGAACAGGAAAGAGGGAAATCAGTGGATCCCGGGAAAGGTGGAATCGGAGCAGAGCCAGTAGGAAGTTGGAAAAAAATCTGGAAGACCAGAGAGGACATCTATAGACTTTTGAGAAAGCAAACAAGATTCCAAGCTCAAAGTTTTACCTCCAGGGTGAATTCCAGGAGGATAAGGTCTGGTGGGAGATGTGTGACCCTGCCCCTCTCCTCGTCCTCCTCCAGAGACGCCCACACCTCCTCCTCCCTTCATTCTCGCTGACAAACTTGCGCGCTCCATGTTCTGGCAGACAGAGACGACCAGAATTAAAATTTATCAAAAGGCATGAAGCAGAAGAAGTGTGAAATCTAGAAGAACATAGAGGGGCTTTAGAGCAGATGTATCCAGACCTTTACTGAGGGAGTAATAGAGCTGCAGGAACTGAACACCCTCCAGGAAGTACCATACACCCTGTAGGTGATGCTCCACATGCAAACCCAACTCACACATCTGCTGTGGCAATGTTCCAACCTAACATCAAGTTGTGATTTCTGTTTTTCAGCCTGCAAACAGACTGCTGCAACAGGAAATTCAGGGACAAGTCAAGCTAAATATCATCAAAAGGAAATAAGGAAAAAGGTCGAACATGTTATCCCCAACGTTGATGTTAAAACTAAAGAGCTTCAGAGAAAAGTGTCCAAAATCTATCAAACTGATCCACAAAACTGTTTTTTTGTAATTATTAGGTTGTTTTCTGTGTTTTTTAAACTTGCGTTCCACATATAAACACGTTACAGTCATTATGGAAAGTAAATGTGGGCCGCCTGTTGTTACGGTTAAATACGGTAGGTCATTCGGTAACCTAATCACCCTTCTTGTCCTCTCCATTCACACACTAACAGAGACAATGGATCACATCCTCCAACCAGCCGTCAACAGCTGCATCCATCCTCTCTGGGACAAAGCGAGTGATGCGTTCAGGGTCTCGGTTGACCTGAGCAACAGTGAGATGTTCCGATGAACTGGGATGTTTGCGAATGACCCACTTTGTGAATACTCACTGTGCTGCTGTCGGACAGCACCGGGTCAAACAGGCTGTCCAGGTACCGATCCATTCCTCTCTGAGTCTGACTGTCACTGAACCCATCTGACTCTGCTGGAAGCAAACCACAAGGGGTTTTGAACACCGTTAAAACAGTTTCATAATTCATATGCAGAGATTCAGGATGGGTAAGTGTGTCTCTATTATGGATTTTTGGTTTCTGTAATCCAAAGTGTGGCCTGGGGGCCATTAGCAGCCCTTTGAGTGACTTTGTGTGGCCTCCACTTGCAGATTGTTGATGTAGATCAGTGCTTTTTAAACACATTCATATTTTTACTACTGAGTCAATTTAAGCCAATTCTTTAAGTAGTACAAACAGAAAAAGTCACCACAACTTGAATTATCCTATTTTGTGAAGAAAAAAATATCACATTTTTGTGGCTCATAAGATTTTTAACTTAGTGTACACCCCTGCTGTAAGCTGCGTCCTACCGGGCCTTTCCACTGGATGTGTAAGCGTCGCAAAACGTCACAAAACATCTGCTAAACATCTGCAATTAGCTACTGGATAGGTGTGTTTTCACCGGCTGCAATGTTTTGTGTTTTGCAAGTGTCACAGAAGCGTAGGGACGCAGTGCTCATGCTTGGAGTTATAGAAAGCCAACTTGGACAAAATAACGCCTTCTAAAAGTTGTTGTTTTTTACATGCATTTTGGGGCAGTACAAGACCCACGTAAAACCGACATCTCTTAACTCATTCACTGTCAATGACAACTAAAGTCGTCATTTGCATGTTTTTACTGTGTGGGCGTCGGAACGAGTCCCCGCACAGTGAGAACAAACATCTCAGCTCTGAAGCCGATCCTCTACTGCATACGTAACACGTCACATGATCAGGAAGCAGAACATCCATGTGTTAGGAGATCGTTTTGGGCCGCTGCTGTAAAAAAAAACTGAGACGCAAACCGGAAAAGCTTCTGCCGATCACAATTCAACAATGGATTATGAAAGAACGATAAAGCTCGAAACGCACAGATTTTTCCTGATGTAAGAGGTGAGTCTCCGCTTTGTTTTGGTTGTTTTGGCGTCTACATCATCCTAGCGCGCAACGTTCTGTGACTCTTAAAAACTCCCAGTAAAAACAGTGAGAAATGCTGGCAGCGAGTGAGTTAAAGGCATTATTTTGTCCCCCTTGGCTTTTCATACTGGATCTATTTTCTATGCACCAGACTTATGTTTATGTATTTAGCAGACGCTTTTGTCCAAAGCGACTTACAAGTGATAATCGGCATATTGCCCTTGAGGCTAACAACAACAATAACAACAACAACATTGACATCAGTCATGGAGAGGAGGGAACAAGGAGTGGACAGTAGAGAGGGGGACGGGTGCAGGGAGGGTGCTAGTTTAGAAGATGCTCTCTGAAGAGCAGGGTCTTCAGGAGTTTCTTGAAAATTGAAAAGGAAGCTCCTGTTCTGGTAGTGCTTGGAAGGTCATTCCACATTTGTGGAACGATGCATGAGAAGAGTCTGGATTGTCCTGAGCGTGGTGTAGGCACTGCTAGCCGACAATCCTGTGATGACCGGAGCGGCCGGGCCGAGACGTAAGCCATTGCAAAAGGATTCAGGTAGATGGGAGCCGTACCATCTCGGACTTTGTATGCTAGTGTTAGCTATTTGAATTTGATGCGTGCTGCTAGCGGTAGCCAGTGGAGCTCAATGAACAGAGGGGTGATGTGTGCTCTTTTTGGCTGATTGAAGACCAGACGCGCCGCTGCGTTCTGGACCATTTGAAGAGGTCTCACCGTACAGGCTGGAACACCAGTTAGAAGGGCATTGCAGTAATCGAGGCGGGAGATGACAGTAGATTGCACCAGGAGCTGGGTGGCATGTTGTGTTAGGTATGGTCTGATCTTTCGTATGTTATACAACGCAAAGCGGCATGAACGAGCAACAGAGGCAACATGATCTTTAAAGGTCAGGTGTTCATCAATCACAACACCCAGATTTCGAACTGCCTTTGAAGGAGCCAGAGATATGAAGTCATTCTGGATTGAGATATTGTGCTGTATGGATGGTTTTGCTGGGATGACAAGTAGTTCAGTTTTAGAGAGGTTGAGATGGAGATGGTGGGATTTCATCCATTTTGATATGTCAGAGAGACAGTTTGATATTCGTGCAGACACGGTGTGTCATCCGGTGGAAATGACAGATAGAGCTGGGCGTCGTCTGCATAGCAGTGGTAGGAGAAGCCATGTGATCGAATGATCTCACCCAGTGAGGTGGTGTATATGGCAAAGAGAAGAGTTCCTAGTATAGAGCCCTGGGGGACTCCTGTGGCAAGATGGTGCACGGTAGATGATTGTCCAAGCCAAGATACACCAAATGATTGTCCTGTGAGGTACGATTCATACCAGGCGTGTGCTTTCTCTGTGATGCCCATGGTAGAGAGTGTGGACAAAAGGAAGCCATGGTTGACGGTGTTAAATGCTGCTGATAAGTCGAGCAAGATAAGCACTGAGGATTTGGCAGTCGCTCTAGCTTCCAGAACATGTCAAGCTCAGCAGTGCAAATTGTGCCAAACAGGAAATCAAACACAAAACCAGTGTAGAACATCTGGAAACTTTCAAAATAAAATTCACATACAGCTTTTCAGTTGCTCCACTTGTAAAAAAAAAAAGTACATCATTACCTGTAAAACCTTCGCAGCCGAGGTAAACAGAACAGAAAACAAACCACACTGCCGTTTTTCTCTCTTCTTGTTATCATGCGAACTGCAGGTATCACATGTGGTCTTGCACTTCTCCAGGCTTTACGTGACCTTGTGGGTCCTGCTGCGTGAAATGCTTTGCTGCTGCTTGGCGTCTCAAATGCTCCCGGTGGGAAAGGAGTTCGTTAGTAAAATGAGTTTATTACCTTTCGCACCGCTTACTAGTCCAGTGGAAAGCTGTGGTTGTTACTACTTATAGCTTTGGTGTTTTCTGAGCTTTATCGAATCATTTTGACACACACACACACACACACACACACACACACACACACACACACACACACACACACACACACACACACACACACACACACACACACATTTGTATGCTTGCGTGGATCTCCATTGACTTCCATTCATTTTACTGACTCCACTATGTCTAGATTTTTAGGGAAAACAAGTCAACAAAAAAGTAGATCCATCTCAAATGTATAGCTGTGTTTGAGAGCTTGTTAGAAAAGTACCCACAGATTTCAAACACGACTTCTTGCCACCGCATAAAGTCTAGAAAAGGTTGTTTTTGTTTGTTTTTTATAAATAGATTTTCAGAAGTGTTCTTTTTAATCCTGCTCAACTTTGAAACATCCCAGTTACAAATGAATGTTCTAGTGTCTGAGGATCTCTGAAGGTGTTTTCATGCTCGCCATACAAATAAAATAAATCAGGTGTGAGTACCGTGGCTGTAGTAGCCTTCAGAATCAGGCAGACTGTAAGCTGGTCTGCTGCTGAGAGGAGAGGAAGATGGAAGCTCCTCGTCTGACTCAAAGCCACCTCCAAACAAAGCACTGAGAGAGGAGAGAAAAACAGTCTGCTTTTTAAATCTCCACCTTTCAAATGCTCTGCTGATGTGATGTCTCTGGGTGTATTCTGCTCACTGACAGGCTGGCATTCGCTCTGACTTTAGCTGGGTTATCAGAGCTGATGATGAAGTAACTCTTTTGCTTCGGGAAGTCTATAGGAAGCTCCAGGTCTGCTATCAGGTCCAGCACATAGTCATGGCCCGCTAATTCCACCAACTGGCTGGGCTCCTTCATCAGAATTGAACTCCCCTTCCACCAGTCAGACACTCCTCTGCCAAATCACACAAGATCTTCATGCTTGATGATGAGTAAAATCCAAAAACTACCTACCTATCGTATTTGATTGTGTTTGTGCTACAAAATAAAATGGAAAACCAAGATCTACACGTGACTAAATGCAGAAAAGGGGAGATTATTTAATTATCGTCACCTGTGACGCAGGATGTGTCCCGCTAGATCTTCTCCACTGGTCCACGAATGCACCGGACAAAGGAAAGAACCCCCTGCAGAAACAAGCACACTGCTTTACTGCTGCTTTAAAAACGACACCAGTTGTTTAGAGTTTAGATGCACACTCTTTGTGGTGTGCACAAATGAAGACAAATGGGCTTAAGGTCTAATTACCTGACTCTGACTGGCAATGAATAATCAATGATCAGGTAATCAGACTGTCAATGATCCTGCCAACTAAAAGTAATGAAAGGCAGTTCTTTGTGCTTTTGTTTCAAAGCATTTATTAAAAATGTCTTTTTCCCATTTGTTTTAACAGTTTAAAGCTATAAACAAAGATCCGTGTGTCTCATAGCTGCCTGAAGTGAGATAGCTACATTAGCTACCAAACTAATGAGCTACCATTACAATGAGTAGGTGTGTTATGTTAATAATTCTGTCAGAAAAGGTGCCAACAGTGGATTTTTATCATTGTTTGACAGCATCCATTGTGCCTGGCTTAGTGGGGGAGCCTGAAGAAAGAAAGAAAGAAAGAAGTTGGACCTTTGAAAAATGTTTTCTGAAACTATAGATTTTCCATTAAATCCCAGCCAAACATTCTAACCCGGCTTACGCGTCAGGGTAATTGTCTTGATTTTTGACCTGGTTCACCCCATCAGACAATCTTAAGGAAACATTGATTATCATAACGACTCTTAAGATGATTTTATCAGATATGCTTACCATGTGTAGTGTGTAGAGATTGATCTGGTTCACTCTGAATCACTTTAGGACAACTCATCATAAATTAGGGCTATCAAAATATAGGATGATTTTGGTCCGACTTTCGAGGACAAACATGCTGCCTCTTGAATCTGACATTTAAAGTGACATCAAAGACATTCAGAAAACAAAGTGACAAAAACCCACTGCATGCTCATCCTTCGCCATGTTTGTTTATTCAGAGGTCACATTTGATTTAACAAGATTTCCCGTCTGACCTGGAAATGTTAATGTGTGAAATCAATAGTGTGTAATTTTTGACACAAGGCCAGATACCACACACTGTAGGATCAAAACGGTCTCTGAGACATTTATTTTTTTATTGCCACGCGTGTGGTCTCTTGCAAAATCATCTGACAATTTAAGAATCCTGCGTTGAGACACGGGCCTTAGTGGACTCTCTGACTAATGCCACCTACAAACTAGCATCGGCTACACTCCACTCCGTGCAGCATGCCCCAGGCTGGCCACGTTCTTTCCACACTGTCTTAGGTATGCGGACGTGATGGAGCAGATCGGGTTCTCCAAAATTGGTGTGAAAAATGATACCAGTGATGTCATGAGCGCATCTCCGAGCACGTGGGCAGGGGGAAAGAGAGTAGACAAGTCTGATATTGCGAAAATTGTGTGTGTGTGTGTGTGTGTGTGTGTGTGTGTGTGTGTGTGTGTGTGTGCGCTCCTCACAGCAGTGAGAGACGGAGAAAAACGGCTTCAATCAGAGTCTTGTTAACTCCACAGCATCCAGAACAATAATAAATTGCGCATGCGGGAAGCCACCGCAGGCTGATTCTATCTGCCAATAGGAGGCTCCCATTAATTGTAGGCTTGATTTTGAGCGGGTCAATCAGTCAGCAGTGGGTGTGTTGGACCAGTTTGGCTCCAGTCACACCTCCTCGGGAAAAGGGCTGAAAAGACGTCCAGTTGCGCGCAGAAAAATCCAAGTCTACCCAAATGAGAACACTCCAAACCTGGTCTAGACGGAGTAGAGCCGATGTTAGCGTGTAAGGGCCATATCAGGCCCCAATATGTTCTCAATGCTAATTAACCCCTCAATCTAAATACGGATGTGTTGTAAAGCTATGTAATCCATGTTTCTCTACTCCCTCTTCACCCACCACTGCAGATCTGCACATAATCCCAACATCATCAAGTTTGCAGATGACTCCACAGTGATTTGTGAGATCAAGAACAACCAGAAGGCGAAGCTCTCGATTTTACCGGTTGATCTACGTCCCTACCCTCACCGATGGTCATGAGCTTTGGGTAGTGACCGAAAGAACGATATCGCGGATACAAGCGGCCAAAATGAGTTTTCTCCAAAGAGTGGCTGGGCTCTCCCTTAGAGATAGGGTGAGAAGCTTGGTCATCCGGGAGGGGCTCGGAGAAGACCTGCTGCTCCTCCACATCGAGAGGAGCCAGTTGAAATGGCTCGGGCATCTGGTCAGGATGCCTCCTGGGCGCCTCCCTGGTGAGGTTTTCCGGGCACGTCCAACTGGGAGGAGGCCTAAAGGTAGACCCAGGACACGTTGGAGGGACTATGTCTCCAGGGAACTCTTTGGGATTCCCCCAGAAGAGCTGGTCCAAGCGGTTGGGAAGAGGGAAATCTGGGCCTCTCGACATAGGCTACTGCCCCCGCTACCAGACTACAGATAAGCGGTTAAAAATGGATGGATGGAAGAACAACCAGTTGCCTGGAAATGGGGTGTGACGACATAATCTGCTACCAACAAAACCAACAGAACTACGGAGCTCATAACGAACGTCAGGAGGAACGTTGATGATTATCCACCTATCAACATCAAAAGCATGAAACCGAAGCTCTTGATATTAGAATAAACCTACATTTGGTCGTCACATACTTGTGAAATGGCGATAAGACTGAATCTGAATTATTGTCGGCATCCCCTAAAGTACAGTTGGTATTTTTGTTTTTCTTACAAGAAATTAAATAAAATGTGTCTCTCACCATCAAAACAGTGCACATGCAACACCATGTTAGCCTTCTTCCTATTGGCTGTCCACTCCAGCAGTGAGAGTGGATAGGTCCGTGCTGTTTCAGGGCTGGAGCCAGAGCTTAGATGCATCTTCTGATTGGCTTGAATGAGTCTGTGCTGAAGTAACGCTTGACAACCTGCAGGAGCGTGGTCCGATACAAACCTAAAACACAAACGTCAAATCTGGTAACAACCCTCTTTAAGGCCCCTTCCCCCAAAGATCTCCTCTGGTTTGATTGGATAGCTGAATGTTTAGAAACACCTTAAAAGTGACACGGCTGCTAGTTTGCTGAACGTTTAGAAAACTGGTCACCATGTGTGCCCACTGTGACTGTGAAGATGACGTTTTGCTTTCGTCTTTGACGTTACTGAATTTGCACACCTACCCAGAGGAAAACTGGTTTGGTTTCGTATTTAAGAGAAATGGTTTCTCACTTCAGCAGATATTTGTCCATCTTGGGCGATGGTGCAAAGCTGCAAACACAAGCCAGCAACAGCAACCAGCCCCTCTCTGCGTTGTCAATGTTTGTGTTCCTCCACACCTGGTTGACCACCTGAGCCATGATCTCGTCTCTTAAACCTGAAGACAACAGACCCCTTTGGACGATGTAATTCCCAAACATGTTTTCTTGTGCACCGTTCAGATGAGGGTCACCCATGAATCTTAAAACCTGAGGAAAGCAGAGCAAAAGAAAGAATCGCAAAAAGCCATAACATATCTTGTAGATTCTTCTCATATGTTGTAAATCTTTCGCTAATATTTGTCATTTTAAAGTATAATAGTGCTTCACTGAATGGAAATCATAAGCCTGTCTCAAAAACAATGTCACCATTTTGCTGCAAAGCAGAGGTGGCATCAGGGAGCCTTTGGTTCAGCCTGTGGTGGAAACGTGTGCGATTGTGTGTCTTTCGCAATAGATTACGCGACGGTGGCATAAAAGGGCAGAGGGGGTGGTCTCTTCACTGTGGCAGACATTCTTTAGCTAGACGTAACTTGTTTCTTATCCCGATTGAAGCCTTGCTCCTCAAGTTGTGGCTGTCCTTCACAGGAACAGTCTAGTGATCCGTTCTTCAGCTTTACGGGCCAGAAGCTACCGGATCTTTACATTAGTCCAGCTTGCCTTCTCAGCTGATTCAGTTTGCTAACATGAAAGGGAATCCTCATGTTTACTTGCATTTTCAATACTGTTGCCAACCAGGGCTCAGTGGACATTCTACATGTCTTCACGACATTATCCTCTGTTGCACGAAGGGGTGATCTTCATTCAGAAGTCCGGAGCTGGATTAATACTACAATCAAGCTTGGGGGCATGAATGCTGCATTATTCTTACCTCGCCATGGCCCATTTAAAGCTGCTATAGCGAATCTACAGAAAAAGCTAGGTTTTGAACTTGGTTCCCCTCTGGTATCTTCCCTGGATCCACGTCCACCGGAACCGGACACCCATGTTGCGTCTTTTTCTAGGTCCAAATGCTTTTTGTTATCCACGACTTCAAATGGTGTTTTTCTTTTTGGGGCTCTGGTAGTTCGTCCTAAAGTTGAAGTGGTAGCAGCCGGCTGTTTCTCCCTCTCTGATTTTATTGAGCGGAGAACCTCCCACACCAGTGGTGTTCTGTTGCTAAATACATAAGTGTGTGGTGAATGGAGGGCCAAAGGACACGCAAAAGTGCTGCGTTTCGGCGAGACCACAGTCCAATGGTCCAATGGTTGCCTTCGGTCTAAAATGTGTAACTGGCAGAGGCTTTAATACAAATGCGAGTGAATCACTTTAATAATTTTTTTCTTTTTTTAAATCTCAACATGTTTATATACTATGTTAGAACGTGCCTTACGAGTCTTTTTTTTTAACACAGCTAAAGTGTTATTTTTACCTTGTTTTTGCTGGCATTTCAACTATCACTGTAGCCTTCCTCAGAGCTTTGCCACTGTTGGCAGCATCACTTTCTTCTCCGTTTATCAGCGGTGTCACCCTCTGCTGCCCGCACTCTCCTCATCGATTTCACAGTCCCATGCGTGATCCAATGTGTAGAACCAATCATCTCTGTTCGTGGTTGTATCCACGTCTCCTTATTTCTATGGCTTCCTTAACCAATCTTTTGTATTTTTGTTGTCTTGTGTTTTTGATCCACGTTCCTTCCCAGCCCTTCATATGATCCCCACGTCTGTTACGGCTGATTTCTTTATTGTACTTTCTGCTTCTTGTTTCGTGGCTCTTGTGTGTCTTTCATTTCTATCTTCTATTGTTCGTGTGTTAATTTTGGCATCCGGGTTCTCCTATGTATGTTTTAGTTATTGCGACAGAGGGCGACATCGTTCATAATGGAAAGAACACAGAAAGCACTACTCAAAGAAAGGGTAAGAAACATCATAACCAAAGAGAAACAAGTAGAAAACAAACTGGAAAAAAGGCACCTGGACCTCAAAAGAAACTACAAATTAGATGAGAAAACAGAGGAACAAATTAAAGGACACATGATGGAACAACAAGAAAAAGACTTAGACCAATAGTAGACAGCATAAGTACACCAACATACAATATGGCAAAAGAAATCAGCAAAATCATCAGCCCATTATTAGACCAACATTGCAAAAACAGCACAGAACTGGCAAAAGAACTAAAAAAGATAACATTTGAAGACAACGACATACTAATGTCACACGACGTTACATCCCTGTTCACAAAAACACCAACCCAAAAAAAAAAAACATCGACATAAGAGAGAATCAGACAGGACTAAACTTTAAAAAGAAGAACCAACCTCACAACAGACGACATAACAAAACTGGTAAAATTCCACATACTACACATACGACGGAACAATTTACTAACAACTGGACGGCTTCGCCATGGCTAACCCGTTATCAGCCACCCTTTGCAAGTTTTTCATGGAGGACTTAGAACAAAAAGCCATAGTCACTGCCCCTCCCAAACTGCTAAATGAAATTATGGAAACGCTACGTGGACGACATACTAGAAATCCTACCAAAAGGCAAACAGAGACACTAACAGAACATCTGAACAACACAAACAACATAAAGGAAGAAACAGAAAGCAGCATAACCTTCACGGACATGAAAATAAGCAGACAAAAAGAAGGAACCCTGACCTGCACATAAACACATACAGAAAACCAACACACACAGTCCAATATTTATTATGGACATCAGAACACCCTACCTTACATAAAATGTCAGTAACCAGAATGTTATACCACCACGGAAACATAATACCAGAAGAACGAGACCGTAAACAAGAGGACCAACCAGAGGTGTGGACTCTAGTCACATGACTTGGACTCGAATCAGACTCAAGTCATTATTTTAATTATAGATTTTATCAAGTCAAGTCAGAAGTAAAGACTTACAACTTGACTCAGACTTGAACACCAATGACCTGCGACTTGAATCAACCTGATGACTTGAGCATATTTGATATTTTAGCACAAAAGTGATATGACATGGACAAAAATCTTAAATCGTTCTTGGTTCTGGGTTTGATCTTGTTCTGCTAAATGCAGCAGCACTTTGTTTATAATCAGTTTCAGTTGCACTTCCTGTTTGAGCAAATAAATGAAGCTTTAAGAAGCTTTATTTCGGGAATTTATTTATTATCATTGTCATTCAATTGATGTTGGACAGATGACTTGATTATGACTTGAAAATTCAAAGTTAAGGACTTGGACTTGACTTGGACTTCCACATCATTGACTTTGGACTCAGCTTGGACTTGATTGTCTTTGACTTGGACTTGACTTGACTGGAAAGACTTGTGACTTACTTGTGACTTGCAAAGCAGTGACTTGGTCACACCTCTGGGGCCAACACCAAAATGCTTTAAAGACCCACGGATACTATACATGAGCAATAAACAAAGGAAAACAAGCAACAGAAAGAAAAGAACAACCAAAACATACAACCAGAAAATCAAGAACAAAAACTAGTGATAACTCTTCCATACATTAAAGGCATTACAGAGAATAATAACAGCAACAATGTTAAAACACAACATAAACACACCAACAAAACCATTAGAAAAACTGTTAGAAAAAGACTAGTACACCAAAAAGGGCAAGATATCAGCAGGACATAAGAGTGGAGTCATTTACAAAATTCCTGTGCAATAAAACATACATGGGAGAAATGGGACGCCAACTCAACACTCGAACAATAGAACAAAGGAGTGTGGGAATGAAACAAGTCGAGCACACAAGAGCAGCGAAACAAGAAGCAGAAAGTGCAATAAAGAAATCAGCCATGACAGACCACTGCACAAGAGAAAACTATATAATGGACTGGGACAGAACAAGGATCATCAACACCAAACAACAAAAATACAAAAGATGGATTAAGGAAGCCATAGAAATAAGGAGACCTGGACACACTACCATAAACAGAGACGAAGGGGTCTAAACATTGGATCACACATGGGACTGTGTCATTGGCGAGGAGAGCGCAGGCAACAGAGCGCAACACTGTACTAGGGTTGGGCATCGAGCACCGATCATCGATTGGAACCGGGACCAAGTGTTAGTTTTTCCCGGAATCGTTCAAAGTTTTTTATTTCAATTCCTAGTTTTGATCCCTAGAATGCCAACCAGAAGAGGAATCCGCGGCCGATCTCCATGAAAAGTAAACGTGGTCTGTGTAACAGAACGGAATGACTGTTTTTTCCCTCCTCTGCACAAGACTAGTCTGCATGAGATATGGTCTCAAGGTCTCGTTCATTCCTTCTAACCTGCTTATTTTCAGCTCAACAGAAGAATGAAGAATTAACTCTTTTCTTTTAATTAATCAAAGAACTCTATTTTAATAAAGCTAATCCAACCAAGTGTTAGTCAATATAATAAGATGTGACCGATCTGTGAAATCAAAATATTAATTACTTTATTATGATCCTATAGAATATAATAAGTAATATGACTTTAAATGTTCCAACAGGACTCATTTCACGTAGCGTTAAAAGACATGACACATTCCTTTCACTGATCCAATCAGAATCTTACAGATCTGACGGAGGCGTAGTTTTGACGGTGTTTGGTAATTTTTCATTCAACAATAAACCATAACATCCGAAGTATAAAACTAGGCCACGTCAGCTCTAACGCCAGTTCAAAGCATTCTAGAGAAAGTGATGGAGTGGCCAATCCTGATCTAAAACTCTTCAACCGAAAGAACAACGACAAGCTGAAAAGAAAAATTCGTTGCTATACCAACTGCAGCAAAACAGTTCCTTTCAGAACAAAAGCTGAACCATCAAGACCCAGGCTTGGGTCTCACCAGACGCCAACAAACTGTTGTGTACCCGGAAGTAACTCACAGACTGGTCTGGTCGGAACCGCGGCTTTTCCTACCGGCTCGGTTCCAGAGAAGGTCAAGCTAGACCTCGACATTCCTGATCTAAAGAGGACTTCCTGAAGGGTAGATAGACCGGCACAATGGCGTCTCATGTGTTTATGGACCTCCTAACCAACGCTTAATGCGAAGACATCACCTTCAGTTCCCTTCAGAACTAATTGCTTCTTCGGATTTGCTGGTTCTGATTAACATCACACGTCATCCATTCACCGCCTCATCCACTTTAGTAACACCATACATTTAGTTTTAAAGTCAGTCTAGTTTAATTTGTTAGTAATAAAATTCTTAACTTTTAAACTTGACTCTCTCTCTCTTCTGTTGTCTCTGAGTGAATACGAAGCGGTTATCTAATCCCTGCAATAAAAAGATCCAATCTTCTGGTTTAAATAACCTCACAGATCCGTAAGGTGGATTTCATATTTCCTATGGAATCCCACGCCTTATGGCTCAATAAAAACACGTAATCTAATTAATTACATCTGCAAATTGTGATCAATGCTTTTCAGAGCTGATCCCACCAGCTGTCTGTGTGCAGCACCGAGTCCCCCCTCCCCCCATAAAACAAACACGTCTGCCAAACTTTTAATCCGTGATGTAAACTTTAACTCCTGCAGCATAGAGGAAACTTGTTAAAATACGTCAACACGGCGAATTTAATAGAAGCTTTAAAGAACAAACTCTGGACGGTGTTAGGTGAGTTTGTCTCACTGCAGAAATAAAAACACACGCAGCCGCTCACCAACACTCGTGTGTGTGTGTGTGCCACAATAAATAATTATAATAATAATAAATAACATTTTTTTCTGAACTATTTCTGTTGAGAGTTTTAATGTCTAAAATCTGTTAGATTGTTACTGACAGCAGCTACGTTTAAGTTTCACTTCCTGTTCTGACTGAATGCTACTGCAGATATGTTTCACTGGGGGGGACCTGGGGGTTGGCCACAGTGGCCCTGGCCCCCGCTTGGGGGCACAACTGAGTATTTTGTCCAGGGTCACATGGAACATTTTTTGGCCATCTTCAAGGATTGCTTGATGTCACACTGTGAGGACTCTAGAGGTGGCACACCCTAATAACTTTGGCACAAAGTAGCAAACAGTAAACCAAATAGCTGCAGTTTGTCGTTGCTAACCAAAATACCTATGGATGCATGGAGGTGTAGTTCTCAGTCATCCTGGACATGATCATCCTGAGAGTTTTAGCTGAAAACAGCTGGACGTTTCTGGGTATGTTGGAGACATTTAGCCTTCCATCCCAGAGGCTTCTTCCAGACTTTGGTTGTGGTCAGAAACAAACACACTGGTTGTGCTGCAAGTCTTTTTCTTTTTTTCTCCAAAACATGTTTTAGTCTAAATGAAGACGATGTTATTGTTCATAGAGTTAAAATTCATGTTGAAGTTAAGATTATTTCATCAAGTAGGACCTGTGGCTAGCTGGCTCATGTTAAATACGTCACGTCTTGAAAGAATCGGAATTGGGAATCGATAGGAACCGGAATTGAAACGAGGAATTGGAATCGGAATCATTCAAAATCAAATTATGCCCAACCCTACACCGTACTCTACTGCCCGCTGATAAACAGAGACGGAAGGGATGCCGCCAACAGCGGCAAAGCTGTGAGGCTGGCTACAGTGATAGTCGAAACTAGTGATGCACTGATATGAAATTTTTGGGGTCGATACCGATGTCCGATATTAAGATCACTGTTATGGCCGATAACCGATATTTGCCGATACCGATATACTGACATTAATGCTTCTAAAATCTGCATATTTTGTATAGAATGAAAATTATTAAAGATGAATTTACATCATTAAGTACACACAACTCACACATTTACGGTCCTGAGATAATTTCATTCACTGTTCACATGACTGCACAATTACACATCACCCCCCTCACCCTCTGAAACAGGCAAACAAATGGAGACAAGATGGAAAAATATCGGTTGTTAATATCGACCCGGTTTTATTTATCGAACCGATACCGATATGTTTTAAAAAAAAAAGACTAACATGGGCCGATACCGATATTGATGCCGATTTATCATCCATCCCTAGTCAAAACGATAGCATAAAGAAGGTAAAAATAACACTTTTGCTGTGTTAAAAAAAAGAACCGTAACGCAGTTGGATGAAACACACAGAATGAACGTACAAAACATGTTATGTTAGAACATCGTTGAGATGCATGAAAAAAAGTTTAAGCTAATTTGTTTTCCAAAGTTGCTGTTGCAACTCTAAAAGCCATACCATGGCAGTAGTATTACCCTGATTTGCACCTCGTTTCTTCTTTTGAAAGCAGCTTTACATTCACGAGTATTTGGTATTCTTTGGTGTCCACCCCATAACTGGACAGTCGAATGTTCATGCCCCGCTCAGTCTCCGTTGGCAAGACTCTTCACCTTTTTATGACGACTGGTGGCACCTGTGTTCAACAGGTCAGTGCGCCGCAGGGCAGCTGTGGCTACATAGTAGCTCATCATCACCAGTGTGTGAATGTATACAAATGACTGGTATGTTGTAAAGCACCTTGGGGGATTGCAGAACTCTAGAAGCTGCTGTAGACCATTTACCACACTAAAGAGTTCAGTTTACCATGTTGAAGAGCTCCACGGCCTCTATTCTGAGATCGTCCTCCACTCGGGTCAAAGGTGACTCCAGAGGGCCAAACAAGATCCCAAACTTTGGTTCCTAGAGCAACAAAAGACCATCACTCAGATTGTGTCATATCTGAGCACTTAAAAACCTTTTCATGTGTGTTGACGGGTGTCTCACCCTGAAGTGGATCTGCACATATCGGTAAAAAGGGTAGTTGTTGATGTCCAGAGGCAACGTAAGCTGAGCCTCTTCCTCGATATGAGGAGCCTGAAGCAGAGCCAAACAGTCTGCGTGCAGCTCCCTCCTGACTGAAGCAAAACCAAGACCAAGAGAAGGCAAAACATCAGCCACTAGAAGATTTTACTTTATAACTTAGATTTTGGAAAGCTGACCACATGAAGTCCTTCTGACTTGCTAAGCAGTCAAGATCCTTCATTTTTATCATTTAGTTTTTTTATGGACTTATCAGTCCTGTTCAGATGAAACACACTCAAAGACCTTTACTGTGACCTGCAGGACTTTCATTTCATGACTTATGTGAGCACATCATGTGATGAAGACTGAAGAAAAAGAACTTTTACACACCTCCAGCTGCCTGCAGCAAAGCACCCAGCTCTGCAGGGATCACCAAATGGGTGACGTTAACCACCTCCCGCTTTCTCAGCTCCTGAAAGCATTACTGCTTTTATTAGATTTGCAAAATAATAAAATAAAATACATGTGAATTTCATCTGTGAAACTGCAAACATCTTTTGAAATAATGTTTAAATCTTTCATGTCATAACTGTCATTTCACCTTTTCTCTCTTCCTTCTCTCCTCTTCAACTTTCCTTTTGGCTTCAAACTTCATCTGCAAAACGATTTCAAAATGCATCCATTTTGACGCAGATGAATCTTTTATTTTGCTAAACTATTTTACCTTAAAAAACTGTAGATGTGATAATGAACACATGCATAAGAAGACATCAAGTACCTTGATGTATTGCTTCCGGTTGACATACATGTGGACAAGAGAACGGAAACGAACCAGATGCTCCCTCATTTTCACATACTGCTTCCTGCAGGACAGAACGGCAACAGATGTTTTAACACATATTAATAATAATAATAATAGTTGTACAAGGATGTTTATTAATCATAAGTGCAACCAAATGTTGTGGCTTCAAACCAAGCCAGACTAATGAAACCTCCACCGCCGTGCTTTATAGCTGTAGTTAAACCTCCACCGCCGTGCTTTATAGCTGTAGTTAAATAGGACATGATGTGTGAATCTCACTTTTTGCATCCTTTTGTGTTACCGTGAGGATTTTTCCTGCCTCTGTGAACACTCTAAACTTGAATTTTAAAAAAAAAACTCAATTTTCTGTCAGAATTTGGTTTCATGAATTATATTAATCTACAAGCTGTTTGAAAAAGACTCTTATTGTGATGTCACAATAAGGGACATTAGCATATAACTCTCCTCACCTATTGATGCTGGAGGAGCAGTGGCTCTAATCCGAGCTGATATTTTTAGCTCTTCACTTTATAGCGGCCAATCAGGCGTGGGGTGGGCGTGGCCAGCAACTTATTTGCATTAAAGGGACAGAGCCCTGAAACGGCTCATTCTGCAAAGTACTGAAGCCCTTCTAAACACAAAATTCTATCTTTTGTAGTCATGTTGAGTGATCAGAGTCGTGTTTTTTTACCCCTCTAACTCTTGATGCAGCAGTTTAGTTCGCATAGAAATGATACTTCTGTCATATTTGTCATCCTTGGGCTGATTGCTATAAAGACGTGATAAACGTTCCATTGCCTCTACTCCATGTTACATCTTACCTGAGGAGGAATCCCCGGCACTGGGCCTGAAAACTGATGATTTTCCTACGGAATTCCACAAAGCGTTTCCTGACAAAGAACATGCGGGTGTAACGCTGCAAGGTGAGAGCTGCGAGAGTACGGGATCGCTCTCGTTTACACTCCAACAGCTGATAGATGTCCTCCTTGAAGAACAACTGCCATCCACATACAAAAATTCACCATTGTCACGAGGAATGGATGATATGAGATATTACACCAGTGGTACAGAGCTTCATAATCACACAATACTATGATTGTAGTGCTGCTCTTCATAAGACAAACTATCTCACCTTTGTGACACCAATGTGGTACACTCCTGGTCGGAGAGGACTCAACTTACTGAGCAAAATCACACAGTTTTCTCCATTGGCTTCTGGAAGTTCTCGAATTCCCACCAAGGACTTGTACCTGAAAAAATTGAGACATAGTTCACCTGAAGTTGTTGGCACATTTTTGAAGCAAAATTATTTATTCAAAGAAACTGGGGGGGTTGTAGAACCCTAAGAAGGCGCTGTACAAATACAGGACATTTACCTTAATAAATTAAAGTGTATGACCTTATTTGTAAGTCTTGAGGCCCACAATTTGCCAATTTATTAAGGTGCTCATTCACTCGTTTTTATTTATTTATTTATTTATTTATTTATTTATTTATTCCCAATCCATTTTCTGTGGTCTTTAGTATAATAGGATGCCTCTTGAGTCATTCTCTGTGGAACAAAGATTACAGAGGTGTGAAAAACTATTTGCCCCCTTCCTGATTTCTTATTCTTTTGCATGTCTGTCACACAAAATGTTTCTGATCATCAAACACATTTAAACATTAGTCAAAGATAACACAAGTAAACACAAAATGCAGTTTTGAAATGATGGTTTTTATTGTTTAGGGAGAGAACAAAATCCAAACCTACATTGCCCTGTGTGAAAAAGTAATTACCACCTGAACCTAATAACTGGTTGGGCCTCCCTTAGCAGCAATAACTGCAATCAAGCGTTTGCGATAACTTGCTACGAGTCTTTTACAGCGCTCTGGAGGAATTTTGGCCCACTCATCTTTGCAGAATTGTTGTAATTCAGCTTTATTTGAGGGTTTTCCAGCATGAACCGCCTTTTTAAGGTCATGCCATAGCATCTTAATAGGATTCAGGTCAGGACTTTGACTAGGCCACTCCAAAGTCTTCATTTTGTTGTTCTTCAGCCATTCAGAGGTGGATTTGCTGGTGTGTTTTGGGTCATTGTCCTGCTGCAGCACCCAAGATCGTTTCAGCTTTAGTTGACGAACAGATGGCCGGACATTCTCCTTCAGGATGTTTTGGTAGACAGTAGAATTCATGGTTCCAATCACAGCAAGCCTTCCAGTTCCTGAAGCAGCAAAACAACCCCAGACCATCACACTACCACCACCATATTTTACTGTTGGTATGATGTTCTTTGTCTGAAATGCTGTGTTACTTCTACGCCAGATGTAACGGGGCATTTGCCTTCCAAAAAGTTCATGTTTTGTCTCATCAGTCCACAAGGTATTTTCCCAAAAGTCTTGGCAATCATTGAGATGTTTCTGAGCAAAATTGAGACGAGCCCTGATGTTCTTTTTGCTTAACAGTGGTTTGCGTCTTGGAAATCTGCCATGCAGGCCATTTTTGCCCAGTCTCTTTCTCATGGTGGAGTCGTGAACACTGACCTTAATTGAGGCAAGTGAGGCCTGCAGTTCTTTAGAAGTTGTCCTGGGGTCTTTTGTGACCTCTCGGATGAGTTGTCTCTGGGCTCTTGGGGTAATTTTGGTCGGCCGCCCACTCCTGGGAAGGTTCACCGCTGTTCCATGTTGTTGCCATTTGTGGATAATGGCTCTCACTGTGGTTCGCTGGAGTCCCAAAGCTTTAGAAATGGCTTTATAACCTTTACCAGACTGATAGATCTCAGTTACTTTTGTTCTCATTTGGTCTTGAATTTCTTTGTATCTTGGCATGATGTCTAGCTTTTGAGGTGCTTTTGGTCTACTTCTCTGTGTCAGGCAGCTCATATTTAAGTGATTTCTTGATTGAAACAGGTGTGGCAGTAATCAGGCTTGGGGGTGGCTACAGAAATTGAACTCAGGTGTGAAACACCACAGTTGGGTTGTTTTTTAACAAGGGGGCAATTACTTTTTCACACGGGGCAATGTAGGTCTGGATTTTGTTCTCTCCCTAAATAATAAAAACCATCATTTCAAAACTGCACTTTGTGTTTACTTGTGTTATCTTTGACTAATGGTTAAATGTGTTTGATGATCAGAAACATTTTGTGTGACAAACGTGCAAAAGAATAAGAAATCAGGAAGTGGGCAAATAGTTTTTCACACCACTGTAAGTGCTCCTGTTTCAGGAAGTCAGGGGAATGGGGAGTAGAAAACAACTGGATTTGGAGTCTTACTCATTAGTGTTTCAGATATTCAGGCAGTTTACCAGACTGGCAAACCAGACTAAATAAATGTGTTTGAAACCCCTCTAGTGACCTGTGATTGGCCAGCCAAGATGCTGCTGGGGCTGCGGAGGTTACAAGTGGAGCGTTCCTGGACCAAACTTTGCAAAGCAAGAATTTGGTCTAGTTCACTAGGCTAGCAGTTTGCCTCTGACTGGCCAAGAGCAACATGACTTTGCCACTGAACTCCGCTTGCTCTACAATGTTGATGTTTTATCTCCGCAAATAACACAAGCCTGAAGAGTTCTGCCATGTTCTGGAGTTGCTAATGCTAATGGTTAGCTTCTACTAGCCGAGCCGTGCTCTGCAGTTTCCTGGACGCTAAACCAACAATAGCTCAGTCTGAGCTGGCATGAGGGAGTCGTAGCTCATTTATAAGTGGTCAGACAGTGGCGGTAATGTGGCGCACTCGTATCCTCTTTACAAAAAGACTGCGCAATAGTGGTATAAATGAGTCAATGGGGGTGGTTGCTGCACTGCCATGGACGTCCGTTTAACTTGGACATAACTTGCTTTTATTGCAATCGAAGCTGGGCTCATTACATTTTTTTGACAAGCCGCTTCTAAACGTGTCTGTTCTCCACGGGCCTTGTGCATCTTCTGGTGATCTGACCTCCAGCCCTAATGGAGAGAAGCTCCTGGAGCGCTGCATCGCTCCAGTTTATCATCTCAGCTCATTCTGTTTACAAAAGCGAAACTTATTGCCGTTTTTACTTTCATTTTAAATGTAGTTGCCAGTTGGTGCTTGGCAGTAACTCCCAAACATGATCATGACACCTCCCTCTTTTGCGCCAAGGCGTAGTATGCATTCACAAGTACATTATTGCGGTTATATTACTACCAAGTACGGTGTAACGTCCAGAAAGGCTCATTTTTCATCTACAGTTTGACCTTTTCAGTATCCGGTCATCTACAGACATAATTCTGCCTCTGTGTGTCCTCTAATGTTCCAAGCTGCAAGAAAGGTTCTACAGTGTTGTTGACATATGAGATTGTTAACACAGCGTTCCCTTCACCAAGGTCTTTCTGTCAAGCCTGTCTGCTTATCTAGACTGTCCTGCAAAGAATAAAGGATCAAACCATTATAAAGAACAAACTTTTATAATAGTGAATACTGAATGGGGACATGAAATACGTAAATAATCATATAAGTATGAACAAGGGGTTAAATGAAATCTTTTGATTAATCTGTGCCTAAATTAACAAGGTTGCAAGTGTCCTTGCAATGGTATGTTTGTTTTTTAATCAGTCTACTTGACAAACACACACACGCGCATATCTCCCTGACACAAGGGTACGTTAATGTCATGACACATAGATTTTCTTATCCACAAAATCAGAGCATCTTCTATCTGAAGAAGGAGTGTTTCTGAGGTTTGTTTGGTAAAACCTCCTTAACATGGCACGTTGTGATTAGCCAGAAAATCATAACATAGGAATTAATAAAACTCAGAGGACTTCCCAAGTTGTACAGTGGAGCTGAGTAAGTTTTATTTCCAGCTGACACTCCGGAGTGGCCAATCCGGAACCATCCTCTTTTGAAACATCTCTTTGATATACAGTCAAAACTTGTTTGCACGCTGCAAAGCTGACACAGTTACGACTCCTTAAGAGTCCATCCGTCTTTGACGCAACAACCTTCCTGCCTGTTGTGACCTGGAGACAACCCGAGACTGGACTGGTCGTACTGAGGTTTTTCTATGAACTTCTGTGCCTTGAGGTCCACCAGACATCCTGACATTCCGGATCACACCGGGGGGTCTCCAATCAGGGTTTGTAGACACAACCGATTGCGTCTGATGTTGTTTTGTTAATAATCAACTCTCTAGTTTATAGCAGACCAAATTCTTTTACACCCAGAACTCACAGTTTCTTCCAGATACAAAGGCTCTGATAAACATCACATTCCATCCACTCACATTCATCCATCACATGTCGTTATTCATAACTTCTCATGTATTTTAATTAGTCTAGAAAATAAAGTTTATTTTAATTATATACTTGACTCTGTTTGAATTAATATGAAGTGCGATTCTATATTTATATAGAATCATCACATCTTATTGGTCATAATTTAACACCCCAATCTCATAACCCTACAGTGGCATGTTTTCTAAGAGTGTTCATAAGACACACGTGGCGGTGGTATTAAGCTGATTTCTTGACATGTTGTGTCTTCTAAAAAGGGTTTCAGATTTCATGGGGCTTGAAGATTATGGAGCTGAACGGTAGTTTAAAGATGGGTACAAAGCTGCGATGGAGAGATGGATCATGACTGGAGTCCTTAAGAAGCAAGTGGATTACAGCATTCTTAAAATAAGCAGGGACCTGACCAGAAACCAGGGAAGAATTATTTGTAGAAGATTTTTTCTGACCCAAGTGTTCTTGTTTTTAAGGCCAGGCTCAAGACTCACCTTTTAGTATAGCTTTTAAGTGATTTTGATCTATTTTAGCCTGTTTTCACCATCTTTTATATATTTTATCAGTGTTTTATTACTTACTCTTTTTAATTAAATAACACACATTTTCCTACATATTTACTTTAACTTGTAATAATTATTAGTTTTAGCCAGTCTTAATACTTTGTTGTACAATATTTTATAAATGCAATTATATGTATTCTACTTGGTTATCTAGTGTTTGTTATAGGTAATTTACTTCATTATCAAACAAGGAAGTCAAATTTTTGAAACGTTTGAACTATCATAATGTGGTTTTAAGTAGTGAGGACAATCATCTGACCCCAAACCAAGTATCTCTGGAGCAATGTGGTGGTATTGTATCACCAGAACATCACCAATTGGGACATTTTGGTTTTCTGTTGCAATTCTCTGCCTCTGCAAGACACACAGAAGAGTTCATGGTTGACTCAATGGTTCGAATGTTCCAAGGTCCGGTACCTGTAGAATGAGTCCCTTCCACCACCATGCCGACAGTTGGTCCGAGGTGTTTCTACACCCTCACATCACTGTTTCTTTTAATCAAAATGTCATTATTTTATGACCAAACTCCATTGATCCCTTCAAACAAATTCATGTACTACTACAGTGCCATTCAGCATGCTTAATGAGGAATGTAGAGTCTGAGGTCTTTAAGTCATTAGGCTGGAAGGGCCATTAAAAAAAAAGTATAGTATTTCTTTAAAAAAAAGTAATCAAGATGCTCAAGCATTTCTGAAGACTGCCAGGTGTTCTTGCCTTCTTATATTAGAGGAATGCAGTATTGTGTGTATTTATTACCTAAAGAGAAAGGCGTAGAAGGTCATTCTGATGGGATACCCTTCTCTACGGATCCTGATGGTCTCCATGACTCCAGAATGTCTCAGCTGGCTGCCGACCAGCTCGTCCTCAAACACACCTGGCCTCTGTGGACAAACAAACACATGCATCTATAAACTAACTCACATCCACACGCCAAAAAAAAAAAAGATCTGAAATGTATAAAATGTTGGAAGCGCTACCTTTATATTATTTGGCTTGATGCAGCGAACAAAAAAAGGATTACACCTGAAATGAAAAGAACAAAAAGGAGCCTTGCAATCAGCTTTTCTTGCTAAATTCATCATTTGTAACTGTAGATTTATTATCTTGCTAATAATTAAACAAGGCTATGTGTATATATACATTTGACGTAGAATTTATTTATTTATGAATTATATGTGTTTGTTGGGTTTTACATTCATCCTTTAATTAAAGAAGATGAGCGTATGGTTTGCGTGAACACGAATGGTTTGATTAAAGAGGTGTGTTTTCACTGGGGGGGACCTGGGGGTTGGCCACAGTGGCCCTGGCCCCCGCTTGGGGGCACAACTGAGTATTTTGTCCAGGGCCACATGGAACCTTTATTGGCCATCTTCAAGGATTGCTTGATGTCACATTGTGAGGACTCTAGAGGTGGCACACCCTAATAACTTTGGCACAAAGTAGCAAACAGTAAACCAAATAGCTGCAGTTTGTCGTTGCTAACCAAAATACCTAAAGGGGACAAAAAGCCTGCCCTCCTTTTGCAAGTGAATCTCCCTTCTTTACTGCTGAAAAGACCCTCATTTGTGTTGGTTCTTCTTATCCCTGAGCTGAACAGGATTTATGCAAACCAAAGTCAGTTGCTTTGTGTGAACACCAAACCTCTCCATCTTCTCCACCAGCTCCATCAGGGACTGTTGGAACTTGCTGCTGACAGTGGGAGCTTGGTACTTCCTGGTGACTGAGCTGCTCTTCCTCATGTGACCTCCTTTCTTTTGACCTGTGGCCTCTGCATGAGCCAGGAAGAGGTTCGACATCATCTGGACGGGCGAAGCACACAAACCTTCACTGTTCCTGCTTTGGTACATCAAGGTGTTTTCTTTCAGCTGTGAATGCACACACAAGGTTTCTCTTACTCACCTTGTTCCTGCTCTGAATGAACAAGTCCAGAACATCCTGTCGGACCTGATCGTAGTTCTTATCGAGGAACTTGTGCACCTGCATTTCAGACATTTATCCGTTGAGTAACATTCACGTATTTTTACATCTAAAAGTAGTGGACCACTCAGTTAAACAGCAAAATGGTTGCTGAACAGCTGAGTACCTGATAGGTGACCCGGCCAGCAAAGTGCTTGAGGGTGAATTCTGGGAGAGGCATCTTTGGCTTCTGATACAAGTGATTGTGTCCATGATGATAGTGACATTTTTGAAGAAAAGTGTGGTCTGTCGCCTAGCAACACATGAGACCAGTTTAATTGGCTTTTTATATATATATATATATGTGTCTAGATGATAGATGCAGCAGGCAAACGTCTGGATAAACTCTCCTCACCTGAGGGAAACAGCTCTGGTCATCCAGAATCCTCAGTATCCCATGAGGCTTAGCGGCAATGAGGTCGATGCAGGGTTGGTTGTCACTGAACGTGATGTTCTCCCATGGAACCTGCTCTCTGCTGTACTCCTCCTGTAAGGATCGGGGAGGATCGAACACAAGACAACACAATCGTAATTTTTTAACACTAATTGTTTTCTCACTTCTGTCGTTCCACCTGTTGAGTTTCAGTGTGATTTATCATCCATTTGGGTTCTGTTTGTGCACGAGGCCTCCACCCTTTACGCCCAAGGCACATTTTTTACTACTCCTCCTACTAAATATTGATTGTGTAGGAACAGCATATGTATGTACTTTGGGTGCTTTTAAAGCTCAATGTACTACACTACATTTGACCAATAAGATATGAATTTCTATATAAATATGGAAATTCAATCTGATTGATCTTTGAATGTTTAACCAGAAGATTTACAGTAGAATTCTTTGTTTATTCAGGGATCGTAAGACACTTCGTATCAATTCAGAGAGAGTCGAGTTTATAAAAAGTAAGACATTTATTTTTCTAAACAATTAAAAACGTGACAACTCGGAAACACTTTATGTGATGAATGAATCTAAGTGGATGGAATGTGAGGTGTGATGATGTGTGAATGTGAAGTTATCAGAACCTTCGTATCTGGAGAAACTGAGTTCTGAGTGGGAGTGAATTTGGTCTGCTATAAACTATAAGTGATGGTTTATAAAACCACATCAGACGCAACCTGTCGAGTCTATGTACCCTTCGAAGACCCTCGTGGTAGGTCTGGAATCTCAGGAAGTCCGTGGACCCCCAAAGGTACCGAAGTCCGTAGAAGAATCCGCAGTGCCACTAGACCGGTCTCGAGATGTCTCCAGGTCACGACAGGTAGTTATTTGCATCTATGGAGGACTCTTAAGGAGTCGAAGCTGGTCCAGCTTTGTTCTGAAGGAACCGTTTGCGGTATCAGCTGTAGCGTGCAACAGGTTTTGACAGCTTGTAAAAGATGCGATGGGAGCAGTTTCCCACCGATGGTCAGTCAGATTTAGGCTCAACTAAATCACTCAGGAAGTGATGCTGTTTAAATAATGGCCATATCTTGGTTTACTGATAAATCAGAACTTGCCCTGCAAAGGCGTTTTGCCAACAAACTCAGAGACACACCTCCCTCAGATATGAAGATGCTGATTTTGTGGATAATAAAATATCTATGTGCAGTGACGTTAATTCTAACTTGAGTCATGGAGACATGGTGAGTGTTTCTTGTCCAGTCAGTGCACTAATTAAATATATGGATCATATATTTCATTTCATCCTTATTAATTTTTCAATGTAATAATAATATTCACTTCAACTTCAGTAATTTAAGCACAGATTGATCAAAACATTTCATGTAACCATAATGTCCATTTTATTATATGATTAGTTAATCATATTGTTCATCCGTCTTGTTCTGTGAATAAAAACCAGTCTTAGATGTAATGTCCACAAATGGCCAGTTTTCACCTACAGATTGGCCTATAGGTCATCTACAGACCTAATTTCATCCTTTGAGGTGGATTTTATATTCTATCTGCCAACAAGCCACAAGATCCTGCACTGCTTGTTGACATCCTGTTCTTTCCAAGGTCCCTCACAGAGCACCCTTTTATCTAAGACTCCTTGCTTCACAGAAGAAAGAAGATTTAAAATTAATTATGAACTTCTAAAACTTATAAGCTAGATAATCATTAAATAAATGTTTGTATATTGCTACTTATGATAATTAACATAATGAAATAATAAATAATGCGTTCCAAGGATTGAAGGTATAAATGAATGTTATGTTGTGATTACATTGATTGCATGTTTACTTGACAAGGTCATCACCATTTGCACTCACACGAGAACAAAGTAAGGTAAAGTTAAACCCATGACACATAAATAGTCTTTTACCCAGATCAGAGCCACAGTACCAAAGAAGGCTTGTTTCTGAGATTCTTGGTCAAATTCCTCAAACTTGTCAACCTCTGGTTGGCTACACAATCATTACAGATTACTCTGGATTTCCCTCAGCTCTAGAGAAAGCTTCAGACCGGCCTCCTGAAGCAACACCTCTTTAACCGCCAAAGCTTTTGACACGTCGTCAAAACCTTTTTGCACCTGCAAAGTTGATACAACAAAACAGTTTCTGCGGAACAAGCTGATTTGTTCAACTCCTTAAGAGTTATTCTTGAGATGCAAACTAGTTCCAACTGTCGTTACCTGGAGATGACTCTGGACTGATCTGGTCATACTGCAGTTAATCTACGGACTTCGGTACCTGGGGTCAGTACACTTGATTCAGTAGCTGAATCACCTGTGCAACAGTAGATCGTGCACTGCAGAAGCCAGATAATCACCTTTTGATTGAAATCAGGTGTGTTGAAGCAGAGTTAAAACTAAAACATGCTGGATACCGGCCCTCCAGGACCAGGACTGGGCACCCCTGAACTAGATAAATACATTTCACTGTTATCTGGAACTGCTGGTATTGGAAAAAGTAGCTTGGCGTTTGGAACATTAGCTCAATGTTAGCCTCTAGTCTTCTTTACCCGGTCTTAAAGTAAAGCAAAAAGATGCAGAGGCTTTTTAACGGTACAACTTCTGAGCCATTTCTCTTTACTTGCTTTAGTTCTTTACTGTATTTTGCCAGCCAGTATCAAATAGCAAACGCTGGCGTAGCATCGTTAGCTTGTTGCAGACTCGGCAACCCCGCGGACTCACAGATTGTAAACAAAGTCCCTCTTTGGCTTTAATGAACAGAGAAAAACTGACAACCTTTCAGCTAGCCGAGAAGAAAATTTGTTTCAAAGTTAACCTTCCTTTCAACATGACTGACATATTAGACTGTTTTGTGATTATTTCACTGTAGAAATCTTACATGTTGTACCTTTAACAAACTGGATCAAAGTAAGTTTACACAGGCAACACAATCTTCTAGTTATAAAAGCATCGTTCTGCTGTAGAAGCTTACTGTTAACATTTGAAAACTACTAAAATGTACTTTTCCTGTAATCATTTTAAACATAAATATTACTCAGGTCCATTCAATAATTGTTCAAGGTTAGTGAGCCACATCACATGAGCGGAAGAGCCTTGAGTGGCTCCAGAGCCACAGACTGTGGACCCTTTCTGCAGGGTGCTGCAGGTTTGACTCACCTGTTCTTCTCTGAATACAATCCTGTTGAAGAAGAACTGCAAGTATTCATTTGCATAATTAATGCAAAGCTGCTCAAAGCTGTTGAAGGTCAGATCCTGGTAACAGAGAGAGAGAGAGAGAGAGAGAGAGAGAGAGAGAGAGAGAGAGAGAGAGAGAGAGAGAGAGAGAGAGAGAGAGATGAGTGTTTGTGTGTACTTTTAATGTGTAAATTGTGAATGTTTAGGATTTTAACACTAGATATAAAAGTAGAAGATGAGTTGTTGTTCCCTGAGTGATGACTGATGTTAAACTACATTTTGGTATTTGTTCTAGTTTACAGTCCTCTCTAACACACTCCAAGAGCTAGTAGATAGCATGAGATATTAGCTTGAACACGAACATATGTGGTCATTTACTGACATGAAGCTTTACTATTATTTTGTTTCAAAAAGAGCCAAAGTCCTTCTTTCTTGTGGAGTTGGAGTTTTGCCATCATAAGACAGACTGGTTTTCTGGATGTTGTTTTATAGCTAGTTAGTTTCTGGAAAGAATTCAAGATGGCCGCTTCAGCCAAACAGCCTCATCATTCCCAACACACAGGTTTCACAAATCCTGCAATAATGCATGAGATCACCCTTACAGCTCTTTTCATGGTTTAACTACAGAGCTGTAACCATGAGAACATCCCAGACCAACACACTGGCAGCAGGTGACACCAGGGCATACAAAAAAACTGCCTCACCTCAAATCCGTAGATGTCCAGGATGGAGATGCAGGGGCAGTGTTGGCGAGGGTACACCTGAGCGTTAATCCTCTCTGTTAACAAGTGGAAGATCAGCGAGTACAGGATCTTGGCAACAGCATCTCTAAAAAACAGAGGTTTGTTCATGAAACATTAATGATGTCATCAGACAGAAAGAGAAGGCAAAGCTGGTGCAGGTCAGGAAGGCAAGAACTCCTCAACTAGGGCAAGGTCTGCAAGCTGTGGCTCTGGAGCCACAAGTGGCCCTTTGGACCATCCGCAGTGGCTCTTATTAACTTTGGCTAGAAAGGAGCAAAAACTAACAAATGTTTTTAAATGTAAACATGTTAAAAATGCAGTTTTAAGCAGCTTTTCTGTTTATTTTTTTGTGTTTTTGTTTATTTTTTTAATAAAAGACATGCATTTTCAAATAATTTTTCCACAAATATCAAAACTATTCAAAAATAATCCACATTCTTCTTGAAAAATATACTTTGGTCTCAGTTTCTAAAGAAAATGTATGTGTTTCAAAAATTGCAACAAATCAAATCAGTGAAATAAATAAAATGGCCTGCATTTCATATAGCACCTTCCAGAGTCCTGGAACCCCCCAAGGCACTTCACAACACAATCAGTCATTCACTCATTCACACACAATGTGGATTCTTGTTTGTTGTTTCTTACCTGGCATCAACAGCGTTTTCAACTGACAGAGGGGTGTAGATTTTGTCCCTCATCGTCTCCTGCAGAAACCAGAAGAGCAACACAATTCGTCAGTATGTAACGGTAATTAAATGATGTCATGACTGAGTTTATTGACAGTTTGTTGAGTTTTTTTGTTTTTTTTCCAAGGGTGTTTCTCAATGTCAAGGCGCCTTGCCTTGCGAGGTGATGTCTTGCGAGGCCAGGTGCCTTGCTTACGAGGACACTGTCCTTCCTTGGTCAAAGAAAATGGCTAAATGGAACAGACTTGCATAACGTGACCGCGGCTTCCACGGCGGTCACGTAACATCACGTGACACGAGAGATAACGTTATATTTTATATGTATTCGCTTCAATATAAATATATAACAAGCCTTTTACTTTTTAAATTGTGTATATGTTTATTAAATTAAATATGGAAGCGAGTTACTACCCGCTAGCCACCGAAGCTGCTACTACTAAGCAACTAACCAACCACAGATAACTTCTTTGGATCTAAAAAAAACATTTTAAATTAGCTGACTTACTTTTAAACTCGAAAATTGTCCCTGAAGTAGCTGCCGGCTTCTGATCCGCCATCTTTTTGAAAATACCGCGGTGTATTGTAGGTAATTTTTGACCAAGTCTAGGCTACAACTCACTTGTTCAAAGTGGCTTTTGTATGACCTTCTTCACCACTCTCTCTTTATTCTGCTCTCCCCGCCTATTCCCCCTTCCTCAGGATCCACTGATTTCCCTCTTTCCTATTCACTCTCTCTCTTTCTTAAAATTTTTTAATCACAATTGTCTATTTTTTGCTCATTTTAAATATATTTTTACCCATTTTCTAAATTCTTTTTTATATTTTTACATTTTTTGTTTTTGTGAAGCGCCTTGTGATTTCTATCTTGAGAGGCGCTATAGAAATGATATTTTCTTCTTCTTCTTCTGCCTCTACAAGACACCTCCCGTGTATCCTCGCTCAGCTAGCTAAACAGCTAACAAACGGAGAACACACGCCTCGGTAGAACATGAACATTGGAACACGTCTTGGCGGCTCCCGATGACGTATCTCCTAGGCAGCCGGGGCGGGGCCAAGACATCAAGGCAAGGTTCCTTGGCATTGAGAAAAACCCCAAGAATCAAGAATCTTTACTTGTCATTGTACCAGCGTCCCGGTACAACTAAATTCCAGTTGAGAACAACCCGTCCAATATTTGACATCACAATAACAAAAACAAGAAACAACATAACAGAATCAGATTGAACTGTGGGCATGCGTGCACCTTGAGCTCCCATAAGCAGAGGTGAAAAGGGATAACATGAGGAAACTGCTGGGGGGAATTTTCTCTTCAGCCTCAGACTGAAGGCTCAAGGGCACCAGATTCCGACAAGATGATTAGTTTTGGGGCAGGCAGAGACAAATTCCCTCCCTGCCTAACAGTTCTGTTGGTCTCAACTCCTCCAAAGGCAGAATAATGGAGTTTAAACTATTCCATACAGGGACTGCTCTCTCCATGATGACATACACGTTTTGTTTCTAGACTGGAATCCCAGCCAAAGTCTCTAGCTTGTGATTCATCTTGACAATTGTCTGAGTCTGCGCGTTCAAAGCAAGGTAAACTCCAGAAGCATTCTAGTCGCCCCCGAAAGCTCCTTAAATTTCCGATGTACCAGATAACCGCCCACGCCAAAAAGAAGAAATCTGGCAATCATAAATCCAAAAATCCATACATCGCCAATATCCTCAATGAAAAGCTGGGAAAGCATATTATATTCCACCTCTTCCAGGAATCCAAAATATCCCTGACCAGGTGCGTTCCATCCAGACATGAAGGAACCCCTTTCTCCAATCTCATTGTCGAAAAAATCTTGTCAATCGATTCACATTTAACAGATTTCAGAAGTAATGCAGAGAAGCGTTGTGGAGGAAGACAGGACAAAGAGCCTCCAAGAAGGGGGTATTTCGGAAGGACCAGGCCCTCTGACATGGGCTGTTAGGTCCCTATATGACCAGTGTCAGAGGTTGGTCAGTACATCAGGCTCGTTTCCGGTGAGAGTTGGACTCCACCAAGGCTGCCCTTCATCCCAGATTCTGTTCATAACTTTTATGGACAGGATTTCTAGGCACAGCCAAGGTGTTGAGGGGATCCATGTTGATGGCCTGAGGATTGGGTCTCTGATTTTTGCAAATGACGTGGTCCTGTTGGCTTCGTCAGAACTTGATCTCAAGCTTTCGCTGGAGTGGCTCACAGCCAACTGTGAAGTGGCTAGGATGAGAAACATCCATCCATCCTCAATCAATCAACCAGCCTTTATTTATAAAGCACCTTACAGGCATGAGCATGCCACCAAGGTGCTGTACAACAAAAGAATAAAACAATAAAACATGTGGCGCCACAGACATAATTAAAACCACAAATAAGAATTACAAAATATAAAACATAAACAATTGCTAGCCCACAGAATTAAAAGCCAGATCATAAAAGTAAATTTTCAGCCTCATTTTAAAAACTGCTACTGATGGAGAGCCCCTAGTAGTTAGGGGCAGTGCGTTCCACAGTTTCGGACCCCTCTCAACTTCAACCTGGCCTTAGGAGCCACGAGTAGCAGCTGGTTCTCAGAGCGGAGTGACCGGGCCGGAACATGTGGCTGCAGCAACTCCGCCAAATAGGCTAGAGCCACACCATTCAGTGCCTTAAACACCATTAAAAGAAGTTCAAAACGAATTCTAAAATCAACAGGCAACCAGTGGAGAGCAGCCGAACTTGGTGTCACGTGTTCATGCTTCCTTTTGTTGTACAAGAATCTTGCTGCAGCATTCTGGACAAGCTGCAGCCGGTTTACAGTACCCTTACTTACACCAAATAAAACGGAATTGCAGTAGTCGAGTCGTGAGGTAATAAAAGCATGAACAACAGTCTCAAGGTCACGTCTAGATAAAAACTGCTTTACTTTAGCCAAACGTCTTAAATGATAACATGAAGAGGATACTACAGTACCCACATGAGGATCCATGCAGAATGCACTGTCCATCTTCACGCCAAGGTTGACTGCTTAAACACCCAGACAGGAGTTCAGTTCACCGCAGCCTACGTTTGAAAAATCAACACGTCCGCTCGGACCAAACAACAGTGCCTCTGTTATTTTCTCATTGAGACACAGGAAGTTCTCTGCCAACCATTTCTTAATTAATCATCCATCCATTTTCATCCGCTTATCCAGAGTCGGGTCGCGGGGGGCAGTAGCCCAAGTCGAGAGGCCCAGACTTCCCTCTCCCTAGCCACTTGGGCCAGCTCCTCCGGGGAAATCCCAAGGCGTTCCCTGACCAGATGAGAGACATAGTCCCTCCACCGTGTCCTGGGTCTACCTATAGGTCTCCTCCTGGTTGGACATGCCCGGAAAACCTCACCAGGGAGTCATCTTAAGCCATGTCCACACGTAGCTGGGGATCTGCCAAAACATAGATATTTTTCTACGTTTTGGCCTGTCATCCACCCGAAAACGGAGTTTTTTCACACGAAAACGGATCTTTTTAAAAACTCCGGCCAAAGTGAAGATCTGCGTTTTCTCCGTTTTGGGTGTCTGCGTGTGGACAGACAAAACCGGAGTTTTAAGGTCTGCAACGTCACTTTCCGCGACAAAAAAATGCTGACATCACGTGTGCGACCTGTGTTTACACTAGCCGACAGCATGGATGCCCTCAGAGCTGCGCTCGCTTTATCAATTGTCCAAGCGCTTTTTGCTTGTTTGTTGTTGCAAGCGGAATTACTGATCCTTGCGGAAGACCACAGACGAAGGACGAGGTTAAGAACGGGGGAAGTACTGCCACCTACAGGTCTGGCATGTCCTTAACAATGTATTTATCCGGGTACGTGTGGACAGAGTTTTTTTTTAAACGAGGTGGTGTGGATGGAAGTTTTTGGAGGGGCGGATATTCGTTTTTTTTTTTTAAATGGCTACGTGTGGACTAGGCCTTAATCAGATGCCCGAGCCACCCCAACTGGCTCTTCTCGATGTGGAGGAGCAGCGGGTCTACTCCGAGCCCCTCTTGGATGACCGAGCTTCTCACCCTACCTCTAAGGGAGCGCCCAGCCACTCTGCAGAAAAATCTCATTTTAGCCACTTGTATCCGCAATCTTGTTCTTTCGTTCACTACCCTAAGCTCATGACCATAGGTGAGGGTAGGAACGTAAAAGGAGAAACAGCTCCTCTAAATCCGAGACCACGGTCTTGAATCTGAAAAAGGTAGAATGCCTTCACCAGGTCAGGGATGAAGTCCTGCCCAGAGTGGAGGATTTTAAGTATCCAGGTTTCTTGTTCACAAGTGAGGGAAAGATGGAGCGTGAGATAAATCGGCGGATTGCTGCTACCTCTGCAGTGATGCGGGCGTTGTACCAGTCTGTCGTGGTGAAGAGAGAGCTGAGTCAGAAGGCAAGGCTCTCGATTTACTGGTCGATCTACGTTCCTACCCTCACTTATGGTCACGAGCTTTGGGTAGTGACTGAAAGAATGAGATCATAGATAAAGGCAAGTTTCCCCTAAAGGGTGTCTGAGCTCTCCCTTTGAGATAGGGTGAGAAGTTCAGTCATCTAAGAGGTGCTTGGTGTAGATCCACTGCTCCTCCACATTGAGAGGAGCCAGTTGAGGGTGCTTGGGCATCTCGTTAGGATGCCTCCTCGATGCCTCCCTAGTGAGGTTTTCTGGGCACGTCCAACCAAGAGGAGACCTAAAGGAAGACCCAGGACACGTTGGAAGGACTATGTTTCTTGGCTGGTCATTAGCTGCAAACGTCCCTCTATACAGGACCTGAACACCTCCAGAACATTGGGGCATGCAGGTTGGATCACAGCTGACCCGTCTCACCCTGGACACGGTCTTTTCGACTTGCTGGCAGGAGTTTCCGATGCATTCCAACCAGAACCTCTCACCACTCGGCTGGCCAGGGAGCACCTCAGGATTCCCCCAGAGGAGCTGGCCCAAGTGGCTGGGGAGAGGAGATTCTGGGCCTCCCTGCTTAAATTATATGCATTTTATTATCATTATGATTAAAGATGAGTACATTTTAAAATAACAAATGAAGGTAGAAGAAGCACATTTCCAAATGACTCTTATTCACAATAAAGTTTTAGTAACCTTCCACTAGACCAGGAGTGGGGAACCCTGGTCCTCGAGGGCCGGTTTCCTGCACGTCTTTGCTCCAACACTTCTGATTCAGTGGTTGATTCACCTGTTCTGCAGCTCATCAGGCTCTGCAGAGGCCTGTTAATCACCTCCTCATTGAAATCAGGTGTGATGATGCAGGGCTGATACTAAAATATGATGGATAGCGGCCCTCGATGGACCAGGGTTCCCCACCCCGGCTGCACTAGACAATGTATTTATGTTAGAGCAGTCCAACATAAATGTGGACAATATTTAACTCTTAGTGGAATATTAGCAAAACATACTTGTGTAAGAATTGGCCACCTGTACGCTATAAGGTAACTAATTTAAAAGACATGATGTGACATAACTGTTCTGCAATGAAAATGCATGTAAAATTTAAGTACATGAAAATATATGGGGTATTTTTTTCACATTTTACATGTTTGCTCATAATTAATTAACAATGTGGGTTTTTTACATGGCGAACCGTGAAAACGGCATACATTTAGCTTCTGAAAAATTTTATCTGCCACCATGGTATCAGGTGTAGCATCATGCCTCTGTATTTGGCATTCATTTCACTAATCTTTGATGGTAGAAGTCTAAATGTATGTCATTTACACCAGACAAACGCGGGTTTCACATGTTAAATTTTAGATCTCCGGCACAAAGAATTACTCAGTTACAAAGAGAATTTTGGTCTCCACTTGAATTTCCTTGTAAATAAAACCAACAACTGATATTTGAATTAAAATAAGGATTTCTGACCAGAGCCAGACGCTACGTTTGGCTGACAGGGTTTGGATTAACTTCAACTCCTCTCTTCTCCATCTCATTAATTCAAGAGGCCGAGCCTTAACATCTGATCTGATAAGAAAACACTTTGAGACTTGAGAGGTTCAATTGCTAATGTCTACTTAACTACAAACACGCACACACACACAAACATACACGCTATACCTGTCTCTGTATCATTGTGTGGACCCTCCATTGACTTTCATTCATTTTTGGGACTCCACTATGTCTAACCCTAACCCTGACCAGTGTTGTTCTATTCCTAACCCTAATCTAAACCAAAGTTAATTCACTCCAAACCTCTAAAACCCCGTTTAACCCTCTCACTGTTTTCATGGGTGACCCCGTGAAGAAAGTTGACCATTGAGCAGGGTTGATGGTTTATCCCTTGAGGTTCACGTGGCAGGGGTGAGGAGTGAGCACCACCTCACCCCTGCCACGTGGACTTCAAGGGATAAACCATCAACCCTGCTCAATGGTCATCTTTCCCAGCGGGGTCACCCATTAGGACAGTGGGAGGGTTAAGGGAATTTTGTAGTGATGCACGATATGAAAATTTTGGGCCGATACTGCTATCTGATATCAAGATCACTGTTATGGCCGATAACCGATATTTGCCGATACAATATACTGGCATTAATGCTTCTAAAATCAGCAGATTTCGTATAGAATAAAAATTATGAAAGCTGAATTTACGTTATTATGTACACACACCACACACATTTACGCTTCTGAAATTATTACAATCACTGTTCACATGACTAAACAATTACACATCACCCCCTCACCCTCTGAAACAGGCAAACAAATGGAGACGAGATGGAACAATAATCGGTTGTTAATATCGGCCTGGTTTTATTTATCGAACCGATACCGATATCTTAAAAAATGACTAACATCGGCCGATACCGATATTGATGCCGATATATTTGCCATCCCTAGTATTTTGTCATTGTAGACCAGCAAAATGTCCCCACAATGTGGAAATGTCCACTCACTACAGGTTAAACGTTAAAATGTGTCCACTTGAGCATATAAAGACAAGTACACACACACACACACACACACACACACACACACACACAATAAAATCACACGTCTGCAGCCTGGTAAAGAGTGGGTAGAATTGGATCTCCTCCTGTCACATAGTGCGTCTTGGTAACTAGAAATTAAATTATGCAAAAGGCTCTTGCATTGTTTGTATGAGCAGGTGGAAGACTTGATCAGATGTGCTGCTGCTGTTCCATCTTATGTCTCTCATGACCTTCATTTCCGTTCAGAAGCATCACAAAGAAGGTTGGAACGAACGAGTGGACATGCATTTTAAACCGGACTCACACAAGAAGAAGCTGTATTTTTACCTAAAGAAGTCCTTTTCAACTGCTCTAGCATTGTTATTATTTAAAAAGAAAACTGGCTGGACGACCGTTTTTAATGTTTTAAGATGGGAAGTTCCTGTTCCTGCTGAAGTGACCCAACAAAGATGAAGAACATAAGAGTTTTGCTTGATAATTAAAAAGGAATTCAGTTCATTAACCTAATCACTGCTGATTCAGAAAACACCACCTCAGCGAGGCCAGGTTTCTGTTTTATTCTCACAGAATTTCATAATTTTATTAATTTTTTTAGATTATCTGAACCATTTTTGTGCAACGTGGAAATCAGGACTTTGCCTTTCGGCAATTATTGATTTAGATCATGATAGAATAGCAATTTGTTCCTTTTTTTAAATAAATAATTTGGATATAGTGTTGGCGTGTCTGCAGAAATAAGTTGGTATTTGAACAAAATCGTGCGGATCACCGTTCTGTCTGAGTGTGGTTGTGAGTCCAAACCCATCCTTTCTGCTACGTCAGACCAAAGAATAGCAAGTTGAGAAATTCTTTAACAGCTTGTAGCGCAATAGGAATTTTAGAAATGTGACAGTGATTTACACTTTATTGCTGCTACAGTTCATACGTAGGCTTGGTTTTAATTCCTAAAAATGTTTTGGTTCTCGTTTAAGGAGTTTTTTACCTGACTAGACATGACCAGACAAACCAACATGACCAGGTTTGGTGACTTGACCAGAATTTTCTAACACACATCTGGATTACAAGGAACGCACATTGTTGTTTTTATTTATCTATTTATTTTTTGTAGACTTGGGATTTTAACCTTAGGGGTGGGACCCCCAGGTACGGCTGGTGATCAGGGAACTTGTTCTAAACCCTAACTCTAATGTATTTCTGGATTATGAGGACCACCACATTTTTGTTTATCTCTGAAGAGTACACAGCTTTGAAACCGCCAACAAAAACATTCGTATTCACAGATTTTAGGTTGAAATGAGGAAAACCACCAGATGAGAAAACCATAGGACTCACCTTTGTGTTGCTTGATATACCCCTCCTTGTTATGAGTACAAAAGTTTATGAACCAAGATCTTCGATCTTTTAGGTCAGTTGTAAGAGCTCCAAATTAAATAAAAGAATGTAACTCATTTACATCAGCTTACAAGACAATGATACTTTCTTGGCCATGAGGACAAGGATTAAAGATAAAAAATTATGTCTAAATTCAGAATACTCATGGGTAGGATTTTAAAATATTATCAAATACATCAAATATAAAGTTAAAGTCCCATTAGTTGTCACACACACTGATGTGTGCGCAAAACTTGTTCTCCGCATTTGACCCGTCCCCTAGGGGAGCGGTGAGCTGCAGACACAGCCACGCTCGGGAACCATTTGGTGGTTTAACCCCCCAATCCAACCCCTTAATGCTGAGTGCCAAGCAGGGAGGCATTGGGTCCCATTTTTTCAAAGTCTTTGGTCTGACCCGACCAGGAATCAAACCCTTATCTCCCAGTCTCAGGGTGGACACTCTACCACTAGGCCACTGAGCTGGTATATACGGTATAAAACACACTGTCTTTTCTATTTTATTGAATAGAAATACATGAAAAATAACTCTTCAAGATAAATTAATGATCAGATCATACTTTACAGTAAATTTTAAATGATTTACATGAATTTACTGAGTTATAATTATTGTTGTTTAACTTAAATTATTGTGTTGGTCTTGTTATGTCTTCCAGTCTTCAAGGAGAGGTTATTTTATTCATTTCTCAAACAGGTAAATCTTCTGATAGGAGCCGATAAAAGTACAGAAAAGCAACATGTTACTTGATAAAACCTAAAACAACGATGTAAAGAAACGATGAGCTTTGATAAAAAAGGTTTTACTAAAAAAGCCCAGGATGACAAGAGAGGAAGCAGAAATGACAGCATTGTGTGTGTGTGTGTGTGTGTGTGTGTGTGTGTGTGTGTGTGTGTGTGTGTGTGTGTGTGTGTGTGTGTGTGTGTGTGTGTGTGTGTGTGTGTGTGTGTGTGTGTGTGAAGGGTTAAGGTTAGATCAAACTGACCGTGGTTTTGTAGGTGATGGCTTTCTCCAGCCCCTCGGGTGAGATCTGCAGCAGCTCTGCCACCACTCGAATCTCCTGAGCGCTCACCACCGACGCCACCTCTTGGCCATCCGACTTCAGCACAGCAGAGACCAAAATAAACATTTCATCCGTTATTTGTAGGAAATCTGAGTGTTCTCACAAACGGAAGAAACAAAGCTCAAGTTTAAGTTACGATTTATTTTAAATGATTAAAAAGTACCACAAATAGTTGATATACAACATGATTTAACCCTTTCTAGTCATCAACCCACTTCTGGCCATGAAGCAGACAGTGTTAGGATTAGTTAGTTCATCAGAAACCTGTCATGTCTAGTCTGCTACCCCCTGGATCTACAGCTGGTGAGAACCAGTTCATTTCCTTTATTACTGTTATTTTTATATAACTACATAAGTAAATAAAATGTATTATTATGGTGTTTCTATGTTAAGATTAGATAAGATTCACACTGCTCAAAGTATAAAGGTAGCACAAAAATAAGACATCCTAGATCTGATTGAATGAAATGTTGTTATTAAATATTTTGTTCTTTACATGGTTGAATGTGCTGAAAACAAAATCACACAAAAATGATCAAAGGAAGTCAAATTTAACAACCCGTGGAGGTCTGGATTTGGAGTCAACATTAAAGTGTATAAACACTACAGGCTGATCCAGCTGGGATGTAATGTCCTTAAAACAAAACAAAATGAAGTTCAGGAGAGGGTGAGGCCTCCACGTGCCTGCATGACGTCCCTACAACGCCTGGGCGTGCTCCTGATGAGGCGGTGGATGATCTCCTGAGGGGTCTCCTCTCAGAACTGGACTAAAGTGTCCACCAACTCCTGGACAGTCTGTGGTGCAACGTGGTGTTGGTGGATGGAGAGACATGATGTCCCTGATGTGCTCGGCTGGACTCAGGTCTGGGGACCAAGCGGGCCGGTCCATAGCATCACTGCCTGCGTCTTACAGGAACTGCTGACACACTCCAGCCACATGGGGTCTAGCATTGTCTCGCATTAGGAGGACCCCAGGGCCAACTGCACCAGCATGTGATCTCAGAAGGGCTCTGAGGATCTCATCTCGGTACCCAATGGCAGTCAGGCTAGCTCTGGCGAGGACTAAATAGAGGGCTGTGTGGCCCCCCAAAGAAATATCACTCCACACCATTACTGACCCACTGCCAAACCGGTCATGCTGGAGGATGTAGCAGGCAACAGAACATTCTCCACGGCATCTCCAGACTCTGTCACATCTGCTCAGTGTGAAAATGCTTTTGTCTGTGAAGAGCACAGGGCACCAGTGGTGAATTTGCCAATCTTGGTGTTCTCTGGCAAATGCCTATCATCTTGCACGGTTTTGGGCAACCCCCACCTGTGGACGTTGTGCCTTCATACCACCCTCATGGAGTCTGTTTCTGACCATTTGAGCAGACATGCACATTTGTGGCTCGCTGGAGGTCATTTTGCAGAGCTCTGGCAGTGCTCCTCCTGTTCCTACCTGCACAAAGGCAGATTTAGCGGTCCTGCTGCTGGGTTGTTGCCTTCCTACGGCCTCCTTCACATCTCCTGATGTACTGGCCTGTCTCTTGGTAACGCCTCCATGCTCTGAACGTGACGCTAACAGACACAGCAAACATCCATTGATGTGCCATCCTGGATGAGCTGCGTTACCAGAACCGACTGAGTGGGTTGTATTCTCTGCCTCGCGCTACCACTAGAGTAAAAGCACCGCCAGCATTCAAAGGTGACCAAAAACATCAGCCAGAAAGCAGGAACTGAGAAGAAGTCTGGGGTCTCCACCTGCAGAACCACGCGTTTATATTTGCCACCTGTTGTTTTTTCCATTTGCACAACAACAAGTGAAACTGATTGTCAGTCTGTGGTGCTTCCCAACTGGACAGTTTGATTTCACAGAAATGTGACTGACTTGGAGTTAAATTGTGTTGTTTAAGCGTTCCCTTTATTTTCTTGAGCTATGTAGTTTGTTTTTTCTTGTTATTGTGTCATATTTCAGATCGTCATGGATCAATGTAGGTATGTAATGGCACTTTTTGTCTCCACTGGATGGTGTAAACCAAAAAAAAACTAAATAATTAATAAATAAATAAACAAACTAACACATCATTTTATATTGACCTCATGGAAAGAAAAGGTCTTCAAAAACGAACATGTGGTAAACGACAGTTAAGTGTCAGAGATTAGGAGCTTCATAACCTCTGGAAACAAACTATTCCTTCGTTTTCTTGACAGGAAATTGAGGCGGCTCAATCCTGTGCCTGAAAGAAGTAGGGTGCAGGATGGAGGAGGTCCTTTGCTATACTCCAGAGAAGGAGGGCTCCTATTGGCTCATTTCTGAGCAGAGTCAACAACTCCAGCATGTTTGATTGCTTCAAGTTAGCACCACCCAGATTATGGATTGTGAATGAGTCTCGGCTACTAAAACGTATAAATGCACCTCAAAATCTGCAAAATTGGGGTGACGGTGGCACAGGAGTTAAGTGCTCGCCCCGCAATCGGAAGGTTGCAGGTTCGAGCCCCACTCAGTCTGTCGCTGTCGTTGTGTCCTTGGGCAAGACACTTAACCCACATTGCCTGCTGGTGGTGGTCGGAGGGACCGGTGGTGCCAGTGTTCGGCAGCCTCGCCTCTGTCAGTGCGCCCCAGGGCAGCTGTGGCTACATCGTAGCTCATCCCCACCAGTGTGTGAATGTGTGTGTGTGAATGGGTGAATGACTGATTGTGTTGTAAAGCGCCTTGGGGGGTTCCAGGACTCTAGAAGGCGCTATATCAAATACAGACCATTTACCATTTAAAATAGCCTTTTGTGTTAATGCTGATTAACAATGACAGCTACTTGAATCACTCTGGCTCCAAATGAAGTAGTTTTCTCAGACTTTCTACAATTTAATAAAGTGATTTATGAACCACCCTTCTTAAAGATGGGGACCACCACCCCGGTCTGCCACTCCCTAGGAACTGCCCCCGATGACCACGCAGTGTTGTAGAGATGTGTCAACCATGACAGCCCTACAACATCCATAGCCTTGAGATACCCAGGACGAACCTCATCCGCCCCCGGGGCTCCGCCGCTGTGTAGTTGTTTGACTACCTCAGCAACTTCTGCCCCCGAGATCGGACAGTCCATCCCCAGGCCTCCCAGCTCTGGTTCCTCCTCGGAATGCGCATTGGTGGGATTGAGGAGCTCCTCAAAGTATTCCTTCCACCGTCCGACTATAGCCTCAGTTGACGTCAGCAGCTCCCCATCCCCACTGTAAACAGTGTGAGCGAGTTGCTGCCTTCCTCTCCTGAGGCGCCGGACAGTTTGCCAGAACCTCTTTGGAGCCGATCGATAGTCTTTCTCCATGGCCTCACCAAACTCCTCCCACGCCCGAGATTTTGCCTCGGCAACTGCCACTGCTGCACCCCGCTTGGCTATCCGGTACCTGTCTGCTGCCTCCGGAGACCCACAGACCAGCCACGCCCTGTAGGCCTCCTTCTTCAGCCTGACGGCTCCCCGAACCTCTGGTGTCCACCAGCGGGTACGGGGGTTGCCACCACGACTGGCACCGGCCACCTTACGACCACAGCTAGCAACAGCCGCCTCGACAATCGCAGAGTGGAACAAGGCCCACTCGGACTCAATGTCCACTGCTCTCGGGACGTGGTCAAAGCTCTGCCGGAGGTGGGAGTTGAAGACCGTCTTGACAGGTTCTTCTGCCAGGCGTTCCCAGCAGACCCTCACTATGCGTTTGGGTCTGCCAGGTCTACGCGGCATGTTCCCTTGCCATCTGATCCAACTCACCACCAGGTGGTGATCAGTTGACAGCTCCGCCCCTCTCTTCACTCGGGTGTCCAAAACATACGGCCGCAGGTCAGATGATACGACTACAAAATCTATCTTGACCTGAGGGTGTGTTCCAACTATAGGGGGATCACACTCCTCAGCCTCCCTGGAAAGGTCTACGCCAAGGTACTGGAGAGGAGGGTCCGATCGATAGTTGAATCTCAGATTGAGGAGGAGCAATGTGGTTTTCGTCCTGGCCGTGGAACTGTGGACCAGCTCTATACCCTTGCAAGGGTGATGGAGGGGGCATGGGAGTTTGCCCAACCAATCCACATGTGTTTTGTGGATTTGGAGAAGGCTTATGACCGTGTCCCCAGGGGCACCCTGTGGGGGATGCTCCAGGAGTATGGGGTGGGTGGCTTTCTGTTAAGGGCCATTCAGTCCCTTTACCAGAGGAGCGTGAGTTTGGTCCGCATAGCCGGTAGTAAGTCGGACCTGTTCCCAGCGAGGGTTGGACTCCGCCAGGGCTGCCCTTTGTCACCAGTTCTGTTCATCACTTTTATGGACAGAATTTCTAGACGCAGCCGTGGTGTGGAGTGTGTCGAGTTTGGTGGCAGGAGAATCTCGTCTCTGCTTTTTGCGGATGATGTGGTCCTCCTAGCTTCATCCAGCTCTGACCTTCAGCTCTTGCTGGGTAGGTTCGCGGCCGAGTGTGAAGCGGCTGGGATGAGGATCAGCACCTCCAAATCTGAGACCATGGTTCTCGACCGGGAAAGGGTGGCTTGCCAACTCCGGGTCGGGGGAGTGGTCCTACCTCAAGTGGAGGAGTATAAGTATCTCGGGGTCTTGTTCACGAGTGAGGGTAGGAGGGATCGGGAGATCGACAGGCGGATTGGTTCGGCGCCTGCAGTGATGCGGACGCTGAGCCGATCTGTCGTGGGGAAGAGGGAGCTGAGCCAGAAAGCCAGGCTCTCGATTTACCGGTCGATCTACGTCCCAAACCTCACCTATGGTCATGAGCTTTGGGTAATGACCGAAAGAACGAGATCGCGGATACAAGCGGCCGAAATGAGTTTCCTCCGCAGGGTGGCCGGGCTCAGCCTTAGAGATAGGGTGAGGAGCTCGGACATTCGGGAGGGACTCGGAGTAGAACCGCTGCTCCTCCGGATCGAAAGGAGCCAGTTGAGGTGGTTTGGGCATCTGGTCAGGATGCCTCCTGGACGCCTCCCCGGGGAGGTGTTTCGGGCATGTCCTGCCGGCAGAAGGCCCCCGGGGCGACCCAGGACACGTTGGAGAGGTTATATCTCCAATCTGGTCCGGGAACGCCTTGGGGTCCTGCCGGAGGAGCTGGTGGACAAGGCCGGGGAGAGGACGGCCTGGAGCTCCCTAGTTGGGATGCTGCCCCCGCGACCCGGACCCGGATAAGCGGAGGAAGACGACGACGACGACGACGATTTATGAACCACACACGCACGCACACACACACACACACACTGCACCGCCTTTTTTCATTTGGCAGCAAACAAAAAGAATCAACTAAAAGATTCACCTCGTGTCTCTGAAAGTAGACATTTCCTAGATGCAGGATGGAGGAGAGCACCCTAAAAATGGCCGACTGATCATCCGGGGTGAAGTGAAGGATATCCATGGCGGAAAGCAGACGGTGGAAGTCACCTGCGTCGCTCTTCCCCTTTATCATACAATTCCCGCCCTGTGTTTTGAAAAGGGACCACCAAACAAGATCTGAGGTGTGATCACCCTGAGCGTCAGTAAAAAGAAGGCATTGTTCCGCACACTGAGCCCTACCTGGTTGAGGTAATAGTAGGTTTCAGCATCTTGCAGATAGAAAGCTTGTTTCTGCTGAGATGGAAGACCTGCCAGCATCTCATAGAAGATGTGATAGTTCCTCTCGTCTTTGGCCTGAAGCAGACATTTGCATTGGTCCCCATGTCCGGACAAATACAGGAGCTAAATGGTCTCTTTGTGTATCTACATGTCTCACCTGGAAGACAATACGGGACTTTTCCAGAAGATACTGATTGGTTATGGCACCGCTGATCATACCACTAAATGAATGAGGACACGGTAGAAAATTAGAAACAAGAGATCATGAAGAAAAGAGAAAAAGACGAATGACAAATAAGTATCCAATTCTTACTCACTTCTCCAGAAAGACCTCTATGAATTTCCCAAAGCGACTGGAATTATCATTCCGCACGGTTTTGGCATTTCCAAAAGATTCCAGCAGAGGAGCGGCCTCAAGAATCTAACAGAAATTTAAACGTGTAACATTAATATCAGCAACTGCTCAAACCATGCTTTGCTAAAGTAAACATTCCCACAGTTTTCTAAGTTTTCCTGGAAAAAGAATCCTAAAAATGACATTATTTATCTAATTTGCACATTTCTGCTTCACGTCTGTTTGAAATGCTCAGGCTCCGTATCTTTAACTGTAGTTTGCTAGTTCACACACATGGTATTCTTGTGAATAAGAACTGTTTAACATAAATGGTATCATATAATAAATAGAAGACAGAAAATACTTCAATATTCACACAACAGTACAAAACAGTGGGGATTTTGAATGCAGCAAATGTTGCCTGGACCCTTTTAGATGTGACACACTCTAAGCCTGATCACTTCCTGCCTTTGATGTAAAAGAAAGTAAGTAAAGCTAAAGGCGTATTACTGTTACTATGACTTTATTTTTAGTTGATGATTTCCAGCACATTTTTAATTATGGCCAGATGTGGTGATATGTTAGCATTAGCATTAGCATAAGACAGCTAATGCTGTATATGAATTTGCCAAATTGTGTTTTACAAATATTGTGATTGCAATTTGTAGTAAATTGCAAAAAAGTACAATTACATCATATTTAAAGGTTTTGCTAAACAAATAAACTACAAAACTGTTTAAAAAATATATTCAAAATGACCAAAATATCTATTTAGAAACATGCATGTTTTCTAAGTAAAATGTAAAAAAGAAAACACTTGAATTTCATAACAATCTGGTTCCACAACACAGCAAAACACAGCTTTCTATGCTAAGAAACAAAAGATTAGGAAAACACCAGGTGGCATGCAGGAAACTGTACTACCTCAATCTGCACCAGAGCAGTGCCATCGCGCATTTAGAAAGTAAAACAAGAAGGTATGAAGACACATTACTAATTTAAGCAAACATAATGATTGTGTGTGTGTGTATGTGTGTGTGTGTGTGTGTGTGTGTGTGTGTGTGTGTGTGTGTGTGTGTGTGTGTGTGTGTGTGTGTGTGTGTGTGTGTGTGTGTGTGTGTGTGTGTGTATTGTAAAAATATAATCTGATTAGATTACTTCATGCATATCCACATGTGCTTTCATACCTGTTGTGCAAGACTTGACTTGTGATGTATTGCTGTCAGGTAGCGAAGGACAAGTTTGGTGGCTTCTGTTTTTCCGGACCCACTCTCTCCACTGAAACACACACACACACACACACACACACACACACACACACACACACACACACACACACACACACACATCAAATCAACAGATGAATAAGCCCAGAAAAAAAGGGGAATTTGGAATCCCCTTTCTCCATTCAGGGTGCTTTCCTTACCTCACTTTCTGATTGGCTACACATCACAACGAACAGGCATTGCACTCATTTAAGACTGTCCAACATGTTCCATATCCCAGAAAGGTGATCAGTGACTTACTTGTTGCGCTTGATAAAAAGCAGAACTGTGCTTCACTTTTCACCGATCTGTCAAAAGCCTTTGACACAGCAGACCATGCTGTTTTAAAACATAAGCTTCTTGCTGGGATTGTCTGAACATGCGATCACATAAACCACAGACTACGTGAAGGACAGAACTCAATGCATTAAATGTGATGGGTTGTCGTCTGAATTTTTGAATGTCCACAAAGGAGTACCACAGGGTTCAGATTTGGGACCCCTCTTGTTCATTATGTATGTCTGAATATAATTACACAAGAAATACATGTACATTAAAAACAATACATTGGACAATTGATTTAACACATTCACACTCACATACAATCTCCCTAAAAGATTGTTAAAACATTTAAAATTATACCGCCCCTACAGATGTGCACACTTTTGACTCTAAAGGAGCTGAATGTAGAACACTCTCTCATAGTTAGTGGGAGTCTATGCCATAGATGAACACGTTGGATAAATAAAACATTCTGCCCAAAGGTTTTCCGTCTGCGGGGTATAGTCAAATCTCCTTGGGTTGTAGCTTGTGTGGTCCTGTCTAGATTACGTTTACATTTAATGAACTCCTTTAGCGGTGGTAGGGTGAGGGAGTGTAGGACTTTGCAGATCAGTCTTTTAAGATTCAGCATGTTCAGTAATCTATGCTTTTTTACAACATTGTACCTGGTGGTGGGAAACAGGCTTTTGATTAAGTATTTTTAGTCCTCTTTTATGGAGGTGTTCAATGTTCTCAAGCGTCGTTGTGCATCCAAGAGACCAAGAAGTCAAGCAATAGTCCATATAGGAGTTGATCGTAGAGTGAAAGTACATTTTTGCAGCCTTCATATTTAAATGACTACGAATGTGATTAAAATTTCAATTATTACATTTTATTACCCAGGACACTTTCTTTACATGACTCTTGAAGGGCAATGTTGGATCATGACTCAGAGATATTTAAGCTCTGGGACTAAATCAAGCTCTGCTCCATTTAGAAAATGTTTTGAGCTTATCTCCTTGAATACATTTAAAACCAGACGGAGAGCCCTTGTTGTAACTGCCTTCTGTAATTTTGTACATAACATGTCTGTGTAACTGAAAAAAATAATTGTAAGTGTAACTTTTGCTGCCTCTTGGCCAGAACTCCCCTGAAAATGAGGTTTTTAATCTCAATGAGACCTTCCTATAAAGTATAAATGAATAAAATGAAAGGAGTGGACCCGGTGCCATTACGAGCAGGTTGGTGCACTCTTAACTCCCACTGTCCTAATGAGTGTGACCCCGCAAGGAAAGTTGGGTCCACGTGGCAGGGGTGAGGAGTGAGCACCACCTCACCCCTGCCACGTGGACCTCAAGAGATAAACCATCAATCCTGCTCAATGGTCAACTTTCCTCGGGGGGTCACCCATAAAGACAGTGGGAGGGTTAACACACCACACATGGCAGGAATATCCGATAAGATTATCCTTAGAGCCATTATGGCGATCTGACTTATCCTGAAGATTATCAGGTAGAGAATCTAGTCAAAAATTGGCTAAATGGTGTTGCTGTGTGAACCAGGCCTAAGACAATTAAATGTGTAAATAATACTTCATCTTATCTTTTGAAAGTGAACAAATGTTTGAATGTCTATAATTCCCAAAAACTACAAATTTGTGACTAATAGATGCTTTTGAAACCCTAAAAGTAAAAACAACTAATACTTTTACTAATATGCACATTTTTTATTATTTACTTATTTAATTGGCATTCTCATGAGGTGCAATAATCCTCAGGTAGAGCGTGATGGATGACTTTTATTATCTACTTGGGTTGAATTCTTTGATCCTTTTTACCTCTCTGCTCTTGCTCAATGGGTGTTTAACTTAACTGACTAAGTTATGTGAGAACAGGCCAAGCTCACATTAGGCAAGAGCTCAATTCCACTTTGTGGTAAACTACCTGACACTGCCCCCCCCCCCCCCCCCCCACACACACACACACACACACTGCAACATAGCTGCCAACAAATTAGCACTAAATACCACATTAGCTGTACCAGCCTTTGTTACTGGGAGAAACTGTGTGTGTGTGTGTGTGTGTGTGTGTGTGTGTGTGTGTGTGTGTGTGTGTGTGTGTGTGTGTGTGTGTGTGTGTGTGTGTGTGTGTGTTCAGTGATAATTGTCTGTGAGCTGAAGCCATATGCTGGAATGTTGTGACATTACAACTGTCTGTACATACACACACACACACGCACACACATTCTTGTCTAACAGTCGTCGTGAGGACCTTCAATGACTTCCATTCATTTTAGTGGCTAGATTGTGCCTAACCCTAACCCTAGCCAGTCTATGCCTGACCCTAACTAAAGTTTAATCACACCATACCTCTAAAACTAACGAGTAAAGCTCTGTAACATTGTATGAAAGTGGGCAGCAGCAAAATCTTCTCACTTCACCACTAATGTCCTCTAGCCTGGCCTGCCAGACTCGTCCTCTGTTTAATTCTGCACAGAGAATTAAATGTGTGCAGAATTAAACAGAGGACAAGTCTAGCAGGCCAGGCTAAATGTTCTCAGTTTACAAGTAAAAAGCTTGTCATTGGTCCTCACTTTGATGTATAGACGAGTACAGACACACACACACACACGTGCGCGCGAACCCTTAGACCTCTGAAACACAATCTGCTCCTGATCCAGACCTGGCTGGGCTTTCCTTACAGGTGTCTCCTTCTGAGTGCGGCTAGAGTTTTCCAGGTGTGTAACACAACAGGCACGTTCGCTTGTTTTGTGTTAATACATGAGGGTTAGGGTTATATCTTAATGCAAACAACAATATCGTTGCAAATCTGTGGAGGCATATCACGTTTAATCATCCTTGCACATAACTATAGGTGTGTGTGTGTGTGTGTGTGTGTGTGTGTGTGTGTGTGTGTGTGTGTGTGTGTGTGTGTGTGTGTGTGTGTGTGTGTGTGTGTGTGTGTGTGTGTGTGTGTGTGTGTGTGTGTGTGTGTGTGTGTGTGTGTGTGTGTGTGTGTGTGTGTGTGTGTGATCGCTTCTTTGAGACACAAATTTCATTCAAGGTGCATTTCATTGTGAATTGCAAGTAGAGCTAGCTGAGGTGGTTTGGGCTTGTGGTTAGAATGTGTCCTGCACACCTCCCAGGGGAGGTGTTTCAGGCATGAGCTGCAAGCAGGAGGTCCCCGGGTCAACCCAGGACACGCTGAAGGGATAGTATCTCCACGTTAAACAGGGAGCGCCCTTGCAGTCTCACCATAGGAGTTGGTGGGGAGTAAACAGTTTGGCATCTCTGCTGGAGCTGCCACCCCGACAACCTGGGTCCAGGTACGCTGATAAAACAGAACCAGGTGGAAAGAAGGGCAATTTGCAAGTACAAATAGGATCTGCTAGGTAAAAGCTGAAGGTTTGTTAAATCGTTTTATCATACCCACTACAGTTGTTTTAGGATGGCAGCAAGCTTTGTTCTTACAGTAGTTCATTTAACCAAGACAAAATCTTCAAACTGACATTGTTTAAATAGTTTTTACGGCAGATATGAATGGTTTCTACTAGGGATGCACCGATACTAGTATCGGTAAAAGTTAACCGATACCAGGAGCTGATACCAATGCAGTTGCTTGAAAATGGCTTCACTGTAACTTGTCATTTCTGTTCACCTAATATTTTAGTTTTGTGATGATTTCTATTCATATATTTTACTTTTTATCTATCTCACAGTCTTTTCCTGTTGAAAGCAGAGAAGAAAATAAAATCTGTATTCCAAATCATTGCATTTTCTTGTGTGGTGGAAGTATCGGTATCGGTAATCGGCATCGGCGAGTACTCAGATCCAAGTATCGGTATCGTATCGGTTTGGAAAAAAGAGGTATCGGTGCATCCCTAGTTTCTACTCTTCTGCTGAGCCCCATTTCATAAGTTCTCTCTTGAGTTTGTTAGGCCCGTAAACCTGAGACAGTGAGTCATAAATCCTTCATTCCAAATGAAATGTGTAAATTGGATGTGTTTTTAGAATTTAGAGATTTTAGTGCCGGCTGCTTTACAATGCTGTCTCGAATTGCCCCTCGGGGACTAATAAAGTTGTCTTGAGCCTTGAGAAAACGAAAACTCAAATTGTCTCGATCACAGACCGTGCAATTCAAGTGTTGCAAGAAGTAGTTTTGTTCTGCACCAATGAAAAAGCATTCATATTAATGGGGAAGGAGTTTGAGTATCCTACCTGATTATTATGACTTGGTTTTGTTTGGCATCCATCATTTTGGAATAAGCAGCATTTGCTATGGCAAACAAATGCCTGTAAAACAAAAAAATGACCACAAAAAGCTTTTTAAACTCTTCTGAGGCGGGACCTGGAAACACAAAGCATCACACAGTTTCTTACCCTTATTTTGGTGATGGTAATTAGAACGTTTTTCTACTTTACGACAATAGCAACCGGCTCAGGAAGTCACAGAAATAGCTTTCATCTTTTTATCTGTTGCCACTAATTACCAATAAATGAGCTCTCTCTGTTTTTGATCAGAATATACAAATTATATCAGTTTTTGGGTGTTGCTTATTGATTTTTCTACAATGAGTTTGACTTACGGAGGGTTCTCTCCTAGAGCACATCCCTTGTACAGCAGCACCATGTCCGTCCCATAAATGTTGTACATCTTGTAAGGATTCACAGATACCAGAATACTACCAATATATGTCTGACAAATAATGAAGAGAAATAGAAAGATGTAAGTGAACTAAATAAACAGAAAACAAATAAAAATTAATTCCATTGTTGTTTGTGTTATGGTGATACTGACATAAATCAGCTCCCTCTCAAACCTTCTCCTCATGTTCAGAAGAACAGCTCCTTCGTGCATCTCACTAGAAAAAAGCATTGAGTTATCCAAGTGTGCTTAGAAGCAAAATAGTTTGTCTTAAATTAATTTTACAGCTTGGGTTTGACTTTTCTTTGCATTTCTTATTTATTTGAAGTCTGTCTGATGGGTAACTCTCATTCCCTGAGTAGGATTTTTTGGTACTTACTCCAACTGTGTCATATCTTCCATACCGTCTTCCTCTCTGAACTCTCGCTCAGCTAATGTGGCCATGCTTCTGATGGAGTACATCTAAAACATAAAAATACACACAACACAATCATGAAAAGACAGGACCACATTCATTGAAAATCCTTTTGAGATTTTTCTTGATAAAAACTTTCTATTTCTGAAATCCGTCATTAATAACTAATGGTATTTTTTTCTGGTTTACATAATGCCCCTTTCACACTAGCATCGGCTCCACACCACCCAGACTGCCCCAGTCAGCCCCAGCCCGGCCCAGTTGATTCCACACATCCTTGCTTAGGAATGCAGTGAGAGAAGTTCTCAGCTCCTGTGTAATCAGCATGATAATGCCGTATACCCAAGTGGGCTGATTCTACCCACCAATTGGAGGCTTTCTCTTATCGAAGGTATAAATTTGAGCTGGCTTATCAGTCAGCAGTGGGTGTCTTGGCGCTGGTCAGCCTGAAGCAGACCACCTCAGGAAGAGGGCTGAAAAACAGTCCGGTTGCACCCTGAAAAAAGGCAGGCTATGCTAATATGAGCACTCTCTATGCTATCCAGATCATGCGAAACCAATGCTAGTGTGAAAGTGGCTTAATGTACCGTAGATGTTCATGGTGGATTTCAGTTGACTGTTACCTTGTCAAACCACTCTCCCTTTGGTTCCCCCTCTCTGTTGAGATTCCACTTCCCTGGTTTCTCGCCAATCTGTCTCAGTTGCATTGAGCTCTGGGGATCTGGGAGCTCTCCCTCTCCATACATGGACCATTTATTGAGGTTCTGCACTGTCCCATGAGGGAGAACTCTCTCTGCCCCCCACACATCTAAGTCTTGTTGGAGTCCTAAGGCTTCAGAACCTTGTGCCCAATGTTGTTCAGGACCAGATCCCTGGACTTGGGGTGGAACCACAGCATATGAGGATAGGCGAAAAGAGCCTCTCTGGAGGTGAGTGCTCTGCAAAGCACCAGAGAGATTAAGCGTGCGCTGTTGTGGAGTGCTTGGGGCACCAAGTCTTGTCATGATACTACCTTCAGGCAGGCGATATTTTGCCCCACGAAGGTTTGGATTCTTTGATAAAGCATTAGACAGATCAAGTGACTGTGGTGAAGAAGCTGTCTGAGAGCGAGTTATAAGTGTTCCATCTGGCAGACGATAAGTAGAAGATCGAATGTTCTTGTTGCTAAGAGCGCTAGAGAGATCAAGAGAGCGTGGCTCAGAAGTCTTGGCAGATCCATGCTGCTTTAACAATAATGTGTTTGGGAGATTATAAGACACACCACGGATGTTGGTGTTTAGCATGGCCCCTGAAAGGAGAGGATTTGATGGACTTTGAGGTTGATTTTGTGAAAACAGAGATGATCCTTCTGGAAGTTGAAACTTTGCTTTACGGAGATTTGCATTCATGAGGGCACTAGCCAGCCCAGGTGAGGAGCCTGGATTCTCAGCAGTCTCTGTACTCTCTCCTGGACGTGTTAGAAAAGAACCATCTGGTAATCGATAAGAGGCCTTCCGCACATTTGCATTGAGAATAGCAGATGAGAGTATTGGAGAGGAAGACTTGGGAACTGGCTCATTTCTTGTAACCAAAGTTCCATCTGGCAATCTGTATGTTGCTTTACGTACATTAGAGTTCAAGAGTGCAGAGGACAACATAGAGGGAGATTGGGGTTGAGTAGGTTCATTTCTGGTGATAAGTGAGCCATCGGGTAGTCTATAAGTAGCATGACGTAGACTTGGGTTTTGCAAGGCACTGGATAGTGCAGAAGGTGACAGCCTCCCATTATCAACACCAACCGCACCATTTGTTGTACTTGGAAGCTCTCCAGGGCCTTTGGACGTTGCCAGAGTACCACTAGGAAGTCTGAACATTGATCCCTGGATCTGGGAAGTTCGAAGTCCACCAGATAACAGTGGTGAACTACCTCTGACACCACCTTGTTGAGGTGTAGTAGAAGGTGGAATTGGCACCGCGGAGGATGTGGGGGAAAGGTGTCGTTGTAAAGGGGATGCAAAGGAAGCATTACGTAGCTGAGAGTTAAGCATAGCTGATGAAAAGTTTGGGGAAGAGAGAGGGGATGGAGCTGGAATGGCTGCTGTTTCAGAGGGGGTGAGGACATTTGTATAGAGGTTGGCATTGCGTTGAAGAGGAGATGAATAGGATGCACTTCGTAATCTGGAATTTTGCATCAGAGCATTGGAAAGACCTTGAGTGCCATACGGACTCACCATCTGGGTTTCCTGTACATTTGCTAATTCTTCCCCCTGCACTCCAGCTATGGGGGAAGGACTTCTTTGCAAAGGTATGGTGTCCACATTTTGTAGATAAGGATTTTGGAGTGTACGTCCCAGATTAGGTGACAAAGGTACTTGTTGAGGTAGGGTTTGGGGGAATGCCTCTTGCTGGATTAGAGGGGAGGAGGGTCTTTGTAAAGGAGAGGTGTGTGAACTGTTGGGATGAGATATTGAAGAGGAGAAAGGAGAAGCTGCTAAAGGAGAACCTAAAACTTGAGGACCTGGAAAAGCATTTGTTAGCATTGGAGATGGGCCTGGCTCCATCATTGTGTAGTTGTACTGACTGGTGGTCTGTGAAGGTGGGAAATCACCTTGGGGAAGATTAGAGAGAGGTACATGTGGCTGAAAGGATGATGGCCCTACAGTGTGAGGAAGCACTGATCTTTGAGGCAAGGGAGAAGGGGGGAGAGATGGGTGATACATGGGAGAGGCAGAACGGGAGGGCAAAGGAGATGTATGCTGTAGCGGCTGTGGAGATGGTGGTCTAGTCTGGAGCCTACGTATTGATGGCTGGGGAGAGACTGGGCCACTATGTTTCAGAGATGGCTGTGGAAGGATAGGAGGCACTGCTGCAGAAGTTCTGAATGACTGCCGTGATTGTAGAGAGGGTTGACTTCTGGGCATTCGGACTAGAGGCTGCCCCCGACCTACGGGTCTACGAAACCCCCCTTGACCAGTGCCAATCCGCTTGGATTCTCTTAATCCTCTGGGTCGGGTGCCTGTTCTTGCTAACATGGGAGTTCCAGCTACAGACCCTATTTGTCCTGAAGGAGAGGCTGGGCCACTATGTATCGAGGACCGAAATGGGGCGACTTAATGAGTGACCCGGGGTCCGTGTCTTTGTGAATAAGGGTTAGCTGGGGAAGGTTTCACAGCTCCCATAGGCACTGGATTTCTTGATCCAGGACCACCTCTTAGCCTTTGGGTAGAAGAATGGGTGGGGAGAGGTCTTGCAGAGACACGGGATGGTGAAGGAGAGGGAGCACGATGAGGAGGATGATGGGGAGAAGTGGGACGAAAAGATTGTAGTGGGGAATGAGGTCTCTCAGGTTGAGGTGGGCTTCGTCTTTGTGGAGTTGGCAGTGGAGGAGAAGGAGAACGCCTCATCATTGATGTTTGTTTTCTCCCTTTAAACAAACCTGGTCTAGTTGAAGGCAGAGGAACTGCATCTGGGGGGGGTTGCTGTCTGAAAGACAATCTTGGAGAAGGTGGTGGACTTAGTCTTCTTCTAACAGACTGCTGGGGAGAAGCTAATGGACTGGAAAGTGGGGATTGTGGTCTTATGGTCGAGGGGCCCCTACGTAATCCAGATTTTCTCCTTCCACGTGCCATAGATGGCTGAGTTCTTACTGACAACCCTCTTCTATAGGGTGGTGGAGAAGAAGGGGGACTTGACAGTCTCTGCCTTTCAAATGAGGATGTGGGCTTTTGACCCATCATTGAAGCGTGGTGAGTGAACCCATGATTACGTAAGCGAGGAGAGAAGTAGGGATCTGTCTGGAGGTTCTGTCGGAGGTCCATTGGATGAGATGAGAAGTGGGGTGAAGGAGGTGCATGTACTCTAACTGATCCTTGTCTTGGTGCCAGCTGTGGAGAGGAAGGAGGCATCATTTTTCTTACTGGCATGGCTGAGACCATTGGTGAATGCAGTGGTGAATGGATCATTTGTTGTACTGGCGGGGCTCCTGGTGAAATATGGCCTAAATGAAACATCTGTGGATCCTGTGGAATGGGTGCTTGGTACAGCTGTGAGGACAACTGAGGTGGTAGCGGGGCAGGGAACAAGGTAGTGGGGGAGACAGACAGAGGAGGAATAGCTGGCTGGAGAGGAGGAAGATACTCCTGATGGTTGATTACATTTGTTGGTAACGTAGAGAATCCAGGAGGAATGGAGACATGTTGTTGGTTCATGTCAGTGGGGTAAAGGGTCTGTGCTGGAGTATGTGCCAGAATGGGATGCTCATATTGTATATCTGGCAAAAGTTCTTGATTGTTAAGAGCTAAGGCAGGGGAGGGAGAAGGAAAAAATTGAGAGGAGGGATTTGGGAGAATGGGTGGCGGTGGCAACGTTTCCACTTCTAGTCTGTCCTGTCCAAATAACATAACCTGGGGTCTGGGGACCCTGAACTGCTCCAGTGGATAGGGCTCTGCCAGAGGAGAAAATAATTGTTCCTGTCCATATAGATATCCCATCTCAACCGGATCTAGCCCAGCATTCATGGTTACTTGCTGATGAAAAAGGTTGTGTACAGGAGCTGGCTGTACATATGCTAACATTGGGTCATTATACATGCCTGAAGCAACATCATAGCTGTTGTTCATCAATGCATATGAGTCTGAAAGACCATAATTGGAGGCCATGTTGAAGTCAAAATAGTCATCATACAGTTCTGGTTCATATGAGTCATACAAACCATAAATACTGTCACCATAATAACCGTAGGGCTCTGGCTCCACAGGATATAGCATTCCATCTTCTCCATAATAGTACTCTACTCCTTCACTGCCATAGTAATCATCATATTCATCACCATAGAAGCCATATGGGTAACCATAGTTATCCACATCATCGTCAAAGTAAAGCTCATCATCATAGTAGAAGTTACCATTGTCGTCATAGTAACCAAATTCATCCTCCCACTCCTCATCGTCATAGAGCATTTGGTCTCCATAAGGATCATTTGGATCATAGCTCCTATGTCCCCATCTGTTCTCATAGTCATATTCATATCCATACTCATCATCATACTCATAGTCCTCATTGTAATGATGTGTTTGCCTTTCTCTGGTGTCCCTGTTAGCATATGGTTGGTTCTTTCTTCCCCTTCTTCCTGCCCGCCCCCCAAGGCGACCTTGACCTTTAGAAGACAGGAACCTGCCTGTCAGCCAGTTAGTCGTTGCAGCCATCCTCCCCACCATCCAGCCTTTAGTTTTAAACTTTGGTCCTGTTTTCTTTTTTCCAAACATTCCTTTGAACTTCCCTCCCAAACCTTTAGCTTCTGTTGCCATGTTCCCCTTACCCCCCAAGTTTGACAGATTAAACGTTTTTTTGGTTTCTTTAGGAGCATCGTCTTTTTTACCAAATAAACTAAAGCCAGACAAACCTGGTTTTTTGTCACCAGCTGATTTTCCACCAAAGCCAGCAAACAGCTTGCTGTTGCCAAGAAGAGGTTTACTATTGGGTTTCTTCTTTTTGGAAAGCCGTAAGAAGAGACGAGAGGTGTTTTTAAGGTTTCGCTTTGGTTTTGCTTTCTCTGGCTGCTGCTTAGAGGGCAAACTGAAGGCGGAGGCCTTTCCAGCAAGGCCTGTGAGGGCTTTGGTGGCTCCTTTGAGTTGACTTGGATCTATTTTCTTCTCTGTTTTTGCTGCACCCATGTTTTTCTGGGCCTCTGCAGCAAAGCCCATCATGGCCTTGGAGGCACCTTTGATTTGTGCGTTGCCCATCTTTTTTAGATTTGCTGCACTCATGCCTTTTTTCACTTGAGACTTCTCTTCCTCCTCCTCATCCTCCTCCTCCTCGTCATCAGGAGTTGATCGTTTAGGAGCCTTCATTGCGGCAGCTTTGGATGCACCTTTAAGAGCTGCTTTTCCTTTACCTTTATCAGTTTTGCCAGCCTTTTTGGTAACCACCTCCTCCTCACTGTCACCACTTTCTTCTTCCTCACTTTTCACTTCCTCTTCTTCTTCATCCGACTCGCTGACAGGTTTCTTTCCTTTTCCTTTCTTCCCATCATCTTTCCCTTTACTTTTTGCTGGTGGCTCCTCTGTCTTTTTGGCCCCTTTCTTTTCATCTTTTCCTCCCTTCTTATCCTCCTTCCCTCCCTTCTTCGGCTCATCCGACTTGCCTTTCTTGTCACCTTTTTTGGGTGCCATGATATGTTCCGACTCAAATCATTCCAGACAAGAAAAACCGTCCAAAATTGTGGTAAAGCAAAGCTGGAGTAATGGCAGAGTTGATGTGTAATATTAGGTGCTCCAAGAATTGCAGCATCCTCTTATCCTCAGTTGCTCTCAAGTCTTCTCTTTTTCTTCCATTTGATCCGTCCTTGTGACACACCACAAAACCCGCTGAAGTGCACTTTGTCCCAAGTCAGTTGCTCTATAACATGCACTGAAACAAACCCAAACCACGGTACTTCAAAACCTGATCTAGTAATGGAGTCAGAATCTCAGCCATGAGTGATCGGTTGCATTACAGAACACCTTCGGTCCCCAGAAAGAAAAACACCTGCTGTCTGAGTTGGTAGAATGAGGGAAAACTGTCCGGCACTTAAAAAAACACACCAAATTTTCAAAGATAACATTTGAAAAGGAAAGTTAAAAAAACTTTTGTGAAAGTTTAGTGTCCCTACAGTTCATCAAGTGCAAAATTTCTAGTGACTTCATCAAAAACGGTATCCACAGTAAGTGCCAGGTCTACTTCTTAGGACCTTCCCAGGGTCACACGATGAATAAATGATCCTGCTGTCCCAGTGACAGAGTCGGTGTAGTCCTTTGTGTGTCCCCCATTGTTAGTTCAGTCTGTGGGTCCAGCAGCGAGTCCTCAGCTTGGCTGTCGCACCACCTTTGACAGCATGTCCTTCCAACAAGGAGAGCTGGTGTGAGCGTTGTAGTGTGAGTCCCGATGTTCTCTTTGTACAAGTATATGTGTGTTGTATTTGTGACTGTATCCTCCCACATCCACGTCATCTTGCCTTTGTGACCTCCTACAACCTTTTGCATCGCTGTCTGGAAACTGAAGCCCCTGTTCTGAGGGAAGCGTCCATTGCTGCCGTAAGTTCGATATGTCGTTTTAACTAAATGTGTCTGCCATTACAAATTTTTGTTGGTGTTCGCCTGCTGGTGGTATTCCCTGTCATAGTTACAAAGGGCACTGTATTAGACCAGCTATACTACCTCTGGGTAATACTATCTACTGGATCCCTGGTGTATGAATAATGCAAGCTGGCTGAGCTGTTGCTAAACTGTGTCTGAGAGGCAAAGCTTGACTGGGCCAAAAGATAAAGATGCACATCAGTAGCAGTTTGGACCACAGCTGAGAGTGATGCAGGAGACGACGTTTATTATACAACTCAGTGGTACAACAAGAAAATCTTTAATGGCTACCTAAACTTTAATGAGCCCTTCAAAATGAAAGCTTGACTAATAACTTTACTCAATTTCTCCCGTTGACTTAGTTTTAAGTGCATTTAATGTTAATTAAGAACGTTTAAAAAATTGTATTCGTTGCCATTCAGTAACCTGAAGTTTAACTTCAAATATTTGACAAGCTTTTAGATTTCTTTTCCCCTAAAGTCATTCTGGCAAACAGGTTTCTCCAAAAACGTGGAACCACATTGGCGTTTCTTAAACCTACTAGTTCTCAAAGTAACACGTGGTCACCGTTCCATTGGGTTACTTCTGACGTTCGCTCATTGATGATAAGCCCACGTTTATTCATTGATGATGGGCTGATATTCCAGGAGGTCATCTCAGTGTCAGATATGAATGTTTAATGGCTGCCCTGTGTTCTTCCTACGCAGCAAAGATAAAACATTCATCACGGGCTCCTCTAAATATATCACAAAGGGTCAACCCCACCCTGGCCGGCTCACTCACAAACAAACAATATTAAACAAGCATGATGGAGTCAGAAGTTAACAATCACACTCCACAGAACAAATCAGAGAAAATCATTAAGGAGGCAGTAGTGCTGCCAAATGCACCATCGTGCAGCTCCATCTTGAAACCAATCTAAATCATATTAAAAACCAAGTTCAAAATGATGCTCTCCACAAATAACACAAGCCTGGAGGAGTTCTGCTGTGTGGTGGAGTTGCTAATGCAACAAACTTACTAAACAAATTAAAACTAGACTAACTTTAACACTAAATGCATGGTGTAACTAAGGTGAAGTGAGACGGAGAATGGTGTAGTGTGGAATGTTGTTCAGAACCAGCAAATCAGAAGGAGGATGTTGGCCACTTGTGCCCAACTCCAGTTTAAACAGGGTATCCGCGGGTCCTTAAAAAGTCTTAAATTTGCTTTTCCAAATTTAAGACCTTGAAAATCCTTAAAAATGACAAAAAATCCTTAAATACGGTTTTCAAAGGTCTTAAATTACCAAAGGCCCAATAAACAAGATTCTTTTATTTCTATAAGATTTTTGTGAATTTCTAGTTAGTGTTCAGCATTTTTTGTGTACGATGTTGGCGTAAGCGGAACCGTACACATTCAGTTGGTTGTGAAAGGGGGCTATTTTTAGATGAGCACATTAGCTGGTTAAGCTAGTGGGAGCGTGCGCCATGGGAAAGTGCAAGTTTAATGGTAACTGGATGGTTAATCCCACGTTCGCTACGTGGTTAGCACCGGTTCCAGGCAATAGCTGGAAATTATAGCTTAAATTAAATTTTAAAAATAGCTTAAATTTGGTCAAAGTGGCCTTAAAAAAGGTCTTAAAGTCTTAAATGTGGCTCCCTTAAACCTGCAGATACCCTGTTTAAAGTCCACGAACATAAAGAGACAGAGTCTTGACTTACAGCCAGAAGTGAGGTGAAGTCTGTATCGTGTTTCCCTGGGAGCAGTGACCATAAAATACCTCTAAACATCATGCAGATTGAGCTAACAGCTACTAACAGCGATCGGGTACAGGTGGAAGGTGACAAGATCAGATTATACCCGGAGGCTGTTGGCTAAACTTATGAGATGTGTGATGAGCTTTCACTATTTGTGATCTGATGACCACGTGAAAAGTTATTGAACAGACGGATGACAAGGAAGATGGAGGAGGAGAAAATGCAAATATGAGAGATGGTACAATGAGTTGCAGAGGAAAAACAGCATTTCCATGAAATACAACGCCACCGTTGAGTTTTGGTGTGTGTTTCTAGTGGAACAATGGGAGGATATCACATACAAAGACACAGATGACTCGGAACTAAGTGGACACATTTCAGAGGCTGAAGCCTTGGTAGGGACAGGTTACTTTCTTCTTTAGTTTAGTTTACATAAACAGAAAAGCTCTTCTATGGCAGGAATAATCTCTCAGCACAAAATCTGAGCTGATGAAGATGAGGATCTTATGAATAATTGAAATCTTTTGGTGAGGGGTGATTACGAGGCAGGAACAGGTGGGCTGACTGGTAATGGTAAATGGCCTGTATTTGATATAGCACCTTCTAGAGTCCTGGAACCCCCCAAGGCACTTTACAACACAATCAGTCATTCACCCATTCACACACACATTCACACACTGGTGGGGATGAGCTATGATGTAGCCACAGCTGCCCTGGGGCGCACTGACAGAGGCGAGGCTGCCGAGCACTGGCGCCACCGGTCCCTCCGACCACCGCCAGCAGGCAACATGGGTTAAGTGTCTTGCCCAAGGACACAGCGACAGACTGAGCGGGGCTCAAACCTGCAACCTTCCGATTACGGGGCGAGCACTTAACTCCTGTGCCACTGTCGTTTTTGATTGACTAAGTAAGACCGGATGGCTGCAAGAAGATTATTACCCTACTTCAAATTAGCTTTTGATTTTGAAAAAATCTATGGTTTTTATTAAAAAAAACTTTTGGTACCTTCGCTGGTGGACCAGAAACGTAGCAGCCAGGTTTTTGACCAACACATCTAAACGTGATCATATCACCCCCGTGTTGGCGCGTCTCCATTAGCTACCCATAAACTTCAGGGTTAGTTCAAGACTCTGACCATCGTTTTTAAGGCCTTGAATGGTCTGCCACGATGCAGGCATGGCGAAGGGTATTACCCACAATCCATGGCTATGTGGGGATTTTCAGAAGAAGACGGTTCAGGTGTCTTTTCTGAAAGTATGTATTGTCAAATGAAAAGAGTTCATTTTAAGATGATTAATGTTTTTTTTTCATACTCTGAATGTTTTAGACTAAGATTTAGCATCAATAGCAATGAATTTCAAATAACTGTTTGAAAGTTGTTAATAAAGATTAGCATCCCAGCATGCATCACGGTCGATGACGCAATGCTCCCGGTCCCAGTTCGGCACACTTGTGTAGCACGCACTCAAAACTTTAGTGCGCACTTCCTCCAAGTGCACTTCACAGAAGACCGTAAGGCGCAGTACATATATTGGGATTGAGCCAATTTTGATATGGATTCTATATTTACCGGACGCCACATACAGATTGACATGAAATAAAAAAATTAAATGAGCCAGACAGGAAGTAAAAATTGCATCAGTGAGGAGCATCCAGCATATTTCAAAATAAAAGCTGTGTTGCATTATTTTTGTCAAATTTAGTTTAATTATTAATAACAGCGACATCAGTTCCCAGATTTCTCTTTGAACATCTTAGAGGCAGTAGAGGGCGACAACGTCATCTGCTGCCCGCAGATAAACGGAGAAGGAAGTGACGCGCCACCATCAGCGTCAGCCTGAAGAAGCCGGCAGCTGTCGGCGAAACTGTAGCTACAAACAGGTAAACAAAACTGTTTCTGTGTTTAAAAAAGAACGAAAGAATGGATCAGTTCCCAGAATATCATAGTTCATGTCGATTTACAGGTATATCTATAAATGCATTATGTCAAATGTCTAGTCGTTTAGCGCTCTTGTGGGTGCGACGGTGGCACAGGAGTTAAGAGCTCGCCCCGTAATCGGAAGGTTGCAGGTTCGAGCCCCGCTCAGCCTGTCGCTGTGTCCTTGGGCAAGACACTCAACCCATGTTGACTGCTGGCGGTGGTCGGAGGGACCGGTGGCGCCAGTGCTCGGCAGCCTCGCCTCTGTCAGTGCGCCCCAGGGCAGCTCTGGCTACATCGTAGCTCATCCCCACCAGCGTGTGAATGTGTGTGTGAATGGGTGAATGACTGGTTGTGTTGTAAAGTGCCTTGAGGGCGCTATATCAAATACAGGCCATTTACCATTTAGCTATCCAGAGATGTTCAGCACACAAACTGCCATCCAGTCAGTGTGAATGGTAGTCCGTCAAGAAGCTGTTCAGAATCCAGACTCGGTGTGAACAAGGGGAAAGAATAGCTAGCTAGTCAACCACTCTGAACCACAGGGTTATAAATAGTGGACCAAACTTCCGCCAAATCTAATGCTACAAACTCCCCATCAAGCTTTAAGGGAACATCCCTAGATTACCAACAGTCAATGTTTGGGAAGCGATGAGGAGGAAAATGACAAAAAAAAAAAAAAAAGAAAGAGTGATGTAGGTGAGTGAAGCTGAACATGAGACTGGAGGCTTTTCTCTGGTTTCCTTCGAGCCTTTAACTCCATTCAGGTCTCAGCCTTCGCTGTCAGATTATCCTGTGAGCTGGAGCAGAGCCAGCCGCACCCGTGCTGGTGTGAGAATCAGACACAGACTCTTGATTGGGTCAACCGGTCTGGGAATAAGATGCTTCAACCTTGATGTGCAGAGAATCCACTTGATAGATCATGTTTTTATCTAATATTTGGTGTGAAATGCAAGAATTTACTGAACTAAAAATCATAGAGATGTTAAAAAAAACTTATATCACCTTACTTTAACCATTTACAGTGTTGTCACAAATCCACATCAAACCACTTCTGGCCTTAAAGCATCCAGATGGAGCATCAGGATTAGTGCCTTCATCCAGACACAGCCAGTGCTGTACATGTCTTCTGCCCCCTGGTGGAGAATCTACACATGGCAACGTTGTATTTCTTTACAACTGGTATATTGTTGCATTGTGAAATAATAGCAACATATTATTATTCAAGCATTACATATATCCACCACCTATTCACACCAAACCTTCCGTCAGGAATCTTTGTGTGACCTTTGACCCAGCTCTCACCCTGGATTCTCATGTCAGTTCTCTTGTTCGCTCTTCCTTCTTCCATCTCAGGAACATTGCTAAGCTGAGTCCCATTCTGTCTCGCTCTGAACTTGAGACAGTTCTCCACACCTTCATCTCCTCACGCTTAGACTACTGCAACTCTCTTTTCACGTGTCTGAGCAGAACCTCCCTGAACCGTCTACAGGTGGTTCAGAATGCCTGTGCTCGGCTTCTGACCAAGTCCTCCAAACACACCCACATCACCCCGCTTCTCCTCCAGCTTCACTGGCTGCCAGTCAACTTCAGGGTTCATTTCAAGATCCTGGTTCTGGTCTATAGGGCCTTACATGGACAAGCACCATCTTACATTGGTGATCTTCTTAGTCCCTACACCCCCAGCAGGTCCCTGAGGTCCAGTGATCAAAGCCTACTGGTTGTGCAGCACCAGGCTAAAGACCAAAGGTGACAGATCATCTGCTGCTGTGGCCCCCAGACTCTGGAACTCTCTCCCCCTGAGCCTGCGATCAGTGGACTCAGTGGTCTCCTTTAAAAAGCAGCTGAAGACTCACTTGTTCAAGCTGGCTTTTGTATGACCTTCATCAACCTCTCTCTCTTTATTCTGCTCTCCCCACCTATTCCACCTTCCTCAGGATCCACTGATTTCCCTCTTTCCTTTTCACTCTCTCTTTCTTAACATTTTTTTAATCACAATTGCCTATTTTTGCTCATTTTAAATATATTTTTAAACATTTTCTAAATGCTTTTTTATATTTTTACATATTTTTGTTTTTGTCAAGCGCCTCGTGATTTTTATCTTGAGAGGCGCTATAGAAATGATATTTTCTTCTCCTTCTTCATCCAGTTTAAAGGGTTATTAATAATAATAATAATAATAATAATAATACATTTTATGTAAAAAGCGCCGTTCAGGTCACCCAAGGTCACTTTACAGGAGAAAGAACACAGTACACAATAAAAATGCAAATAAAACAACTAAAGGACAAGAAAACAGAATAAAATAGATTAAATCACAAACAATAAGCGGTTCAGAACAAATGGGTTTTGAGTTTGGTTTTGAAGAGGTTGAAGCTATTATTATCATCATCATTTATTTATTTATTTACAACTATTGTTCCAAATAAACATATTTTAAAACGTTTCTTGGTGTGTTTTTTTTTTTACTTGTGTGGAATTAAAGGGTTAAAGTTGTTCTATGCTTTTAGAGACATAAAATGTGTGTAACATTAAAAAGCTCACCCCGAGTGGTGCTACTCTCCTCCGCTTTTTAAGCATAAATGAAAAGGTGACACACACAGTCCGGGTTTTTATTCTGCCTAATGCCAGTCCGGTGACCAGAAAAAGAAAAGAGCCGTGCCTGCCAGCTCTCTAATCAGAGCAAACGGAGCCTTTCAGACGGGTCTTTAATGAGCGAGAGGATAAATCGTCTCTGACACAAGTTTACAAAAGGTTCTACAGAAATGCATTATGGGAAAAAGGTGTTTACTGAAGATTACACAGAAGAACCGCCTTCTAGGAAAGCCTGAATGATTTATGAATGGGCCTGTGAGCGCACCATGGCCATGGACGTAATTTTCACTTTAGAAGTGGGGGGGACACGGGGGGGGGGGGGGGTGTCTTTACAGTATCTTCTAATGGGAAACAGGCTTCAACACATACGGTTGTTTTCTGCTTTGTCCTAGAGCTCAACCAGTGTAATTTTAATATAGCGTAATATAGTTTTGGGATGGTAAAAAGTGCAGGGGTCAAAACTTGACTTTGGAAAAAGTGGGGGGACATGTCCCCCCTGTCCCCCCAAAAAAATTACGTCCATGACCATGGCAACAGTGAGAATTCATATTAAAAAATGTTCATTTGTTGGATTCTTTTATTGAAATCAGAATCAAATTACTCAGGAGAAAATTATTTTGTGTTTTTTTTAATGCCAGAAAACTTTAATATAAATATTTTTGCAGGCATAAATGAAACAAACGTAATTCAGTAAAAGTAAATTTCATTAAGTACTAGATTAAAGTAAAAACTCACAGGAATATGATCAAACCACAGCTGATAAAACTATTAACCTGCCATGCTTTCTTTCATTTGATATTTCCTAATTTCAAATCATCTTCACAAAAATGTAAGAAATCTAGTTTTCTGTTTGGAAACATTTTAGAAATGATTGGTGTGAATGATCACAGCATCAATATCTGTTAGCTTTATTACTGCATGTCGCTGTCACACGATTATATATATGAAATATACCTAATATACATACAAAAACAACTAATATGGCTTTCTTACCTTCTTCTTTTGGGATATTGTGACAAATGTCTGGAGCTTCTCTGTCCTAATCCCACTTAGATGAGGTCAGAATTAATAAAACAAAAATCAGACAGTCGCTTTTTAAGTGCAGCTTCACTGACTCTTAGTCTTCATTTGGACCACCAGCTCTTTACATGGTGACCAAGCACACACACACACACACACAATGTGGCAACAATGGTAAAGATCCCGTGTTGCCTCACCGTGGCTTCAGTAACTGTACAACTATAGACCAAATGTTTCGCAGAAAGAAAACCAAGGCTGCTCCCGCTCTTTACAAATCAGTTCATGCATCAGCAGAGCGGCGATTAGCTTCCTAAGTAAACATTCTGCACTCGGATATGTCTGTGCAGCGGTGTCACGCTCCCCATCCCCATGGCTGGTTAGGTAAACAATTTTATGTCTATTGTACATTAATGGTTGGATTTCATATGGACATACACACACACTCATTATGCTATCATCACGCTGGACGTGGTTCTGTGTGTCACAGTCCAAATAGGGATTTGTAGTAAAAGCCCTGCAATCACAATAGCATGGAGGTGGTGTGTATGTGTGTGTGAGCTCTTACATCACTGGGTTAAAGCTTATATTACTAAGATTAGAACCCCAGGTCAGGGGTAGATCTATAGGGGGAAAGGGGTGCCCCCTTCTTTAAATTATTTCAGCAGTTTCATTTTCAACATTTTCAGTACCTTCCAGAATGAGCCGCTTCAGGGCTCTGTCACTCTAACAAGCTGAAGCTGGCCATGCCCACTCATCCCCGCTCAGGCTGCTATAGGCTGAGAAGCTCTGGTATCAAAGAGCGGTTCTGAGTAGAGCTGCTCTTTTGCACATGACAGGTTTATTGAGTTTTCCCCATTTGTGATGTCACAAAGGGGACATTTTTTAATGGCTCATTTGAGGCACATAATTTCTCATAAAACCAAACAGTGACAACACAGATGGACAGAATTTTTTCATGTTTGGATTGTTTAGAGAGGGACTCATTACCCACACAGCAGCACAAAGTGATGCAAATTATTGTTTGTTGTTTTTTTTACTTGTCCATGGCATTTCAATTTACCCCTTGGGGATTAGTAAAGACAACCCTTGAACCCTTGAAAGGTAAATTTTACATAATATTTTCTCTTTAAATTACTCTGGTGAAGGTTTTCAATCATCCGGGTCATGGTAATCCAAAAGGGTTCAAATGAAGGCAACTGGACTTCTTTAGTTTCTTGGAAGATGTTTTGCTTCTCATCCGAGGAGCTTCGTTAGAACCGACAAAGCTCCTCGGATGAGAAACGAAACGTCTTCAAGAACCCAAAGACGTCCAGTTGCCTTCATTTGAACCCTTTTGGATTACCTTTTAATTGTTCATTCCTACATAAATTAAAACAGATAATTCAAGTAACATGAATGGGTTAGTCATTTTAGTGCAAAATTTAAAAAATTAAGACTTTATTTTATATTTCAGTTGAGACCATTGTTTTCTTTCATGGGTTAAACTCGCGTTTTTATTTTGTCACGCTAACCCCATGCTGTTGTGCAGAACCTAATGGTTTTCTACTACGTGCATGTCCATGTATGGGTTGTGTTCTTCGCTGCAAGCTGCCTGCATGATACTTCAGCAAATCTACAGCACGTACAGAGCAGCAAAACCCAGATTAACACAACAATTAAACAGAGATTAGCTCAGCACAAGAAAATGCAGTAGAGCAGCCTATTAATCTGGCAACAATAAGACGGTTTATGCAATAAACTGTATAATTAGCTTGTTGTGTAAGTTTAATAGATGTCTGCTTGGACAGTTTCCCAGTTATTCTTACGTGGAATAACAGGAAAAGATTATCTTCTTAATAAAATGATTTGTTTTAAATCCATCAACACCCCAGATACCTGGTTCACACTTAGGACAGCTTAAAACAAAAATTATCAATATTTTCTTTAATTATCAACTCCTTCTAAAGGGATGCACGTTACTCTATCATTTTTGACAATACAAACTATTTGATGTCTACTTCAGATCAGCTGATTCATGTAAAGAGCAGAAGTAAGCAGCAGAGGGCAGCAAACACAAACGCTTCATTTGTCTACTGTCACGTCACAATTAAACAAATGTTTCAGTTGAGGAGGAATCTGTTTATTTTGGCCACTTTCGGGCAGATCATGTGGTAAAAGGAGTGAGACTGAAATGTGTCTCTGTTGGATTGTTTTCACTATTCATATTTTGACTTAGCAAATCTGAAGTGTGGACGATTCTCCTTCAGCTCCAGCAAGTGGTGCAATGAGTTGCTTCTGATTTCTTGAACAATGTGCAAAGACGCATCTGGTGGTTTGTGTGTGTGAGAAGGGTCAGATCACTGGCATGCATCAAGGAAGATCTTGTATGCAACACTAGATGGACATAAATCTAAGCTAATTGAAACAATGTCACAGCGAATGTGTGCTGTAATGAAAGCTAAAGGCGGTCCAATGAAATATTAGTGATATTTTTTGGGCTGGGCAGTTTATTTAATCTATGGTTCAAGGAAGAGTGTGTGTGTGTGTGTGTGTGTGTGTGTGTGTGTGTGGAGGGGGGGGGGGGGGGGGGTCACCAGAACTGGACCAGAAGAGACTGGAGAAGCGTTTCCTGGTCTGAGGAGTCTTGAGCTGTAACATCCATGTGGTCGGGTCACAAGTTGGTGTCACCAACATGAAACCTGGATCCATCGAAGAACTTTGCTGATGAGCATCCTTGAGAATTTTTTTAGTGGTTATGTGGCGTTTACCTATCCCAAACATTACACCACTGGATCCAACTAGTTAACTCTATGAAGACCTCTGCATGCCCCCTCGACATCTTACCCTCATCTTTGTTTAAAAGTGCTTTTCTGTCCATCGGTCCCAGCGTGCTCTCTATAATTAATGCTTCTCTGGTTTCTGGTCAGGTCCCTGCTTACTTTAAGAACACTGTAATCCACCCGCTTCTTAAAAAAAACCGAGTCTTGACGCCTCTCTTCATAGCAGCTTCAGACCCATCTCCAAATTTCCGTTCATCTCCAAGATCTTGGAAAAGGTTGTGGCTAAACAACTCACAGGTGCTCTTGATGAACATAACATCTATGAAAGCTTCCAGTCAGGTTTTCGTAGAGCTCATTCTACTGAAACAGCTCTTCTTAGGGTCTCTAATGACCTTCTGACTCACAGTGATGCAGGGGACTGTTCTGTTCTGGTCCTGCTGGACCTGACTGCTGCCTTTGACACTGTTGACCATCACCTGCTACTGGAGAGGCTGAGAGACTGGGTAGGCCTATCAGGATCTGCTCTGGAGTGGTTCTCCTCTTATCTCTCTGAGCGCTCCTTTTCTGTGGCCGTCTCCAAGTTTAGGTCCTCCACCACCTCTCTTACCCATGGTGTCCCACAAGGTTCTGTGCTGGGGCCTCTGCTCTTCCTCCTCTATCTGCTTCCCCTTCAACACATCCTGAGCTCCTTCTAAGGAATCTCCTACCAACTTTATGCAGATGAAATCCAACTGTACATCTCCTTTAAGTCCCATGAGATGTCTAAGCTGCAGCTGTTACACACCTGCTTAGACTCTATCAAAACCTGGATGGCTGGGAGCTTTCTTCAGCTGAATGAAGATAAGACTGAGATCCTCATCTGTGCCCCAGACAAGCTGGTTCCCAAAGTCAGAGACTCTCTTGGTCAGCTTGCTTCTCACACCAAACCTTCTGTCAGGAATCTTTGTGTGACCTTTGACCCAGCTCTCACCCTGGATTCTCATGTCAGTTCTCTTGTTCGCTCTTCCTTCTTCCATCTCAGGAACATTGCTAAGCTGAGTCCCATTCTGTCCCGCTCTGAACTTGAGATAGTTATCCACACCTTCATCTCCTCACTCTTAGACTACTGTAACTCTCTTTTCACGTGTCTGAGCAGAACCTCCCTGAACCGTCTACAGGTGGTTCAGAATGCCTGTGCTCGGCTTCTGACCAAGTCCTCCAAACACATCCACATCACCCCGCTTCTCCTCCAGCTTCACTGGCTGCCAGTCAACTTCAGGGTTCATTTCAAGATCCTGCTTCTGGTCTATAGGGCCTTACATGGACAAGCACCATCTTACATCGGTGATCTTCTTAGTCCCTACACCCCCAGCAGGTCTCTGAGGTCCAGTGACCAAAGCCTACTGGTTGTGCAGCGCACTAGGGATGCACCGATCAGGTTTTTTGCTGCCGATCACCGATACAGATATCAAAGAATGCTGATCACGGATACCGATCACGTGGATTGGCCAGAAATTTTCTACAACATTATAATGAGTGCTACAAACTACATAATCTGGGAATAAAGGAAATGTATTATAATCTAAAATGGTCTGTATTAGGGTTGTCACGGTGTAAAAATTTAACCTCACGGTTATTGTGACCAAAATTACCACAGTTTTCGGTATTATCATGTTTTTTTTAAACATGCTACATTTTCACACAATTAAATAAACCCTGTATGTCAGGAAATATTGTCCTCAGTTTGTGTCTAAATTTTGCCTAAAATGTGTTATTTTGTAATTATGTTGTTTATTTGTTTACATATTTCCCTTTAGTCTTTAAAATACCAATATTTGTCCATAACTTCTTATTTTATGTCTGTTTGATGTCATCATTTAAAAAATATTAGATCAGATGATACTCAGTACTCAAGTAGCCTTCTAATCAGATACTTTTTTACCCTTACTTGAGTAATAAACCCTATATCAGGAAAATATTGTCCTCGGTTTGTGTCCTTCCAGTGAGCTTTGCAGATGTGGGAAAATGTCATCAGGCAGTAATCACTGTTAAATTCATAATTATTCTCGGAGAGAGACCAACTCTTATCTGCCCCTGGGAGCCCCATAATGCATAGCGTCATTTCAACATGGGGGTGTCCGCGACACGGTTTACAGGTGCTGGCCAGTAAATTAGAATATCATCAAAAGGTTGAAAATATTTCAGTAATTCCATTCAAAACATGAAACTTGTACATTATATTCATGCAATGCACACAGACCAATGTATTTCCGATGTTTATTACGTTTAATTTTGATATTTATAGGTGACAACCAATGAAAACATCAAATCTGGTATCTCAGAAAATTAGAATATTCCAAAGGCCAATGAAAAAATGTTTGTTTCTCTAATGTTGGCCAACTGAAAAGAATGAACATGAAAAGAATGTGCATGTATAGCACTCAATACTTAGTCGGGGCTCCTTTTGCCTCAATAACTGCAGTAATGCGGCGTGGCATGGACTCGATCAGTCTGTGGCACTGCTCAGGTGTTATGAGAGCCCAGGTTGCTCTGATAGTCGTCTTCAGCTCCTCTGCATTGTTGGGTCTAGCGTATTGCATCCTCCGCTTCACAATACCCCATAGATTTTCTATGGGGTTAAGGTCAGGCGAGTTTGCTGGCCAATCAAGGACAGGGATACCATGGTCCTTGAACCAGGTGCTGGTGGTTTTGGCACTGTGTGCAGGTGCCAAGTCCTGTTGAAAGGTGAAGTCTGCATCCCCATAAAGTTGGTCAGCAGCAGGAAGCATGAAGTGCTCTAAAACTTCCTGGTAGACGGCTGCATTGACCCTGGACCTCAGGAAACAGAGTGGGCCAACACCGGCAGATGACATGGCACCCCACACCATCACTGACGGTGGAAACTTTACACTGGACCTCATGCAACGTGGATTCTGTGCTTCTCCGCTCTTCCTCCAGACTCTGGGTCCTTGATTTCCAAAGGAAATGCAGAACTTGCTTTCATCAGAAAACATAACTTTGGACCACTCAGCATCAGTCCAGTCCTTTTTGTCCTTGGCCCAGGCGAGACGCTTCTTGCGCTGTTTCTTGTTCAAGAGTGGCTTGACACACGGAATGCGACACCTGAATCCCATGTCTTTCATGAGTCTCCTCGTGGTGGTTCTTGAAGCGCTGACTCCAGCTGCAGTCCACTCTTTGTGGATCTCCCCCACATTTTTGAATGGGTTTGTCGTCACAATTCTCTGCAGGGTGCGGTTATCCCTAGAGCTTGTACACTTTTTTCTACCACATTTTTTCCGTCCCTTCGCCTGTCTGTTAATGTGCTTGGACACAGAGCTCTGCGAACAGCCAGCTTCTTTAGCAATCACCTTTTGTGTCTTGCCCTCCTTGTGCAAGGTGTCAATGATTGTCTTTTGGACAGCTGTTAAGTCAGAAGTCTTCCCCATGATTGTGGTGCCTTCAAAACAAGACTGAGGGACCTTTTAAAGGCCTTTGCAGGTGTTTTGAGTAAATCAGCTGATTAGAGTGGCAGCAGGTGTCTTCTATATTCAGCCTTTTCAGAATATTCTAATTTTTTGAGATACCAAATTTGGAGTTTTCATTAGTTGTCACTTATGAATATCAAATTTAAATGTAATGAACATTGGAAATACATTGGTCTGTGTGCATTGCATGAATATAATGTACAAGTTTCACGTTTTGAATGGAATTACTGAAATATTTTCAACCTTTTGATGATATTCTAATTTACTGGCCAGCACCTGTATATGCAGGTAGCGGCGCTGCGGCTGCTTTACATAGCGACTCGTTGCATTCTCCCTCAACCCAAATCCTCGGATCACGCATTTTAGCTAAAACGCTAACGTTAGCTTGCCTTGCATTGACTGTAGAGTTGTGGGTGATGGTCACGCAGATGTGTCATGAGATTTGAAGTGTTGCTGCCTTTCTCAGACACTTTTTCTGCACGTGCTGCAAACAGGATAGCCGTCTTCTATAAACTGTCCCTCGGCATTCTTCAAATATCCAAAAAATGCCCGTACTTCCCACTTTGTCTTCTTTGAGGGATAAAAAAAATGTCCTGAGCGCTGCCATCTCCTCCTTTGGCCATTATTTCAGCTTTAGCTTCAAGAAAGTTTTGGTTGTAAACAACAAAGTGCGCATGTGCTGCCGGCAACTTCAGCAGATGATACGGTGGCTGGTAAGGGTCACCGCGCCTACACCGCAGCCACAGTAATCCACCGAGATAATATAGTTTTTTTTTAAACAAGACGGTTTTTATTATTGTCAACTTTTTTTGCCGGGGTTTACCGCTACACCGGTTACCGTGACAACCGTACCTGATTGGTCTGCTTTGATCTATTTTGAAAACGCCGATCAAAACCGATAGGGGTGCTATCGGCTGATTGGGATCAAATGCCGATCCATCGGTGCATCCCTACAGCGCACCAGGCTAAAGACCAAAGGTGACAGATCATGTGCTGCTGTGGCCCGCAGACTCTGGACCTCTCTCCCCCTGAGCCTGAGATCAGTGGACTCAGTGGTCTCCTTCAAAAAGCAGCTGAAGACTCACTTGTTCAAGCTGGCTTTTACCTTTTTCACCACTCTCTCTTTATTCTGCTCTCCCCACCTATTCCACCTTCCTCAGGATCCACTGATTTCCTAGCCTAGTGAACTAGACCAAATTCTTGCTTTGCAAAGTTTGGTCTAGGCATGCTCCATTGGAACCTCCACAGCTCCTACCAGGACTCTGGCTAGCCAATCACAGCTCTCTAGAGGGGTTTCAAACACATAAAGAGCTGTGATTGGTCCATAATGGTGGGCCAATCATAGTGCTCTATCTGCTTAGTGAACAAATCACAGAGCTTTATCCGCTTTGTGGGCCAATCAGGGCACTCTATATGCCTGGTGGGTGGGATGATGCAACTGAGTGAAACAAGAGTATGTCACATTCATTGTCCAGTAGCATGCGGAGATCATTTGAAAGACAACCGTAGAACCCGCCCCACAACCGAGAGCCGTCAATGGAGCGTGGCCAGACTAAATAATAAATTTATTTAGTCTGGCTTGCCAGGCTACTGATTTCCCTCTTTCCTGTTCACTCTCTCTCTTTCTTAACATTTCTTTTAAATCCCAATTGCCTATTTTTGCTCATTTTAAATATATTTTTAAACATTTTCTAAATGCTTTTTTATATTTTAACTTTTTTTTTGTGAAGCGCCTCATGATTTTTATCTTGAGAGGCACTGTAGAAATGATATTTTCTTCTTCTTCTTCCATCCTGCCTTGAAACAATGCTGCAGGAATGATGATGATGGGGGGGGGTTGTTCTTGTCCCACGTTGGACCCCTCAGTACCACCAGAGCCTGGTTTAAATGCCACAGCCAACCTGAGAATTGCTGCTGACCATGCCCATCCATCCCTCTATGACCACATTGACCCATCATGTTTATATTTACTTGGCAGACGCTTTTATCCAAAGCGACGTTCAATTGTTAACCTATAGGGCATGTTGTGATCTGTGGAGGAAAGCCACGCATGCACAGGGAGAACATGCAACTCCACGCAGAAAGGCCACAGACGAGTTTTGAACCTGCAACCTTATTGCTGCGAGGCAACAGAGCTAACAACTGCGCCACCGTGCAGCCCTGGTCATCCGATATTTACTTCCAGCAGAATTATGCACCATGTCACAGAGCTCAGATCATCTGTAACTGCTTTCTAGAACATGACCATGAGTTCCCTGAACAACCTCCACAGTAACCAGACCTCAGTCCACTCCAGAACCTTTGGGATGTGGTGGAACGGGAGGCTCTCATCACGGATGAGTGTGATGTCGTGTTTTATTGGCAGAAATGTTTATGCTGCTCAGTTCTGACCCACCAACAGGAGTTCAAGGAAAGTTTTCCAGGTGCCAACTCGCTGTTCCACGAATAATCGAATAATCTCTGAAACAAAATGTTGGCCAACCCTGTTTTAGAACAAGAAAAACTGCTTCCTAAACGCACATTTCCAGCTTTTGTTTACTGACCTCACACACACACACAGCAGCATCAAGTGTCAGGCCAACTCTGATCAACACACACCCAGCCTGCTGTACCTTTGCTTTGTTATTCTGCTCCAGAACGCTCCATCTCTGCGCTCCGCTTCAGGTTATTCCGAAACAGAACCTCTTCATCCACGACGCCCAATGACGAGACATCATTACGACATCTTTAGGTCCAACTTCCAGTTCCTCTGCGTCTCGGATGAAGCCTCCCACTCAGAGCCCCTCTCCCAGACCAAAGAGGTGCTCGTTAATATTTAATACCACTATTGTGTTTGTGTGAGCCATTCGCTCCGAGAGGAAAGCGGCCGCTCGCTTTGGAGATGGGGTAACAAACAGCAGGCTAGCACGGGTGGGAACAGGTGCTGAACAGGTGATGTGTTTGAATGATAAAACAGCCCATCGTTATTTTAAAATGTGGAATTTATTTCCCCATTTTCTCTAAATCATCGGTAACATAAACTGATTTCAGTCCAGGATCTGCTCCGCAGCGTTCCCTTTCTTCCACTTACTGTTAAACTTATTATACAAAATAAGGACGTTGGTTATTTTCCTTTGCTGTATAACTACTGCACAGTGTTCCTCCTCTGACGCCGGTCCGGTCCAATCACAACAAGTTCTTCACTTCTTTACAATCTGGATGACGTCTTCGTGCTCCATGACGTGTGTCAGGCCCACCCTCTGAGGACTGTATTTGGTACTGGTTCCCTGGAGAGAAAACACAGAACTACTGATGAAACGCTTTGCTAGTAAATCTGTTTCATTAAAATGCTTTCTTAAAAAAGGAACAGAGAGAAATTTGACAATTTGTCAACAAAAAGAGGTCTACACTATTCTTATTCATCTAGTTTTGCATGGCAAAAAGAACAAACTTCCAAATGTTTGTGTGGCCCCATGGTGGCTTAGGGATAGGGCCACTTAAAGCAACACTAAAGAGATTTTAACACTTGAAAGAGTAACTAAACACCAAAATTACTTTTTTTTGCTAATTAGCTGTATAATTGAGTTTTTACAAATGCAATCTTTCCGTTTCTGTGCATTTTTTGACATGCTTGTGTAAACTTGATTAGATCTAGAATCTAGGTCTAAAAACGTCTTAGTGCTGCCCCCTGTGGCACAACAGTGGCTACTGCATTTTAAACTTGTGATCGACTGGGGCTGGTACAATTTCACGCCATCAGTACAGTCTCCTCCCACTCCTCCTCCCTCCCAGGATGGAAATTCCCCACACTTGCCCATGCCACTTCCTGCCTCCTGGCAACGCCCACTTTCATGGCATTTTTCAAATGTTGACTAGGGGTGGAGTTACATTTTCTGATGGTGTGCAGTCCCCAGTCACCTCCTCCCAGAGTATTACTCCACTCCCACTACCTGTTTGAAAAATGCAACAAATGCTGTTGCCTAGCAGACCGAGAGGGCGGAGCTGCTAACAAATACAAGCTCACAGTGACATTGTGACATCATATGGTACCAGCTGATGAGATTTGATACTTCTTAGCCAATAGCAATGGCAGATTTAAATGAAAATGCAGTGCAGAGTTTTTACCTGAAGAGGGTGCAACACTGACAGTTTAAGGCAGAATATTTATATTTTAACAAAGATGCACTACAGCACCAAATTATTGATGACTTCTGTCTACAGTACGATCAGACACCGATTTATATAGTTTATCAGCAAAAAAAAAGTTGATTTGGGGGTGACTTGCTCTTTAAGTTATTGCTTTCAAACTGGTTTTAGTGGTTCTTGAGCCAGAAACCAGAGCTACTTCCCATTGGACAGCACTCTGTCGCCCTCTGCTGACCAGAAGTTGCACTAAACAGTTCGGGTAGGAACACTAGTGGGAGGTCTCTACCTGCTTTAAAGCAACAGCTGTGCCAGAAGCTCATATAAAGGCTAACAGTTAGCTCTTTCAGTTTGCCGATCATCAATTAAAAAAAAAAGATAAAACACAAGAAGAAGACTTTTCTTTTTGTTGGCATCGTGATGGAGCCTGAAAGTAAGAGTGATGTTTTGGAGGTGAAGCAAAGAGCTAAAACCAGAGTGAACATCGGCGCGGCCTACACTCGTTTGAGGGCGCTGAAGGAGGTTATGAAATCACGGACTGATGGTGACCTGGCTTTGTTGCTGGACTTGTAAGTAATAATATTGTCCACCAGTGTGGATCTTTTGTAATTTGTGGCTTGAGTTAGCATTAGCTTATTGTTAGCTCTAGCTACAGCAGGCTGCGGCAAGGTTGCTTGGCAGTTGCAATTCCGCTTTCAACCAGAAGGAGGGAGAAGCTGGGAACTTAAGTGTTGCTTTAACAGTAATTTTACAAAACCTGAAGCAAAGTTAGAATAATACAACATCATCAGCTGTAGCTCTGTTACAGAGAACAGAAATAAAAACGTCAAAAATCTAATCCGCAATTGCTGTTCCTGTTAACACACAAGCTAACTTCAGCATTGCAGCAAAGCTAGCTGCTATAGGAGGTTAGGAAGTTAGCCGTTTAAAACTCCCATCACCAACTGTGTTAAAAGCAAGGAAGTGAAATGTGGGATTGTTCAAGATTCTTTTGTTAGTTCCTTGTTTAGTTTTAATATTTGTGTTGATGTGAACTTTGACCCCGCACCATCGTAAGGGGACATTGCTTTCCTGTACAATAATATTTTATTCTTTTCAACATAGACCAGTTTTTATTTAGAGACACCTAATTTTGATTTTATGATTTTCAAAACTTGTATTCACGCTAATTTGCTTAAGGAAATTCGTCAGCATTGTTTTTGTACTTTTTAACGAATAAAATGTCTTCGTGTTCATGAGGTCTTAATAATTTGAAACTGCAATAAATAAATAACCAAGAGCACATTTTCAGTACCTTCCAGAATGAGCCGTTTCATGGCTCTGTCACTTTAAGACAACAAGCTAGAGCTGGCCACGCCCACCCCTTCCCTGCTTGGCTACTATGAGCTGAGAAGCTCTGATATCTGGGAGAGGCTTGGAGTAGAACCACTGCTCCTCAAGTGTAGACAGGTGATACATGGTTCTATAATTTATTACCCTTCTTGTGACATCACAAACGGCAACTTTTTTAAACGACTTGTTTCAGGCATGTAATTCCTAAATCCAAACACTTACAGAAAATAGACAGATGGTTTGCAAAAGGTGAGTTTTGCAAAATATATTCTCTTCAAACCTGAACCCTGTTGACCTCAGAACATTGTAAACAGAAAATATTTGTAACAGTTTGTTGATCTACAGCTCCAAGAGAACAACAGAAACCAGTGAAGGTTTAACCTCACTTACCCACACCAGGGCGTATTTGAACTGGCTGGCTAAGGTTCTGTGGATTCTGTGGCACTGTAGGTAAAAACAACAACAACAACAATTAAAGACCTTCAAATTTACTTAAACACTGAATGCTCAGTTTGAATCTGTACAGTGCCAGTGTGCTCTACCTACCACATGTTCTACAGATGCTCCCCGTCTCATGATAATGGCATCATTAAAATCAGGACGCTCTAACACAGAAACATTTCATTACCAGAAAGTTTAGTTCTGAAATTTATTATGCAAACTAGGGCTGAACGAGTTTAAGGAAAGGTTGAATAGCGATTTCAGTTTGATTCAGGATTTTCTGATTTTGCGGTCCCTCGTTTAAAAAGGGGTACTGCAGGACGTGTTCCAACTACAGGGGTAACGTCTAATCAGGGGTTCTGGAGAGGAGGGTCCGGCAGATTGTCGAAACTCAGATTCAGGAGGAGCAATGTGGTTTTCGTCCTGGCCGTGGAACGCTGGGCCACCTCTATACCCTTAGGGGGTCCTGGAGGGTGCGTGGGGTTCACCCAACCAATCTACATGTATTTTGTGGATTTGGAGAAAGCGCTCGACTGCGCCCCTCGGGGGACCCTTTGATACGGGCAGCCGCAGTGTTAAGCAGCTGGGATGAGAATCAGCTCCTCTAAATCCGAGACCATGGTCTTGAGTCGGAAAAGGTTAGAATGCCTTCTCCAGGTCAGGGACGATGTCCTGCCCAAAGTGGAGGACTTTAAGTATCTTGGGGTCGATAGGCGGATTGGTGCTGCATCTGCAGTGGTGAGGGCGTTGTACCGGTCTGTCGTGGTGGAGAGAGAGCTGAGCCAGAAGGCTCTCGATCTACGTTCCTACCCTCACGAGCTTTGGGTAGTGACCGAAAGAATAAGATCACGAAAACAAACGGCTGAAATTAGTTTTCTCCGCAGGGTGGCTGGGCTCTCCCCTTAAACATGGGGTGAGAAGCTCGGTCATGCATGAGGGGCTTGGAGTAGACCCGCTGCTCCTCCACGTCGAGAGGAGCCAGTAGAGTTGGCTCGGGCATCTATAGTTAGGACACCTCCCTGGTGAGGTTTTCTGGGCACGTCCAACTGGGAGAAGACCTAAAGGGAGACCCATGAAATGCTGGAGAGACACTCGACTGGCCAGGGAACGCCTTGGGATTCCACCGGAGGAGCTGGCCCAAGTGGCTAGGGACAGGGAGGTCTGGGGGGGTTACAGTAAAATCAGAAGTAAGATTTCACATACCTCTAGCAGCACCTTGTAAAACATCATATCTACCACTTTTTTAACTCTGAACCGCTTAAGTAACCTTCATTCTCTCCAACCTGACACAGCCAAACAAAACAACGGAAGATTCGATTTCGCCACGGAAGAGGACGCATCGACGGCTTTACCGCTGGCCGCCTCCCGTGTGTCAGGTAATAAAAGTGACAGCGATGAATTTTGCCGATCGCGGTCGTTTGTCGCCTCCCGTGTGTCGAGCTCGTGCCTCAGCAACGGTTTGAGCCATCAGAAAAACTCGAGCAGAAGTTATAACGGTTTATCCCGTTCTGCTGTTGCAGGAAGCCAAGCAACAGAGACAGCCAACCACAGCCATTATTGGCCGCAGCAGCACTATGAAAGAAAAAACAGAAAAAAATGGCCAAATGTGAAGCTCTGTCAGCTCCCACTCGCCGCTGCCGCCGCAACGCTTTACACACCAGGGGAAACTCCAGATCTCAAAGGTAGTTCACACAACAGATCCTGGGTTAGCCAGGAGAGCTACAAAAAACGCAGCTTTGATGAGGACGTCATCGCATTGTTTGAAATCGCTATTTCGTTCAGCCCTAATACAAACATTCACATCAACGTGAAAAAATACCAAATGAATCAGGATACCTCCTCTTTTCTTAGTATAAAGGCAAATAAGGGCCAAGTATTCCCACAACCTCTCCAGAAGGTAATCCAGGTTCAGCTTCATTCCACAGCTGTGGACAGGAAACAAGTTTATTTTTGTACACAGAGATGAGAGGTGTGTGATGACACACACACACACACACACACACACACACACACACACACACACACACACACACACACAGATATCTGACCTGATGACAACACTGTGAGGTCTGTGCGCCAGGCGGTCCACCTCCTCGATGGAGATCTGATCCACTTTATTGTACACCTGAGAGCACACAGAAAAACGTAAGACGACCCCCGACGAAAAAACGTTGTCATGTTGGTCATCTTCATGTGAGCAACTGCAGGGGCCAAAATAAAGATGTGCAACACTTCCTTTAACTCATTCCCTGCCAATGACTAAAGCCGTCATTTGCATGTTTTTACTGTGTGGGCGTCGGACGAGCCCCCGCACCGTGAGAACAAACATCTCAGCTCTGAAGCCGATCTTCATCCGCATACGTCGCATGATCAGGAAGCAGAAAATCCACGTGTTAGGAGATCGTTTTGGGCCGCTGCTGTAAAAAAAAAGTGAGGCGCAAACCGGAAAAGCTTCTGCTGATCACAATTCAGCAACAGATTAGGAAAGAAGGGATAACGCTCGAAACGCGCGGATTCTTCCTGATGTGAGTCTCCTCTTTGTTTTGGTTGTTTTGGCGTCAACATCATCCTAGCGCGCAACGTTCTTTGACTCTTAAAAAAACAGTAAGAACGGTCAGAAACGCTGGCAGCGAATGAGTTGATAAAGAAACTATTTCTAACGTAAGAAGCTCTGACCCAGCACAGGTAGCTGCTGACATACATATAAGCAAGGCATATAAACTCGGTTTCCAACGATGACGTCGATGAACTCGTCCGGTGTGCTGTCCTCCCTGAAGAGGACTTCTGCATTAAAGATTTCTGAAGGAGGGGGGTCAACGAAATCAAACTCTGAGCGCGACAGAGATGAAAAGCTGGGCTGTTTCATCTTGTTTGTGGTCTTCGGTGAAGGATACTGTACTCATGAAGGATGAGCTGGACCAGCTTCTCTGAGCAGTGAGTGAGAGGAACTGTGGAGTTGTAGGACAGGCCGCCTCCTTTCTTTGGCTGCAGAAAAATACACAAATATGAGCAGAATCTGATATAAATATTTACACACACTCATCCAACCTGAATATTCATAGTAAATGTACACATTCGCCACCAAACCGATTGTGTAAATACTGATGAGGTTAGTTCTGATCACATCACAGGTTGTGGTGATCTGGGTATCTGCAGGTTTAAGGGAGCCAAATGTAAGACTTTTTAAGACCTTTTTAAGGCCACTTTGACCAAATTTAAGCTATTTTTAAAATTACATTTAAGCTTTAATTTCCAGCAATAGCCTGGAACCGGTGCTAACCACGTCGCGAACTACTTGGGGACGGTGACTGGGATGGGAATATGGGATCTATGGGGCCATTTTAATCTGTGAAGCACTTTGAGTAGCATTTTTTGTATAAGTGCTATATAAATAAAGTTGATTTGATTTGAACTGTGCGTTCTGTCTCATGCTCATTTTTTTTCTAAAAGTGGAGAGGGCGGTTCTTTCCTCAGACTTTTACCAACATGCATGCTTTGGACCTATTTTGAGGAGCAAAAATTACCATAAAAATATTTGCCTAAAAAAGAAAAAACGTGCTTCTTTCGGCCCGCTGGACCTGATTCAGCCCTCACGCTGAGGTCTACACTCGGACCAAAACATTTATATTTTCGATTTAAAACATTAAATCAAACCCGGATGGAGTTGGCAGGTCGTGTTATTTAGCTGTAATTCATATTCTGACTACTTCCACACGTTTCCATGGAAAACAGAAACATTTTTAATTAATCCCAGACTTCTGAGAGGTAGAGAATTTTTAAATCCACTGCTGTACTAGAATGTTAAAGACCACAGAGCTAATACTAGTAAAAGACATCAGCACTAGGGCTGCCGGTCATTAGCAGTAAGGACATACTGGGCTGGTATTTATCCTTATTGTATACATCTGCATTGGCCGATGATATGCTCCTTTGGGAGAACCGATTTAAAGTCAGGCATATCTGTGCTGCTGCTGCAGCATTTTATTTCATAAATGCTTTAAAACATTAATGTCGTCTGACATTTCTTTTAATTAATGTGTTTTGAATAATTAACAATTAGTCAGTTTATTGGTTTGTTTGGTTAAATGTTTGATTTTAAAACTGAGCAGAGAACAACATAAGATTTAACAGTTAAGTCACCGTTTAAAACCTGATGAGGCTCAGAAATACCAGCATCAGGTGGGGTTTTCTTCTTTCAGCCACTATCTTATAAACTCATATTATCAGATTTATTACCATATTTACACTGATATAAGTTTTACATCCAAAACAAAACACCTGGTGATTTTTGCTGTTTATCCAACAACAAAAACAAAACGATGCATAAAGAACACGTGAAATGAATACCTTGAAATAAATATTAGGTTTGGTTCTGTTCAGTCTGATGCCCACAGACTCCAACTCTTTTTCTAGAAGCTCCCTTAAAACAAAAACAAACAGATAAGAGTCAGTAATAACAGCACACACACACATACGCACGCATGCACGCACAGACGCGCGCACACACACACACACATGCACATACGCATGCACACACACGCATGCGCGCATACGCATACACACACATGCATGCAGACACACGCATGCACACACACACACATGCACGCGCATACACACGAACACACGCATGCACACACACACAAACACGAACACACGCATGCACACACACACACAGACATGCACGCACGCACACACGCACGCATGTACACACACACACACACATGCACATACACACACGCACTTATACACACGCACACACACAAACAAACGCACGCATGCACACACACACACACACAAACACATGCATGCACGCACACACTCACACACATGCATGCACACACATGCGCGCACACACAGATGCATGCACACACACACACACAATGCACACATGCACATATACACACACACACACTCACACACAAACAGGAACACACACACACGTGCGCGCACGCACAGACGCATGCACGCACACGCACACACACGCACGCACGCACACACACACATGCATGCACACACAAACACGCACACACACGCACGCACGCACACACACACATGCATGCACACACACACACACACACACACCTCTGAACGTCTCCTTTGGTGGCGTCCAGCATCATGATGACCACATCCGCGGTCCTGGCGACAGCAATAACCTGTCGACCTCTACCCTTTCCTGGAAAACGTCACAAGTCAAGGACGCTAAAATGATGTAATCCATATGATGAAAGCCTGCTCTCGTCAAATCAAGACAACAGAAACATGGAGTCTAAACGTACCTTGGGCAGCACCCTCAATGATTCCTGGCAGATCGAGCAGCTGGATGTTGGCTCCCTTGTACTACAGAGAAACAGATGACAGCAACATTAAGCAACACAAAGCTTCAAACATAAACACTGAATACTAGGGCTGAACGACTTTGGAAAATAATCTAATTGCGATTGCTTTTCCTTCAATATTGCAATCGCGATTTCATTCACAGTTATTTTCTCAAGGGGCTTTTTTTCTCATTTTTTTCAACTAACGAAAGCAAAAAAAATCTATTTAACTTGTACTGAATATAAAAAAGTTTATGCATCTACATATTTATCTAATCAATAAGTTTGTCTACAGAACACAAACACAAGTAAAGACAAACTTTTGTATTTGAAGGTGCAATGCTTTGCAGCCAGGAGCACATCCCTTGAAGGAGCATAGGTATTGGTGACAAATGCAAACATTTATTTTCAGGAAAGAAGTGTGTCCCCTTTATTGAAGTCTTTTGTGTTTAGAGTTTTGGACGTCTTGTCCATTCAGAGCTTCCGTAGTTCAGTTAAGTTAATCGCTGCTAGCCAAAACTCTTAAGTCTCTTACGGATTTATAGCTTTACTAAAATATCTGTCTGTACTTACTTGATTGATGGCAGTTTTTACATTTTATCAGACTCCAAATGTAATCATTTGGCACGTTCCTAATTCATAATGTAATGTAATCAGCGATATTAGCATTAGCATCCCTATGGGATTTTCCATGCATACTAGCATTGTGCTAACCACTCACTGCCAATCAAATCGCAGCCTTTGCGATTAGAAAATCTCCTTTAGTCACATCGCAATTTAATTGCATATGCAATAATCGTTCAGCCCTGCTGAATACATACAGCGACGTAAACGCGAGTACCTCGATGACACCAGGTATGCAGGTGAGGGTGGTGAACTCGTAGGACGCAGCTTCACTGGCTGTTGACGTCATCAGGCTCAGAAAGGTGGACTGAAGGACAGAACAGATTAAATTAGACCGGCACAGCACTACCGTTTCCATTTGCTGAGTCAGTACTGAAGGGCCAGTAATGCTGACTAATCGTATTGTGTGGAGCAGATCCATTTGGTTTACATCAGAATATTAAACCAACAGTTTGACTAATTAATGTAAACCAAGAGGAACCAAGAAGGCTTAAGCAGAAGTCAGATTAATCGATTAAGGAAGAATGGCATGTAGCCCGCCACCTTTCGTTGCACATTTTGTTTAGAGATAAAACAAATATAATTTTATGATTTTTATATGAATAAAAAGACACATCGGGTCCACCCACCTTACCCACAGAGGGGAAACCAATCAGAGCTACACGAGCGTCTCCTGATTTCATGACATCAAAGCCCTCTCCTTTGGCCGCCGCTGATTTGGACGGCTCCAGAAGCTGAGCTCTGTATTTGGCTAATTTGGCCTTCAGCAAACCCAGATGGTACTCGGTGGCTAGAGGGACAAATAAAATAGAAATATGACTCTGACGAAGTGAAGGTGTTTCTTTGTTAAACGAGATCTCTTCAGATAGTTGCAGACAGTTAGGTAGAGTGGTAATTGGTACTGTATGATCAAACTTTGCTGCATAGAATTACAAAATAGGCCCATTCATAAGCTTTAGAGACAATAATATTCCTTTTTTTTTTAAACATAATCCATGCCAACTTGACAGTTTACGATGATCCAGCCATGAAGTGATGATAGACATGTAATTACTGTGAAACATATTTTTTCCTGTCACACTGAGAAAGTCAAAACATTCTATTTTATTTTAAAATGTGGCACGATTTTATGAGATCAACAATATTTTTAATATAAAGTCATAAGAATCAGGCTGTGACTATGTACAGGGTATCTGCAGGTTTTTGGGAGCCAAATTTAAGACTTTTTAAGACCTTTTTTAAGGCCACTTTGACCAAATTTAAGCTATTTTTAAAATTAAATTTAAGCTATAATTTCCAGCGATTGCCTGGAACCGGTGCTAACCACGTAGCGAACGTAGGATTAGCCATCCTGTTACCATTAAACTTGCACTTCCCCATGGCGCACGCTCCAACTAGCTTAACCAGCTAATGTGCTCATCTAAAAATAGCCCCCTTTCACAACCAGGTGAACGTGTACGGTTCTGCTGATGTCAACATCATACACAAAAAACACTGAACACTAACTAGAAATTCACAAAAATGAATAAAATATTCTAGTTTATTGGGTCCTTGGTAATTTAAGACCTTTGGAAACTGTATTTAAGGATTATTTGTGATTTTTAAGGCCTTAAATTTGGAAAAGCTAATTTAAGACTTTTTAAGGACCCGCGGATACCCTGTATGTAATAAGATAAAAACACTGTTTACTATCCAGTAACTAGGTGTGTGTATTGGCAAGAATCAGGCAACACGATGATAAATATCACAATACAGGGGAGAAGACACAAGATCTTGCTAAACTAAAAGCTAGATGATTAACTGTAAACCTCAGGCCAGAGGCTTCCAAGACTCATGCAGTGGGCGTCATTTGGAATCCTAAGATGTCCAAGGAAGGTACCGTCTTTCTCACCTACGATTGGCTATTTCATGTAAGAGGAAACTGCAGGTTTTTATATTTACAGACAGACCTTGAGGAATTTTTATTCTTTTTTTTAAAGAAAATGGAACTCATTGCTATAATAAACATCCTTTCCTGTTTAGCAACAAACCAGTTTCAGTTTCTTTCATAAAGAATCTGAAAAACATCAAATGTGAACTTGTAATCAATGTTGTTGTATTTTATCAATACTGACTTCTGTTGGAGTTTTCTCTCATTACTTAATTATTAGGCTATCCTACTTTATTAGGTTACGGCTGTTTACACATTAGAGCACATCTCTCATCAGATTAAATGTGTGTCATTTAATCAAAAATTAAATTAAAGCTGATTATGATTTAGACCTCTTTTTCACCAGTTTTTATTAAGAAACAGACCTGATAAACACAGCTGGGCAGAATAGAGCAGTTTTATCAAATTTCATACCCAGGTAAGGCACATATGTTTATCCTATGTACTCTAATGCTTGAGAGCCAAGAGATATAAAGGAAGTCCAACAGTTTGATAAATGCAACTAGATTATAAATTCACATTTTACGTTTTTCATTCAATGTGAAATATTTTGCAAAACAGGACAGAATGGTTATTATAGCGCTAAGCTCACATTTTCTTTACTAAACCCCCAAAACAGCTTTCTGCTGGTGGCATAATAATAGTAAAAATAATAATAATAATAATCTGGTTTGCTGCTAAACGAAATAGCCAATCATAGTTCGTAGAGCCTTTCTAGCCAATCAGAGGCGAAAAAGGTGGGATCTTCCTTGGACATCCTAGGATTCCAAATGACGCATCCAGTGGTATTGCGAGGATTCGTTTTTCTGTCAGAGTGAAGGCAACAACAACTGCTGCCACCTAGCAGATGGAGTTTGAATTGCACCACACAAAAGAATTAGTGAAAGTTTGCATGAAAATTGTCAATAAAAGAACTGAAACACTGCTTTCAAATATCGATTCAGTATCATAACAAAACATCGCGATTTCTCTGGGTATCGGTGTTTTCTTACATCTCTACAGTGGACTATAGTAAACACTCAAAACCCATGAGATAAAATATTGTTTAAAAACACATTTGTGGCTTACGTTTTACGTTGACATAAAAATGAAAACAAACAACCCTTTAAAATAATTACAGTGTGTTTACACCTTAATAAAAAATTAAACTTAGCTTGATTACATGTCTGTAAATAAAGGCTACCCAACCAAGACAAAACTATTATTACTTTGCAGGAATAAAGTCAGATTAGCTCTGCCCTTATTTGGACATAATAATTTAACACCAACACCTGACACACACACACCGCCACTTATTTGCCATTGTGACCCCACAAACGTAGTAAAACAAGTCCAAAACACACCAACTTTGCCTGTTCTGTAGCTACCAGTTAGCTTCGCGGCTACACTGTTACCTTTATTCTTCTGTGTCCGAGAAATCTCTCTTTCGATTTCGGCGATTTTCTCCAGAATGCCCATGTTGGTGGTGCAGGTGAGATGCAGCTACTCTGTCGGGGAGACAAAATCCAACAGAAACGTGTCACCTCACTGCTGCTAGCTTTGTTAGCCGCCCGGCTAGCCTGCAAACAAGTCAAACTTAACGGTTAACAAACCGCATCAATAGTCGTCCACGAAAAGGCTTACATAATGAAATTTACGTCAGAATAAACCCTGAACATTGTCAATTATTTTATTCGTTAAATAGATAAAGAAATTTACTTTGACAGAAGGTTCAATCAGCCGCGCACGCAGACTGCAAACCGGAACGCGGTTCGTCGCTATAAAACGTTCGGGTGAAACAAGGAAACGCAAGAATAACCAAACGGACCCTCTAACGAATTACACTGTGGAGTTATGACTAAATACACGTGATTTAGTTAACAGTATAACCCAGTTATGCTTCCAGTCGTAGCTAGTTTCATTCCAGTTTACAGACATTTTTAATATTTACTAATACTCGAGGTCAATTAGATAAATATTAACTCAGCAGGAGAGAAACATGGCTGCGCCTGCTGGTGCCGCTGAATCGTCAGGCGCCAGCCCGCCGGGGTTCGAAGGTTTCCCCTTCCCGGTGAGCAGCAGACCACAGGAGGACAGCTCCGGTAAAGGGCATGAACAATCCGGGGATGCAAGGAAGAAGCCATGTAGAGCCTGTACGGATTTTAAATCGTGGGTGAAGCTACAGAAACGGCAGGATGCTGATGCTGCTCAGGTGACATGACGTTTTAAGTTAATTAAAAAGGGTTTTAATCTGTTTGAAGGGCTTTAACGTGTTTCTCTGTCCCATATGTTTATTTTTTACCAATTTAGTGTTAGTAAACTGTTATTTATAGTGTAAATCTCACCCGATCCTATTATTTTATGACCTTTGTCTCTTTTGTGTGTTGAAATCTGAACCCACAGGAAACTCGTCCTGCAGAAAATGTGAGACCAGATCCCCAGTGTCCACTGGAGAGGGATGAGTTGGGCAGATGCACCTGGTCCTTTCTGCACACCATGGCCGCGTATTACCCAGACCGTCCGTCTTCCAGCCAGCAGCAGGACATGGGGCAGTTCATCAACCTGTTCTCCAGGTTCTTCCCTTGTGAAGAATGTGCAGAAGATCTCAGAGACCGGTCCGTCCATTTTACCCAGGTTTCAGATCCAATAAGTTACTCTTCTGTACAAATGCTGGAGGCCAACTATGTCCATGTGCTTCCCGCAGATTAAAAACCAAACAGCCGGACACGAGCAGCCGCTACGCTCTGTCTCAGTGGTTCTGCCATCTTCACAACGACATCAACGTCCGGCTGGGAAAACCCGAGTTTGATTGTTCACGTGTGGATGAGAGGTGGAGAGATGGATGGAAAGATGGAACCTGTGACTAAGTGTTTGTATTAAAAGTTATGTCACTAAGAGTTTATTTAATAAGTATGATCGCAAAATAAAAAGGAATTAAATGAATAATGTTTTGTCATTTTTTGGTTAAAATAGGGTCAGAGCTGGCCCAAGGCATACCTGAGTTAAGCAAATGTTTGGGATCCCCATGAGCATCAAGATAGTGGGAAAAATGTTTTAATAGCTTTAAGTTATATAAACACAATTATATCCCATGTGGAAAATGTATTATTTTCTATAATGTAATTTGGTTTTAGCTTTAAGTGATTTCGCATTTCATACATCTGCTCCAAATTTTAATGCCAAAATACTTGAATTGTTGAAGCTCACACTACTAAAAGTAAAGCAGAATTTTTTTTCTAGAAGTGTATTTTTTTATCGTCACAAAACCAAAACAGTGATTCCATCACTACTAAACAACTAGTGATACCACCTTAACTGGCATTTAACCACTTAATCAGTGTGCCATGTTGTTTCCTCACATCCTTAACTAGTTTTATTCTTTCTATGTGTTTTATATATAATTCAAACAAATATATAATTATGTAGTCGTACAATTATTGATATAATGTATATGACTGATATTTTATAATGGTAATACTTATTGTTACAAATATTATTTTATAAGTCCTTTTCAAACTTTCGTCTTTTTCTTTTCTAATAATTTTCTGCAAAAGTGCACCGTAATGTGACGCACATAAAATGTGCTTTCTCTTGTCTCATTTAACGACGAGAAACCTTTATATATTTTTTTCATTTAAGTTTATAAAAGGAAAGAAAATGTTGCTAAAGGAAAAGCTACATTGGTTTATTCTGAAGTGGATGTGAATTTAGAATTGGCCACCAGGGGGCAGTGATGTGTTCCAGTGGAGAGTCTTCTTTTTCAAAAAGAACACATCAGAAAATAGCCAAAATTTCACAATATTGGAAAATTGGCACAAACTCTTTGCAGGTGTTTTGGATTAATTAGCTGAGAGAGTATCCAATTGGCTAGCACCATCTTTGTTTTGGGGGTAGACAAGGCAAAGTAGTTTAATTTATGCGGCACGTTTCTTTATGCATAAGAAGATTTGAAAAAGTACTAAGTTAAACGCTGAGTAGTTACAGCACAGACAGTCGGTTGATGAAAAATTTCGTCTTCGGTTTTGATTTAAAACAGGTCTCTTTCTATCAGTTTCAAGCACAGTCAGTAGAAAATATTTTCATTTTATTTAATGTACTTGGCTTAAATAAATACTTCCCATACCGCACTCACGTTTTGCGCTAAAATGTTCGCACTGCGTGTCCTACCCTTGCTCGTGCGCTCGCCACCGGGAGCGCGCAGGACCCGTCCCTACAGCAGCGCATCCATCCTGCCGCGGGGTCCGGGAGCGTGGAGGAGCGCACACTCACTCACACACAGAGGGAGAGACACTGAAAGATGGACGGAGTGGGATCGTTCGGAGCGGGCCGATCCGGGTCCACTATCGACCCGATTACATTCGCCAAACAGCCGCAGACCATCCTGAGAGCGCTGTCCTGGGTGAGTTGCGTTTTTATCTGGCTGTGTGGGTTCACGCGCGCTAAGGATGTGACCTGCTCTCCGTCCGTGTAAATACAAACGCTGATAAGCGGGGTGTCAACACCTAAAATGTGGGCTGGGTTTTGTGTATTTAGAAGGAAACATGTCCGGGGTGTCACCAGGCCCGCTGCTGGGCGCACACCACGTTACTTATACAGATGTTTCTCAGGGCACGCGCCCAGCCGTTATCACCTGCTAGCTTAATATTCCCAGGTTAGCTCCATCGCTGTTAGTTCCTATTAAGCCGTCAAGAACGACGCACAAACCCGCAGGCTCATTATTTACCTTCTTTATTGCTGCTTTTCTGTAGCTACATTTATTAGTGCTATTTACTCGTTGATTTTAATGCAATTCCAGGTTTTAGCTGCAGGTTTTACTGGTTTACCCTACACGGCTGTGCTCGTCATCTCACCTGTGATTGGTGCGCGTCCATCATTACGCACGCGGGACCACGCACCGCACGGAGATGCGTGACGTTCGTGTTCCCAGCGCTCATAACAGATCAGGGGTTCCGTGCCTTTAAAGTGCGAGCAGTTGTCCTTTATTTTCAGTTAAAATTTACAAATGATAAAGGATCAGTCTAAATGAGAAGTATCAGCATTACAAGCCACAGATTCGTTTAAAAAGACACACGTTGAAAACTCTTAATAATATTGCTTTATGTGAGAATATTTTAAATGCTGTCAAAAAATTGTCACACTTAACACATTTTTTGAAAATAAAATAAAAAGACAAGGGAATACTGCATTTTAAAATGTTGTTTTGGATGGCTTTTGTCCCTTTATAAATTATTTAATTAGAAAATCAAAGTTTGTATTTAAACTGGTAATCTCTTATCTGAAACATTTAGGTGGCAGAAAACTGGTAAATTTTGTTTATATAGTGCATTCTAGGGTTCTATAGCCCCTCAAGGCACTTTACACCCACTCACACACGTTCACACACCGGTGATGACGAGCTACATTGTAGCAACAGCTGCCCATGGGGGTGCACTGACCGAGGCGAGGCTGCCGTACACAAGCACCACCGCTCTCTCCAACCACCAACAGCAGGCAAGGAGCGTGAAGTATCTTGCCCAAGGACACATCGACTGTGACAGGCTAAGTGGGGCTCACACCTGCAACCCTTTGGCGATGGGGTGGGCACTTAACTCCTCTGCCCTGTCGAATAGGGGGAAAAAATCTGTAACGGACATGTATTTTTACAACACTACAGCTCCTTTCAACCTGCTGAAATTGTTTCTAATCGTGGTAAGAATCATAGAAATAATTCTGCTGCCAGTTTTATAATTGAGTGGATCACTTGTTTATGGTGCTACTTTTAAGCCCTTAACAATAAGGTGCATGCCAAATACCTAGAGCAGTTTTTAACCAGCATTGTAATGGTGGCTCAGTTTGGGTGAATCAGTAGAGATCTGAATGCGTAAGCGGCGCGTAACGTAATAAACACGTTTTACACGCAAGCTTCCTTCCCACTGGAGCCTTTCAGACACAACATGGCAGCGAGCTGCTATCGCAATGTCACAAAATGACTGGAGAGTTAGAAGACCATGAATAACAAGCAAAGAGAAAGATGGCAGCACGTATCCAAAAAGATCCGTGGTTTATTTTCTGTTCCGTTCACCTCTGCTTTTTACAGGTAATGACGCATGTTCTTGTTAAGCAACTGGAAACGTTTCCAGATGTTTGACACTGCTTTTGTGTTTGACTTCCTGTTCAGCCCAATCTGAACAGCTGAACTTGATGCTTTCTGGAAATGTAGCGCACACAAAAAAAAATGCAGTGGAAGCAAAAATTTTACGGAGCTGCATCCAAAACGCGACGCTTAGTGGTCTATGGAAACGCAGCCATCCACTATAATGGCAGCTAGCCGCTGCGTACGACGCTTCGCGAACGTTACACATCTAGTAGAAAGGCCCAGTTTAACAGTTTTTATAATATTAGGGTTGTTATTTGGGTTTTATAAATGTAATTTTTAAAATCTTGGTAACCTCGGTGAAGACAAAATTGTAGGGACCCCCTGTGATCTCCAGTGACCCCCTTGGGGGGTCGTGGACCCCAGATTGGAAACCACTGCTCTAGATTATGAGATAACAAAACAATGGTTGACTCATAATCTCAGGATAATCCCAATCATTTGAACATTTCAAACAAACCTGTTCTGGGTTTTCTCTCTTCTGATCTCTTTTGAACTTTTTGGGAATCATTTAGGAAGTAAAAGTACTAAATGATGCATGAGGGATATTTGTACCTTCTAGTTACAAATGTAAGCTGCTCAGCTGTTGATAGTAATTGTCTGCGTTCTCCTCTTGTGATGCTTTACGTGTTTTGAGTTGAAAAGAGATCTGGAAAATACGCAGGCTATAGCACTCAGTCTGGGTTCATGAAGCTACTTTGTTGTCAGCTCTGCAGACTGAGGTCTGACATCGTACCTCTGGATAAATAACACACTTCTAGGGAAAATGCATCACCATTAAAGACTTTCACATCCATCCAGGTCTGCCTTGTTGTGTCGTACCATCAGACATTAGCTTAGCTACTTTGGATGTACTTTTATTTAAATAAAAACAGTGTTACTTTTATTTAACTTCTCTATCTTTTTAAAATATCCTTCCCTACTGTTTTAGATATGTTTACATTAGATTTGATATAAAATCATAAAATCTACTAAAACATTTACATTTTAGGTTTTAAGCATGAACAAATGGAAGATTAAAAAATGTCTTGCATTAACATCTCTGACAATTGGATTTCTACTTAAAAAAGAAGAGAATAAACAGGTTTGCTAGTAGAGCAGGATGAGCAGCTTTATCTCACTGACTCACAGAAAGCCCCTGTGTCTGTATCTGCTCCGATTAAATCCACTCATGTGATTAGTTTAAAACGTTGGCCTGACATTATCCCATTGTGTCTCCTTCCTTTGTCATATGACCCAGACCCCCAAGTACGAGGGCACGTTCGTGTGTTTGTGTGTCACATGGCCTTATTCTGCCTCCATGTGTTAGTCAGCTGATCAGTGTTGGGGTGGAAGGTCGCTACAAGGAGAAGAGACTGAAACGTACAAACTCTGGAAGAAAAATAAAACAGAAAAGTTGGAAAGATAAATTTGTAGCATCAGCCAAAGCCATCACACTTCTGTTTTCATGAACAGATTTGAACTAATTTGTTGGCACCCTTCCACAATATTCTAACAAAATTAAATCTTCAAAAGAACTTAAACTGTCAAAAGTTTTAACCCTCCCACTGTCCTAATGGGTGTGACTCCACAAGGAACGTTGACCATTGAGCAGGATTGATGGTTTATCCCTTGGGTCCACGTGGCAGGGGTCAGGAGTGAGCCTCACCTAACCCTAACCCATTAGGACAGTGGGAGGGTTAAGGCATCCATTATTTTTTATTTGTTTTTATACAAACCAGATGTTGCTTTTAATCATCGATTTAGTTGAATATGTCATATGATTAAATGAAGATGGCTTGGATGGCTTCATTCCTTTTGCCGTCCTTTTTCATTTGATTTTTCCTACTGGGAAGTTAGAATTTCCGAGGAGAAAGCGAACGCACCATTAGCTGATAACAATGGTGGCAATGGAAGCTAACATATCAAGCTAACTTTATCTTAAACAGTTTATTTAGCTGCTGGAGCAGATTAAAACGATGATGCCTCACACTTAGATCGTTGTCACTGGTTTCATCTTCACCCAATCAACCGTCGCATTTAGTAAAGTGAAGCCAAACTTTAGAGCGCGTTCATGTTCTTCTAGTCGGAAATTCGGAGTTCCGAGAAGAAAGCGAATGCGCCATTAGCGAAACGGAAGCTAACATATCAAGCTAACGTTATCTTAAACATTTTGTTTACCTACCGGAGCAGATTAAGATGAGGATGTCTCACTTAGATCGTTGTCGCTGGTTTCATCATCACCCAGTTACCCATCACATTTAGTGAAGTGGACCCAAGCTTTAGCATGCGTTCTTTCTACCATGCTGCTCTGTTTACAACTCGCTCGCAGCGACCGACGACGTAACGCTCTTGCACATGCGCAGCTGTTTTGGCAAGTTCTCGTTATGAAGGACGGGTACTGAAACAAGGCACTGTTTCAATTGACGTGAATCGGTGCTCAGTCGGTACTGTGGAATTCGGTCGGTACCTTAAAGGTACCCATCGCTAGTCCCATTGGAAATTAGCGTCCACGGACCCACCTATCTTGTTTTGCCATGGGGAAGGCTGCTGTTGGTTTAGCATTCAGGAAAAAGCAGAAAACATCTCGGCTAGCAGAAGCTAACCGTTAGCATTAGCAACTCCACAACATGACAGAACTCCTTCAGGCTTGTGTTATTTGTGGAGATAAACGTCAGTGTTGCAAAGCATGCAAAGTCAGTGGATGAGTCATATTTATGTTATCCAGTCAGAGGCTAAATGTTTGAATGTCAGGAAATAAGAGTCCAAATCCTGCCGTCGTAAGTTCAACTCAGCTGTGGCTCACTTCTAGCTGCCGAAACAGGAGGACAAGAGCATTTTTTTCTCTCAGAGATGGACTCACAAACTGACACTTATGTGACAGTGTGAGTGTGCTGTCACAATGTCCTGATAGATCATGTGCCCTGGCTACTTGGCCAAGGGGATGTCCCTTTGGCTGACTGGTGTTCTAAAATAAAATGTTTTATTTTATTTTAATTACCTTAAAAGACTCAAAGTCTCTTTTTACACTTTATATTTATTTAGTCAGGATCGTTGTCAAGTCGACGCCAGAAACAATGAAACACAACTTGAATATCAGATGAACAACAAGGCTTTATTCAACCGGCATTCATACAAGTTATCAATCATGAACGAAACATTTCTCTTACCGTTGCTTATGGGTGGAGAGCTGAACACCCCAGTTAGAAAACGTAATCCATGATAGGTGAAGAACTGAACACATGTAATCCATGAACCTCGTCAGGTAGAATACGCCAAGCAGCTCTAACCCCCCTGAGCCCTGCTCTGCTCCTTATACATTCCCTGATGTGCGTGCAAAGCTGCACACCTCTACCATGATTACCTTGATTACATCCTCATGATCACATTATGTTCGGCTCTACCATGATTACCCTTGATTACATCCTCATGATAAGTGTGATTGACAAACAGTAGTGATCAATAACTTATATAAAGCAATTATACAACAGATGACAAGTTCATTTTTATTACATTCCACTCTTGAACTTTTCATCTAATTTATGTCAAAACCAACGTCATTTATAACATACCTTGTAGTTCCACTTTAATTTTCATCGTAGTCTTTGCATTATTACCCAATTTATTTCTCTTCTTAATCGAATAACATACACAATGTTAGAATGCTGATTATAATTAATGCTGCAATCATAGGTGGAATTAGCACTTTATTAGCGGTACTCGACATGCCTGTAAATATATCCCACCAATGATGAGCGGAAGCCTGTTCAATCAATGTAGCAACATGTTTTATTTCCCCTTGTGCCACAAGAGTAGACACCATGAGCCTGGAAAGGTTGGACCTATGAGAGTCGATCAATTTTGCCACTTCAGTGGAACCATCCAATGCGCATTTGAATTGTTCCAGTGAGAGTGTCCAAGGGGAGTGTAACCTCCCATTGTATCTTAGTCAGCCGACTAGATACAGTGTAATTACTCAACCAATAGGTCACGTTATTCCATTCCCACATATGTATACCCTTGAGACAACCTGAAAAGGGAACTGAAGGTACCTGTGGGGAATTGGTCATTGTAGCCACGCATAAGGTGTTAGGACCCACCTGCCAAAACTGTTCCTCTGGGGGTGTGACCGTCCAATCACAGAGTACGACCCTTGAATCAGTGAAACATGGATTGCTATGTCCTTTTACCAATGGGCAGGCTAAACCCTTATCAGTCTCATCACAGTGTTTTACTTCATATGTTCGATTTGTTTTAACATCCCACCACTCTCCACTAACATGGAGATACCAAAACCCTTTAGTGGTTATCACCGGCAGTATCTGATATTTACACACAGTCATTACTGATGTCATATTATACTGATCCCAGTATCCAGTACACATAGATTTATTACAAATCGTCATTTCTGCATGTGGCTGTAGCCATAATGAACTACTGATGTTCCATAATGTTCGCCATGCATGATAGTTATTACTCATAACCTGTATTTGAAACCTATTTCTTTGTGTCTCAGCATGAATAGTCTGCAAGGAACAGACTGTCCAATTACCTATGTGTGACAAATTATGCAATGCATCATAAGTTTCATTCCAAAGCTTTAGATTCCATTTAAATACACTTTTCCACACATCACTTCCTTCTAACTGACTAGATACAGTCGAAGGCATCCATCTTGCAGTCTTGGTGACAGCTTGTGCGGTGTATTCTCCAGTGTTGGACAGCATAGTTCGTGTTACCTCATTGTCTGCTGTGTTAGCCAGACCATACAAAGTTCCAGTTCCTCCTAGCACGGTGTCATACCATGCTCGCCTCCTCCTGTTGCAAGGCGGAATAGGAGGGAATTTCACAGTCCATCGCACATATTCGGCTACCCTTATTTGTCCCATTTGTTGACAAGTGTGAACCAGGGGAGCTACAGCTGTCTGCGTAGCTCTAGCTGTGTCGGGCAGCACCCAGAATATGTACAAATAGGCGTGTCCTCCTGTGATTACAGTTCCATTCCTGATCCAGAAATCGTGATCAACCTTCATACTCCAATTTGTGCCATTTTGTATGCAAGTACCATTCCCCTGATGGTATGCACAGATGCGCGCTGCAGAATTAAAGGTTACTGTTGATCCTTGAACCAACACCCCCGGGCTGATCACCCTTCCTCGGAATTTAAGACATCCTCTGCACCGGTACATCTTACCGGTAGATGTTAGGTTTCCCAAGTAGCAAGCGTCATTTGCTCTGCATGTGAATGTGCCTTGAGTGCGGTTGGACATACTGCTAACCAATTCCAGATGGCCCATGACCCCTTCTTCCAACACTTGTCCTTCCGTGAGCCCCCAACAGAAATGTGCCCTCAGTGCGATGACAGCGAGGACATGGAGGACGATGACCAAACATCCGACACCACCAGGTCCGCGGAGCCCATCCATCGCCTCGACAAGGGTTCAATCCTTTTGTAGGGGAAGGGGACCCAGTCAACCACCGTCACTCAGACACCCGCCGTTGCTTATGGGTGGAGAGCTGAACACCCCAGTTAGAAAACGTAATCCATGATAGGTGAAGAACTGAACACATGTAATCCATGAACCTCGTCAGGTAGAATACGCCAAGCAGCTCTAACCCCCCTGAGCCCTGCTCTGCTCCTTATACATTCCCTGATGTGCGTGCAAAGCTGCACACCTCTACCATGATTACCTTGATTACATCCTCATGATCACATTATGTTCGGCTCTACCATGATTACCCTTGATTACATCCTCATGATAAGTGTGATTGACAAACAGTAGTGATCAATAACTTATATAAAGCAATTATACAACAGATGACAAGTTCATTTTTATTACAACTGGTTAGAGCATATGACTCTCACCCGGGAGTCTGGGGATCGAATCCCGCCCGGGCCCTCGTTTATCCACATTGCCACACTTATACTAGAGACAACTGCAAATGTGTTGGGGGGAAAAAACAAGTGAACTTGATCTTTAAACCGTAACACAGATGTTGAACTGGATTAATATCTGGACCAAGGGCCATTTAAGGCTGCTATAGCAAATCTACAGAACAAGCTACATGGTCACAGAACACTCGTTTCAGACCAGTATCCGGTACGGATAAAGCATTTTTGACGAATACGAGCATGAAACGAGTAAAACTCGTCAGTATCTGTAATTGTGCTGAAGGAAAATCCTCATTGGGTAACTGACTGTCTTCACGCTCTGTGATTGGCCAGTCACATAGAGCGCCCGCCCCTCCCTACACACAAAACTGCAGCCGGGAGCTCAGTCTGCCTCCGGCCCATCCACACACACACACACACAGACAGTGACGGATCTCTCTGTGCTTCACTGTTGCTCATGTTTCTTCAGTACTCCCTAGGTTTTCTTCAGCTCGCCTCTTTTTTAGTTTAATATTTAAAGTTACGTTTTATGTAACGTACGTGGTGCATTTGACAAGACAGAGCTGAAAACGGCTCGTGCTGCGTTGGGTTCCCCCCCCCCCCCCCCTCTCGCTCGCTCTCTCTGTATGTATGTATTAATTCATGCACTTAAATATTAATGTTCTGATTTTATTGAAAAACTTGTTCTGTAAGAGTTCCTTTACCATTGTGATCAAAATATTTAATCTTAATTCTGAGGCTGCTCTGTAAATAGTTTTCAAATAAACACACATAGCAACTTCTGATCAATCCATATCAATTTCAGACTTAAAATAATTTATTGATGTAAACCACACCCACTTCCGTTTAAACTAGACCCACTTCCAGGTTAGGCCACGCCCACTCTGAGTACAGATACAGATAATTTAGATGGTTGAACAGTATCTTCCCTGAGACGCATTGCCAGAGGAAACAAGATGGCGCTAAACACCAGTCGCTGTTTTCTAGATCCAAATGTCTTGTTGTCCATGACTTCAAACAGTGTTTTCCTTTTTAGGGCTCTTTTGTCCTAAAGTTGAAGTGGTAGCAGCCGCTGTTTCTCCTCTGGTATTGAGCGGAGAACTTCTCACTCTAGTGGTGTTCTGTTGCTAAATACATAAGCGTGTCATGAATGGAGGACCCAGGGAAGTGCAGCGGTTTGGCGAGACCAACATCCGGATGGTCCAATATGGTCCGGAACATGTTATTTGTGGAGGTTTTTAGACTAATGCGAGAGAACCACGTGATTGTTTATTTTTAATCTCCACAATATATTTATAGCTATACTATGTTGTTGAGAGGCATGAAAAATAACTTTTAAGCAATTTTTTTTTTCCAAATTTGCTATTGCACCTTTAGGAGAAGTCCAACGTTTTGAAATCAGCCACAATTGAGTGCTTTTAGCTGCATGTTTGGGCTCCTCGTGATGGAGGATCCAGGATCTTCAATGGGGTAAAGCTTTCGGAAACACAGCAGTACGTTTTGGTAGTCTGGAGATTTCACCGTATCTTGTACAGATTAATAAGGAAGTGAAGCAGCTACATCTTCAGTCACTCAAAGACTGAAGGCCACGCCTGTTTCCTGATAAGGACACAAAGAAAATTTCCGTAAAGATTTGATGATTTAAGCTGTGATTTGTAACGTCAGTCCTCCTCCTGTCCACAGATATTTTCCCTGGTGGTGTTTGCCTCCATCGTGAATGAAGGCTACGTTAACATGGGCAGTGAACGTCTCCACTGTGTCTTCAACAAGAATGCAGACGCATGTAACTACGGCGTGTTTGTGGGTCTGGTGGGTCTGCTGGCATGCTCCTTCTTCTTCCTGCTCGATTACAAGTTCTCCTCCATCAGCTCCGTTAAAGACAGGAAGAAGGCTGTGATGCTTGAAATTGGCTTCTCAGGTGAGAAAGGATAAATACCGCTGTAGATGTACAGCCTGCAAATGGTGAAGAGACACAATCCCTTTGTGTGAAATGCGTTTTGAGCTAATCATTTATTGATCTATGGGGTTTCTGACAGGTTTTTGGACCTTCCTGTACTTTGTAAGTTTCTGCTTCCTGGCCAATCAGTGGTCTCGGACTATGACTGAAGATTTACCCCTCAACCAGGGGGCAGATGCAGCTCGGGCGGCGATTGCCTTCTCTTTCTTCTCGATAATCACCTGGGTAAGAATGTGAAATCCACACAACTGGTTCCAGAGCAAAACCACCAGTTGTTTTTGATTCCACCACCCACTGAAAGCTCTGACTCTAGCACAGAAAAACTATATTTACAGGGCCAGAGAAAAAAAATATGCTTTTGTCAGGAGATGGAGGTGGGGTCAAGGAAACCAACAACCAATGAAAATTCTATTTTTGTTGGATTAATTGTATTAAAAAATGCTCTACTTAAACATGAAAAGAAGTCAAATTAGCCAAGTGTCCCATCTTCCTCCAGTTTGTGATTTGTTAAATTGTTCGTCTAGTTCAGACATCGACATAAATATGTGGACAATGGGTTTCCATAGACTCCAATAACAAGTTTTTCTGCTAAAATGGGAGGTGGCCACCACCGCCATTTTGACCGTGTCACAGGTTCCGTCAAGCCCAGACAATTCCATAAAAGGGAAGAGAGGTGGAGCTGAGGGTGGGGCTGTAAGGCTGGGATCAACTGACGACACCCGGTCGAACTAGCTACAAGCTAACCCAAAGCTAACGCGGAGGTGGGAGCTAAGCTAACGGAGGTAGCAACCGAGCTACAACCGGAGTTAACTGTGCACAACACCAGAGCTTCTGAGTCAGAGATACGCCGGGCTGACCGCTGGGTAAAACCGGGTGGAACATAGAGGTCTCCCGAGAGCTCCACAAGCCGGCAGCCGCACAGCAGACAAGCGCCGCTGCGATCTGAGATGCGCAGAGCTGCCGCTGGGGAGAACCGGGTGGAAAGGTTTCCATCCAGAGCTCCTCAAGCCGTCAGCCCGCGCAGCACACAGAAGCCGCGATCAGACAGAGATGCGCCGAGCTGCGGGGAGGGGAACGGGTGGAAAACATCGGTCTCCCGAGAGCTCCACAAGCCGATAGTCGGAACCCAGCTCCACCAACATGTTATATTTCAACCCATTTTCTAAAGTGCAGCATTATGTTAAATGCACTGGGTTTTACCCTATTACATTTAAATGTCATGGTTAAACAGTACATGTTAAAATCTAAGCTCAGCTCGGCAGTGACCTAAAATACATAAATATAATTTTACTTACCGAAAAAAATGAAGTGGAGACTCCTTGGACGCTCTATTAGTGCAATTAACGCCACAGCAAGTCATTTTGTCCAACAATTGCACAAATAATATCCAAACAGGAATACACACACACAGAGACTCAAAATCCCGGAACAGTTTCCAAGCCAGACCGAGGCTCTACTGAGGCCTTTCCACGGAGCTAGCTCTGTGGTCACGTGGGTCTGATGCTCATTAATTATACAGAATTTTAGGCTTTTAACACACTTAAACAGAAGAGTGAGAAAAAAATGCACCCCCCTCAGAGTTGTCATGAGTGTAAACTAGATCATTTAAACCAAAAACATGTTTTGGTACCAGGCTGTAAACATGTTTATTTCTGCTGTGAAATTGGTATTTTTAACATGGGAGTCAATGAGGATTTGCTCGCTTCTGACACCAGCCCCCAGTGGATGAGGGTGGAACTGCAATTTATTTCACTTCCGGGTTTGACTCAATTTCAGAGCTGCATTGTGCGGGCCTGGGTGGATCGAAGCGCTTCATTGAGCTGCCTTCACAACTGCTGGAGCTTCTTTGGTAGAACCCTTTATGATGCACATGACTGCTGTTAATGCCCCACTAGATGGGGATTTAGAGAGTTGAATTTACAACATTGTGTGATTTGTCTCAGTATATCCATACGGAGGTTCTTCTGAATCCCTAAAACCAGTTTGGTGTGTGCCTAGAGGTATCTGGGTGTGATAAAAACTAAATCTAGTATACAACAGTATTCAGTGTCTTGTGACTTCCTCATGCAGAAGTAATCACCACCAGTAGCTCTAATCAGTTTGGCACATCAGCTTGGAGGAAATGTTCCCATTTCCTCTGCCCAGAAAAGCTTCAACACAGGAATGTTGGATGTTTTCTTTTTTCTTAATTGCTCGGTTTATTACGCAACACTCAAAGCACAATGTGAGTGAGGAAGACAAAACAGGAGACTTAAGGTGCACTATGTAGAAAAGAAGTAAATGACATCCTGTGGTAAAATTTGGTTACTGCAACCACTTGAAACCATTCTGGAGCTTTTTGCTGGCCGTTGTCAAATTACAATAGTCGGCACTGCAGCATTAGCTCACAGGAGACACGGCAACCCCACACACACTGATGGGAAACGGTGATGCACCGATATGACATTTTTGGGCCGATACCGATATCCGATATTAATGTGGCAGAATGGGTCAGTACTAAGCAGAATATTAAAAAGTTTAAATCCTGCCAACAATGCCAAATGTGGCGGAGCTCGCGGTAGGGTACCTTCTTTATGAAGCTCGCCCCTTTAACCGTGATTACCAACTACCCAAACTGGGAGAACACACAACACCGCCACCTTGGGAATTTCACCTAAGGAAAAATAATTGGATACCTCTAGGCACACATAGGTTCATGCTCCAAAGAGGTGGCAGAAACAAGGTTGCATAAAGTTCACAAATGTATTAAAGAGCAAGTAACGTCTAAATTAACTTTTTTTTGCTGATGAACTGTATAAGTGAGTGTCTAATAGTGTTTTAAATGTGTGTATTCATTATTTTAGCATTTTGGGGCATTTTCTTTAAAATTGAAAATTTCTGCCTAAATACCACAGTATAGTGCCACCTACAGCTTAAAACATAGAATTTGAGTCATTTTAGCCAATGGCTAAAGAGTAAGATACTACGCAAACCAGTAGAGTACTACGTAGCAGCTATGTGTCAAAGTTATAAAAACATCGAGAGTCTCGGCCACGCCTTGTGGCGAGTTGGGAGTTGGATTTGCAAGCGAGCGTAGGAGGTTAGCGGTAGTTCAGCATTAGCATATAGCATTAGCATATCATAATCTTTAGCATAGCTTTTAGTGTTATACATACTTATTTAGTGTTAGCTTGGCTGTTAGATATTGTAGTTTAGTTAGTGTTTAGCTGTTGGTGTTATTAGGAAAGTAGTTCGGGTTTAGTGTTACATATTGTGTTAGTATGGTGAGAAGGTGTAGTGTAGTGGGTTGCGGTGGATCTGTGGGGTTGCACTACTTTCCACTGGACTTAGAAATTATGCGCCAGTGGTTGCGCGCAATCGGTGTCTGGAAAACAGTCAGCTCCCGCCTGGTGCTGTAGTTTGCAACCAGCATTTTACCCGCGATTCCTTCGCCAACATGACGGAGTTTGAACTGGGTTATTGTGCACGTCTCCGTTTGAAGAGGGAGGCCGTGCCCACCGTGGCTCTTCCGCGATTTAGATGCAGCCCACCGACTCTGCTCCCCCACCATGGCGGGCTCCAATCTGAGGTGAGTAAGCTAAATAAAAGTTTTAACATCTTCTAAAGACAATTTCCTACCTAAATGCAACGTTTGAGAGACGTGGTTCACTTAATTTAGCTAATATCAGCCTGCACTGCCTTCGGGCTGATTTGTCAAGTTCACAAAATGTGGAACAGGGTGTAAGGTTAGAATCAGCGGCGAATCGGAACATATCTCGAAGCCCTGGCCGACGAAATGGTCCACATGACTGTTACTGTCAGGCTCGGAGAAAATTCGGGTTGTTTTTGTGTCGGTCGGTAATTCTGCAACAGTGGCTCTAACTGATGCAGCACTAGCTGACAGACAGCATTACAGCGTGAAATCCAGCATTAAACCACAGCGTGACCCGGTTCTGTAAGGAATTCTGTTCAGGAGATCGCATTTCAGACTCTTCACATCATATGATACTGACTTTTACATTATAATAACGATCACACACTAGGAATGTTATAAAGCGCCTATATGGGACAGTTTCTTTTGTATATAATCTATGACTTTATAAACTCCAACAACAATGTGCTTCTTTTTTTCAGGCTAAATCTACCCAAGACATTGGCTATCAGACTGATTTAGTAGTCTGCAAGAATGTACTTGTCCAGGCAGACGTGAAGCCTTACCCGTGGCAAAGGTGAATTATTTTTAATAGTCTTCTATGTAAACATTTTATTATTACCTTCTAGTTTTAATTTGTTTTACAGATTATTGTTACACGTGATTTTATGCTCTTTTAAACATTTATAAATGTGCTGCTTCTTTGTTTTTTACATAGCCAGCCAGTTTAGAGCTCCTAGCCGCAGTGTGTCTTGTGACACAGGGACCATGACGGAAATTCATCTTCCCGAAAGTCCCAGAGCAGCGTCCACACCCCTGAAAAGACCAAGATGTGAGGTGTCTGCTGTTGATCCCAGCTTCCACCTAAATGACAGTGCAAGCTCAGTGAACTGTTCAAGGTAAAAAAAATTATGACATTTTAGAATTATTAAGATATTACCACATATATAAATATATGTGTTCTATACAGCTCTTTCACTGAGGTCCATCCACAAAAGGACAAGCAGTACATTGTTCATGAGGAACAGTTGCTGTCTACAGCACTATTAGTCACTCTTTCATACATTTGTCATTTAAAAATGTCAGCTATGGGTAACTTTTTCTCAATGAAATAATGAGATATGCTGTAGTGTACCCAAAGTACAAACGTGGAGACTACACAGTGAGAGCCCTGAAGACCAATCCAACCTCATGTATGTCATATATTGTATGATAAAACCAAAATGATGGTCATGGAGAACTATTGTAATACTGAAAACCCTTTTCTAGTATATGTGCACAAGCTTATGGACCTGCTGTTCGACTCTGTGGTGGTGGATCCTCTCCCATATCAGGAGTACTCGGACAAAATTCCTGTTCCAGAACCTCTCTGTGCCCAGTTCTAAAGACCAGACAAACGGGATGCTGTGAGCAGGCACAGGTCCAGGTTTTAAAGTGCACTTAAGGTGAGCTACACAACAAGAGATTGTAATTATTAGTTAGTATTCTACTCTGTGTGGTTTTTCCTTTTCTCCTCCTCAGCCAGGCTGCTCACCACTGTACGACAGAGGAGTTACCTGTCGTCATTACGGATCTTTCTGCTCATCCACTCGTGACTCATGCTGTCCACCTCCCAGATGTCTATGGATCTCTACAACCTTTCTGCTCTGTGGCTCCCATACAACTTGAAAATCTTGGCCGTATGTAACATAACAAAACTCACCAGTCTTGCTTTTGTAAGTCATACTAATATTCCTTTTTTCCTCAGAGCCTCCTCATCTTGTAACAGAAAAACCTGTGCTCCTGGGCTCCATCTCCACGACGTTTGTCATCACAGTGAAAGCTACCTCCAGTCTAAGGAACCTAAGAAACATCACTGTTGGCCCAACCTCTCCTCACATGGCTCCAGAATCTTTGCTTGTGGTTTAGAGTTTTGTCAAAAATCATGAAAGTTATGATCAGATTGTAATCGAACATTGTCTTAGTAGTAGCTATAATAAATGTTATCTTTGCAGCGCAATTGTGTCATTTTAAATACAATTATATTGATATTTTGATGTGTATAAATACATATATCACATTTATTAAATTATCATTCATTTTTACCTAATTGAACCTGCTCTAGAATAGACTTCATTAATCACACAGGGTGTAAATTCACTTGTTATAGCAGCACTAATTAACCACTAATTAGAACCTTACTGTTGTAAGAGCTCATTTTAAAGTGTGTGGCTATATGTGTGTATATATAAATAATGTCAAAGTGTAAAGAAGTGCATTTACCGTTTAGTGATTTATGCAGCTTTTTATGGACAGGAATCAAAACAGGAAATATATAATGACATTTATTTAATAAAAAAAATATTAATTCAAATTCAGAGGGAGGAATCCTTTGTATGCACCATCTTCTGGGAACTCCTACCTTATTCTGGAGACAGCGCATGACGGGATCACAACACGAACGTGCTGTCCCAGGTAACCCCAACACCACCTGACCACATTCCGGTACGCCAGATGTCTGTAACAGCTGAGAAAGAGGTGGTATGAGTTATAAATAAAGTATTCATAAAAAAAAGTAATTTGACAGTTGTCTTACCTGTTGAGCATAGTCTCCTGCATCTCCCCATAGAGTTGCAGAAAGGTGCCATAAACTGCCTGCAACACGTAGGGATTCAGAGCAACAGGCTCAAAACCAGGATGCTCAGTTATGCAGGAGGTTACACCCACCTGCTGACACCTGAGCATTACCTACGACAAAGAACAACTGATATCAGGGCTATAAGAGTTCAATATTAGTATGATGTTAGTGATTGTGTAACAAATGTGTACATTACAGAATGCTTTTCTCATGGTGGGGTACTTTTGTTTTTATACCTTGGGCGTTTCTCTGCAGCACACATTTTCTCTGGCAGACAATGATGTGCAGTGGCTGCAGGTACACCTGTTGAGGCAGTCATACAATATTACTTTTAGCTAAGCTAAATACAGCTTTAGCTGTGGCAAAAAGCTACTTACCTCTCAGAGACTGGACCCATTTGACCCATTTCTCAACTGTGTAGATTGGAACCATACCTTTGCAGATGTGCTTGGCAACTACAGTAGTGAACTCCTTCCATCTGCGGCCAGCTGTGGTTACACGTTGTCCCACGCGCCTGTTGCTGCATCTGTCTGGAGTTTGTTATGAGCACTTGCGCTACCACTCGATGCTGCTTTTACGGCATTTGCTTGTTGACACTCTCTGAATCCTTTTTCAGGGTTCTTGCGCAGGTGGTAAAATAAATTTGTAGTGTTGGAGTTTGTTGTTGGCACAGAGAGCCGGCAAATTCTACTGGTCCATGTCGGCCTTTCTATATCCAAGCCACTTCCATGCAACAGAAGATCATTCAATCAATCTTTATCTGTATAGCGCCTTCCACTGCCTTTGCAGGAGCCCAAGGCGCTGAACATAAAATACAGTAAAAGCACAGATAGCAATAAAAAGGAGGTAAAAGCAACATGCAAAATGTAAACAAGGAGCATAAAAGCATACAACCAGGTCACATAAAAGCCAAACAATAAAAATGAGTCTTAAAAACCTGCAGCTAAGGTGACAGTTTAATATCAAGTGGACGCTCATTCCAGAAAGAAGGAGCCAAGACCGAGAAAGCCAGATCACCTCTAGATCTGTACCTAGTTTGTGGAGCAATCAGTAGCTCCAGATCAGCCGAATGTAGAGTCCGTGATGGGGTATGCCTTTTTATTAATGCTGCCAAGTACGGTGGGGCACCACCATAAAGAGATCGGAAGACATTGCACATAACTTTAAACTTAGCCCAAAAACCTACAGGGAGCCAATGTAATGAGGCCAGCACAGGAGTGATGTGTGCCGACCTCCTTGTCCCTGTCAGAAATCTGGCCACAGAGTTCTGAACCAACTGTAGACGTCTCAGTGCTGCCTGACTTTGCCCAACATAAAAATCATTGCAGTAGTCGAGCCTGGATAAAACAAACGCATGGAGCACTGACTCCATATGTACTCGAGACAACAAGGGCTTGATTTTGGTAAGCCGCCGCGGGTTAAAAGCCCTTCTTTTAGATGCAAGCTCTTCAGTTTTGGTCGGCAGGTCATCCTGTTGAAAAGTACCCTGGTCCGAACCACGTCTGCTACAGTCTTCCCCCATGTTTGTTTGTGCACGGCTAGCGCGCGTGGGCATGCCGTAAGGTGCATCTTGACGTAGAATGCTGCCGTGAAACGCCTAACCGTGGCATAAACGACGGAGCTTCATATGAAACGATAAATATTTCACCTATGATAGAAAAAGTCTTAGTCACATCGCCCTATTGGGAGTTTAGAAACAGTGATTGAATGTTTTCTCGTTTGCATGAATGTTGCTTATTTTCTTTTTCTTCTATTCTGCTTTATCAGCAACTCTTACAATTTTACAAATGCTGGTTGTTTGGGCAATGTCTGTCGATGTCTTTTTACTGAATTACAACCAGTCAGTGCGAGTTAACCAAAATTTTCCCTCAGAGACTCTACCGGGCCATTCCAAGCACAGACCCAGCTCCTGTACTTCGTTAGTTCCTGAAAATGGCCCTTTTGGCCGGCCACGGAGACACACGTCCATGTTGTTACGTTCCAGTAAAATTACCCTGAAGCTCCGATAGTGGAAACACGCCACGTTCCTCCAAAATAAAAGCACTTTCTTTTTAAAAGTGGAATGACTGAGAATAAACTGACTATAAAACATTTTCCGTTCTGTCAAAAAGTGAATAATACGATCTTACAAAGTGGAACGCCAAGAGTTTCTTTTTATTTAATTATTTTTATTTCAGAAAAGTAAAGGTCTGTTTTAAATGGTTTTTGAAGTTTTTATTAAATGTAAATGGCTTTTTTCCACTGGAGCGAAGTACCTTAAAACAGTATTTGTTGTTGTCTACTTTTCATTTTGACTTCATTGTGCATCTTCTTTGCTCCTGCAGGCTGGTTTAACAGTGCGTGCGGTCCAGAAGTATCTGCTTGGAACAGACATGACGCTGTTCACCACTGAGCACATGGACGGCGGAGCGCCCACCCAACCGTACCCCTCCAATTCACCGGTAGGCGGTACTACTGAGACCACAGAAGCCTACCAGAGCCCACCGTTCACCGAGAACAACACGGCACCCACGTACCAGGTCCCCATTTATTAGGATGCCTTGATGGGATTCAGGAGGGAAATATGAGAGGAAACTGCTTGCTGTGATTTCTGTTACCAGTGCAGTTGTTTTTAAGTTGATCTGGTTAGTTGCCTTTTTCTTTTCCTCCTCTTGCTTCCTGCCTTTTCTGAACATTCCAGCTTTATCTGCTTTTCTAGACTTTTTCCAGGTTAAGAAATGTTTTCTCTGCATCAGAGCAGGTAAAAACAAAAGAAAACCAGAGGAGGAAAAATGGAAGGCAAGGCTGCTTTGTTGCATTCAAACACTATTTTGTTATAAAAGGAAGAGATGGAACGATCGACATGTTTGACTGGAACAAAGCTGTACTGTAACGGAGCAGGCACACCTTTGTCTTTATTTTTTATTCATTCAGGTGTCTTCTTTTTATGCCAAACATTGAGAATGTTCTTTTTCTGTTTTAGCAACAATAGCTCTCCTTACGCCCCCTGCTGGTTATCATGGTTATGTGTCCAGACTTGTAGATGAACCAAGTGCCATACTGTACTGTGTTTCAGAGAGTGGCTTCATTTTAGCAGATTTTCACGTGCTGTAAAAAACAATTGTGCAATATCTCACGTTCTAATGTTGGCAGGTGTATATGGGCTGTGTGTCTGAGTCACATTAGGTGAACTGTCTCAAATCACGCATTAGTTGTTGAAGTTACACAAAGAAACACGTTTATAAATTTCCTGGCTGTTGTTCAGTGAGCTTGTGATCAGTGTTTTACAAATATTAGATTAATGTGGGATTTAAAAATAGAACTACATTGAGACGGATGATTCGCTGTGGTGACCCCTGATGGGAAAGGACAAGAGAGAAGATAATAATAAAAAAAAATAATTCTTATGTCAAGAAAATTTATTTCATTTCATTGCTTCTATTACCATTTACATTTATATAAAACAGGGTAAAGTAGTTGAAGCCTAAAGGAACCCAAGCACCCCCTAGTGGCTGGTTCTGGTATATGTTTAAAACCCTACTTCCTCCATGTTAGTTAAAGAGCAAGTCACCCCCGAAATCAACTTTTTTTTGCTGATAAACTAGACAAATGAGTGTCTAATCGCGCTGTAGACACGTGTAGTCAATCATTTGGCACTTTAGTGCATCTTGGTTAAAATTTTAATTTTCTGACTAAAACTGTCTGTTTTGCCGTAGTCAGGTAAAAGCTCTGCACTGCATTGAATTTAAATCTGCCACCACTATTGGCTAAGAGGTACACAGTGATGTTAGCTGGTACCATATGATGTCACAATGTCATTGTGAGCCTGTGTGTGTGTATTTGTTAGCAACTCTGCCCTCTTGGTCTGCCAGGCAACAGCATTTGTTGCATTTTTCAAACATGAAGTGGGAGTTGAGTAAGGCTCTGGTAGGGGGTGACTTGCTCTTTAAAGCTTCTTTCCGGAGTATTTCTCTCATCCGATGGCACCATCTAGTGGCTGACAAGCATATCACACAAAAAGTCTGTTGCTGTTTTTTTAAGGTGGCAACTTCACGTTTCTGAGTATAAATGTGCTTCTGTAGCCGACAAACAGAGCTAAAACACGTTTTACGAGTATTATTCTCATGTCATGTTGTGTTCTCATATATTTATATTTTTGAGACTTTTCCGTGAAAAGTTCATCAACTCTGCATCAGCCGAGGTATTCCTTAAATTTGAAGCACGTAAGCGGTAGTTTAACGCTATTGGTGAGTTCTGGTCGGCGCTCAGTTTCTTATTGCACGGAGCTCTGCGGGGCAGGGGGCGTGCTTAACAAAAAAAAAGACTTATTGCTTATATTATATCACAGTACATGATAAGATAACCACTTTAATGGATTTCTGACAAATCATGCATCATTTCTGAAAGGGGAAAACTCCGGAAAGCAGCTTAATGTGGTACTGGGTGTTGAGTTCCATTGATTCATTTGTTCCTTACATTATTGCTTCCCGCCCAATCATTTTTCTAGAATGCTTAAGCGTAATTAGTGGCACAATCTAACTGGCTGAACCTGTGTTGTCCATCGTCCAGTGAGCTTCCCCCATAATTTTTTGTCAGTATTCTATCCTGGAATTAATATTGATGGAGTCAACAAGATGTAATCTCATCATGATCCTGATATTGCAACCCAATTTGGGGGCGGGCCTTTCCATCTCGGTCTTCTTGCTTACCTGACAAATCCGTTCTCCTGAGTACGGGAGCACGAGGACGGCATTTGGAACAGAGCTGTTCTCCGTTACGTCATGGCATTATGCGCTGATTTATGCTAGAGCAAGGAAATGACCAGAAATTAAATAAAATTCTAGTTTGTTCCTTAAATAACATAACAGTGAATACTAGGGATGTCCTGATCAGGGTTTTTTTTTGCCCCCAAATCTGAGTCCAGGTCATTTGATTTGAGCATCCATCGATACGGAGTCCTTATCCAATACAATACATTAAATGAGAGTAAAGAAAGCAAAGAAACAGATCCAGATGAAAAGAATCCCGGTACGCTGAGAGTCCATATAATTAATGTAACAAAGGCAGAAACAGGATCTTTTTTCAGAATCCCTCTGGGTGTGTAAGTAAGGCTTCTAGGGGAGCCCATCACCCTTCAGGTGAGCCAGGTTCTCCTTAGCTCCCCTGTAATTTGCTCCCTGTATCCACGTCCAGATTGGGAGGTAACGCCCGATTCCAACTGAGCCTGAAACCAAGTGATTGGGACCGATTTCCGATCACGTGATCGGATCTGGACAACCCTAATGAACACATTTTGTTGGTTCAATACTTCATCCACTTTTTAATGTTAGTGTTTCTTTTATCTATCTTACTTTGAAATTGATAAAATATCAACATTTCCTGCTGGTAAATGAACAAAATTCTGTTTATTTTTTATTAAAACAGCTGGTTTTATTGTGATAGCAGGTTAGCTAATTAGCATTTTGCTGCATCGTGAAGAGTCGGAGCAGAAACCAAATGCACACAGCAAATTTGACAGGTTGACACAATTATCTACTGTAACAGACAACTTTATATTTATTTATACAGAATAATTTATTTGTATTTTTAAAATAAAAACACTAGAGCTTTCGATTTCTGCCGGTTTTCCTTTGGGGTATGACAGTTTGTGATGCAATGCATTATGGGATACCTTGCTGGCGTAAGTCCGCAGAAGAATGCATCAGTGCATTCTTGATAAAATGGGCAGAGCAAACACGCAGGAACTTTGAATGTACTCGCTATGATGCATACTTGTGGCTGGGTTAGAAAATCAAGTTTTCAGAAACTATGACGCAGCATCATGTTTCCGCATGCCCTCTATTTGTGCATCAAACATTTCAAATGTTTATTTTCTTCCACATTTGTCTCATTTGATCTTGATCCTGTCTTATTTTGTGTAAAATCGACTCTAACCGAGGGAACTGGTAAGACCTTCAAAGACAAAGACAGGTGTTGGGGAATCTTTACAGGGTATCCGCGGGTCCTTAAAAAGTCTTAAATTAGCTTTTCCAAATTTAAGGCCTTAAAAATCCTTAAAAATGACAAATAATCCTTAAATACAGTTTCCAAAGGTCTTAAATTACCAAAGACCCAATAAACAAAATTATTTTATTTCTATAAAATTTTCGTGAATTCGTGACAATGTCGTGAAAAGTTAGTGTTCAGCATTTTTTATGTATGATATTGGCATAAGCGGAACCGTACACATTCAGTTGGTTGTGAAAGGGGGCTATTTTTAGATGCGCACATTAGCTGGTTAAGCTAGTGGGAGGCTTGCGCCATGGGGAAGTGCAAGTTTAATGGTAACTGGATGGTTAATCCCACCTTCGCGAAGTGGTTAGCACCAGTTCCAGGCAATAGCTGGAAATTATAGCTTAAATAAAATAAAAAATATAGCTTACAATTGGTCAAAGTGGCCTTAAGAAAGGTCTTTAAAAGTCTTAAATTTGGCTCCCATGAACCTGCAGATACCCTGCTATAACAAACATTCTTTCTTTGTATTTTGTTGTGTTGATAATATGGACTCTCTCGCCATCTAGTGGCTGGGTAGAAGTATTTTAGCATTCTTGGTAGAAGGATGTGGACAGAAACCAATTCAAAAAGAAGAATTGGCCTAAACTCCAACCGCGGTCTGGAGAATAAACCAGCTAGTGTGTAATTTGGGACAGTGCTCTATATGTGGAGAGTGTGTGAGTGAACGGGGATGCTGTGGATAAAATATGTTCCTTTATGATTTTAAAGCTGCCAAACTGCCCTGGGTTCTTATCGCTGTCCTCTGATTACTCGTGTGTTATCAGCGACAGGTATTTCAGGTGAGACGAGCTGTCATCAAGGGTTGGGTTGCTGGAGGATTCAGTTAAGTCTCACTCACTCAAGGAGTAAAAAAAAAATTTTGTTGTGGATCACTAGATCCTGCAATCCTGCCTTTAGATTTTAGAAGGTCAGAATTAGTCGCCATGGTGACGCGAATAGGCAGGATGTGGGTCAGAAGTGGTCCCCTATGTAGATAGTCCTTCTGGGTGTGTAGCAGTATCTGTGTGCTGTGGTTACACTGGTGAATCTGTCATTTGTGTGTGGGTTATGGTGCGACGAGGGTCTTGTGTTGGTGTGTGAGTGTGTGTGTTTCAGTTTGGTACAGTTTTAGCACAGAGCAGTTTTCAGAAGTTCCCTAAAAATCGACCCCACGGTTTCTGCATCCCAACGGTAAAGTTTTTAGTTTTGATGAACTGAACCAAACGTAAAGGTTTACAACGAAGCGATAGGACTGATCTGTTGCTGCCTGATTGTTTAATGGATCCGTTATGAACCGTTTCTGATCCACTAAGAAGTAGTCACAATAATAATAATAATAATGATAATGCATGAATATGTTGTATAGAAGCCATTAGATATATTTATTATTATTCCATTATTAGTCCAAGATGTTTAACAGAAGCCTGCCTACAAATCTGAAAAAAGTCTCTCAGTCTCATCACATCTCTGTGATCCTGGTGATCACTCAGATATAATGCCAATAAAATGTGTAACAATATGGTGGTAATCAGTAGTTTAGTGGTCAAACCACCATTCCCCTCTGCAAAAACAGTCATTTTTCTGCTTGTAGAGGATTTAAGGTCGTCCTAAACAGAGCTGAGACTGCTTTAACTGAGGTGATAACTCTTGGTCATAATCATTTGCTCAGAGCTGAGGAATTCTGTTTTGGGACACGCGTTGATAAAGTTCTGCTGGGTTTGGTTTCTGATTAGTAGAACTACACTGTCTGTTTATGCCTTCTGGCTCTCTGCTGTCCCACAACTTGCTGAGTTCATAAATGGGACTGGGATCTGGGACTTTTAGCCCTTTCATGCATAGTGGTCTGCGTTAGTGGTGCACCTGCACAGATGCTCTTTAAAACCTCCGTCATAAAAGGAGATGATGTACTTTTCATGCATAAAAACACTTGGCACAGGCTGTCAGAACTTTGCATGAAAGGGTTCATCTAAGATTGCATGATAATTAAAAAGGAGCTATCATTGTCATAAAAGCATATCCATCCAGCTATCCAACCATTATCAGCCGCTTATCCAGAGTCGGGTCGCGGGGGCAGCAGAGAGGCCCAGACTTCCCGCTCCCCGGCCACTTAAGCCAGCTCTTCCAGGGAAGTCCTAAAAGACGTTCCCTGGCCCGCTGAGAGGCATTTCCTCCAGCGTGTCCTGGGTCTTCCTTTAGGTCTTCTCGGAAAACTTTACCAGGGGGGCATCCTAATCAGATGCCCGAGCCACCTCAACTGGCTCTTCTCGATGCGGAGGAGCAGCGGGCCTACTCCGAGCCCCTCACCCTATCTCTAAGGGAGAGCCCGGCCACCCTGCGGAGAAGACAAATTTCGGCCGCTTGTTTCCGCAATCTCGTTCCTTCGGTCACTACCCAAAGCTCGTGACCATAGGCGAGGGTAAATGGAGAGCCTTGCCTTCCTGCTCAGCTCTCTCTTCACCGCAACAGACCGTTACGTCTTCATCTCTGCAGATTCAGCACCAATCCACCTATCTTTCCCTCACTGGTGAACACGACCCCGAGACACTTAAACTCCTCCACTTGGGGCAGGACCTCGTCCCTAACCCGGAGAAGGGATTCTACCCTTTTCTGATTCAAGACCGTGGTCTCGGGTTTAGAGGAGCAAAACGAAAATCAAGTTAAAAAAAACTGCTATTCATAGTCATTCCCAGATTTATGTAATTACATAATTATGCATCATCAGTAGTAAAAAAAAAAAAAAAAGATTTGAACATTCATGTTCTCTAAGTTTGGAGGAAATTTCTTTCATTTCATAGTGTTTAAGCACTCGTTTTAATGGGATAATTCAGATCTGTTCAAGTAGGGTTTTGTGGAAAAAACTGGTGTAGGGGTGAAAATCACACGTATTAGGTACGGGCGTTCAGCATGAATGCTTGAAGCGTACAACAAATCTGTTGGACACAGCTGGTTAAAACAGAAATTATTCTTGTGCAAATATCGGTGTATTCACCTTTAATATTAGTTATTTAAATGCAGCAGTTACTGGATTGGTGCAGTTCAAAGTGAGTGCGTCTAATAAAATAATACTAACATAAAGGTGAGACGTGTCCATGCGCCCCCCACCAACACAGCTGGAAAAATTCCTAGGGGAAACACTGAATCTGGTCAGACGCCGCTCAAAGAGCTTTCTTCAACAGGTAAGATAACTTTGTAGAACCTTTCCACAGAACCTCACTTTAAAAAATCTGAGCCATTGAATGAGAAAACGTTAGAGTACTTCTTTATTTTTCTACTGGAAATATTTTCATTTTTATTTTTGGGGGGTTAAACCAGATATAAAGTGTTTCCATGACGATCCTATGGGGTATTATAATTAGTTTGGGGTGCCGTCAGTTCAGGGTGTTTTATTGTTCTCGTTGCTTCGTTCTCTTAGTGGTAGAAGAAGATAATAAAAACAAACATGCTCTGTGTTTCGTGCTCTGGCATCTGTACACTACTGTGGTATTGGTTGATTGTTTAAAAAAATAATCAAAAGGTCAGTGTGTTCATGAGGTAAATGGAACTCATGTGTGATTCTGTCCAGGGTCTGGTTTGTTCTGTGCTCCTGAAATTAATAAGTATTTATTTCCTAGACGGCACTACTTTTTTGGAAATACTTTGTGGAACAGTCGTAAAAGGGCCAAAGTCAACACGTGAGCTCATTCTGTCGTTTAGTGAAGCTGAGGTAATAAAAAGGCTGTTAGATGTAGTGGTGCTGGCACCAGCAGTGGTGCGGTTCCAGTAGAAAACGTTGCATGAATGTTACAACACACCCACCCCCTCCCTGGTTATGCGGATGGTTTGAAGAAGGAAAAAAATCCCCATTAAAGAAGAAAACATCAATTCTGTGTTCTTTAACATGTTTCTACCAAATAGTTTCTTCTTGTTATGAAGCTGTTTGGCCTCTTCAGCGTGAACTCACTGTGTACAGACATGTGTCACTGTCTATTACCTGGACTTTGGTCTGACCATCACTCCCAATAAAGAAGAAAACATGTTTTGGATTGCTTGTGTCTGTGATGATTTGGATGTGCTGTCAGTTCTTCTACAGTAGCACGTGGCAATGATCAGCTCCAAAGCTGAACTCCGATCCAACCCACACACTGTAAAAGGCGTAATGGAAAATGTGTTGGTGTAATGCACGGCTGATTAACTCCTGGGAGTTGCATGAAAAACGATTTTCGCTGAAATAATTTGATAGTTTGATGTGAAAAATCACGAGATGGAAAACATGTCAACAAAATCTTTTTGTCATCGTGATCGTTGACAAACATCCAGCCAGCTGAGAAGTCAACCTGTTTCAGCGTAACCTTCCTTCCAACATGGTCGAGGCGTTAAACTTATGTGATTTTTGTTTCACTAGAATTCCTATTTAGGTAAAGTAAGTAAATTATTGTCAAAATTGGTCAAAAAATAAACTGTTTCAATGGAAGTCAAAGCAACAAATAATTTAAGGCAGGGGTGTCAAAACTCAAACTCACACGGGGCCGAAATGAAACTCTGGGACGAAGTCGCGGGCCAAACTTAATGTTTTTTGAAAAAGTGATGGCAAATTAGCACATTTTCTTCATCAACATATATGCAATTTTGAACTTTTTAATTTGGAAACAAACTTATTAATGCATTAACACTGAATGTGGAATAACTAAATTACACACGAGCAAGTCGATTTTAAATAAAAGGCATCAGTGGTATTCATCACTTGTGGTATTTTCAGCATTTTAAAAATCTATTCATGATTTATGTTTTCTTGTTTATTCATTTTTCTTATATTTTATTCTCCTTTTTTCTCCTGTAATACGTGTCATCGCTGCTGTGACGTCTAGCTTTCCCCACTGAGGAACAATAAAGGGATTTTCTATTCTATTCATCTATCTGCAGCCTTTCCACTTCCTGTTTACTGTAGGTTAAATCTTTTCTCACGGGCCAACAACAAAATAAAAATATCATTTTTTCTTAAATGAAAATGCAACATCTCACCTGTTAACTTTCATATTTTGGAGCAGAAAAAGAGCAAAAAACCTAAATATTTAAAGCTCAGTTTGATTTACTGTGATGCTCACCTGTTCCAGCCAAAAACCTGCATGGGTTTGATCTGAGCTGAGGAGACTCCTGTCGTTTTGTTCATCATCATAATAATGACAACATTAGATAACAGGTGCTCACATAGGTTTTTGCTGCTGAACATGGAGAGCGTCTGAGCAGCTTGACCACGTTGTGTGTCGAGGAGGAAAAATAAAAACGACAGCAGCCACAGAGTCATGCTTATTTGAGCGTGTCACTGCTCGCTGGAGTTATACAGCACGGAGACAGCACTAGTAAAAATCACAAATTATCCACTAATGGCAGCAGACACAGGCCATCTCTCCATTCTGGTTTTACTAGATCTAAGTGCTGCATTTGACACCATTTCTCATAGCATACTTCTCAAAAGATTAGCATGTATCGGCATTAGTCACACATCCCTATCCTGGTTCACCTCATACATATCGGATCATACTCAGTTCATTCAACTTCAATCTCACTCTTCTGGTTCTTCCCCGGTTACTGCAGGAGTTCCCAAGGCTCAGTTCTAGGCCCTCTTTTATTTATCATCTATTTGTTCCCCCTTGGTTACATTTTCCGCAAATACAACGTTGATTTTCACTGTTATGCTGATGACACCCAGCTGTACATTTCCTCCAATCCAAATGCATCCCTTCCACCAATCTCCCTCTCTAACTGTCTATCTGAAATTAGATCTTGGCTCTCTCAGAACCTACTTAAACTAAACAGCAATAAAACGGAACTCCTACTCAATGACTACGTTTACATGCAGCCAATATCCGGGTTATGATCGGGTTAAGGTCGGTATTCGGGTTTCTGAGTTGATCAGAATAACCCGTTTACAAGCATAAATAGAAAGAGTTACCCCGAACTTGCATAACCCGATGTAAATGCGGACGTTGGGGTAGCGTCTGGACGCATGGACTACGTCCAGACGCAATATGCGTCATTTCCGGTTCTTCTTGTTCCGATATCCGTGAAAACAACAACATGTTTCCCAGTTCGGAAGAGATAGTGACCGCGTTTGTTTGCGCTTTAGTTTCCTCGTAACTCCAAAAGTGTGGTGCTGTGCCGCGACTCGCCATGTTGCTCCCAACTTGTTGTTTACTTCGGTGTTCTGGCGCATACAAGACGTCTCGCTACTCAAAAGACCAAGATTCTTTGCAAACAGAGCATGCGCAGAACACGCTCTTTGATGGGGATATCCCGATACGCGTTTACACGACCAAACATTCAGGTTAGAAAAGGGTTACCCCAGGTGTAGTAACCGGGTTTTTAAAAACCCGGTTATGAGCATATCCGGGTTTTTGGCGGTGTTTACATGGACCTGCGGAACCGGGTTATTGTGAATATTCGGGTTTTAAAAGGGTTACTGGCTGCATGTAAACGCACTCAATCAGTGCACAAGACACAAGGCCCGCGGGCCAGATGTGGCCCACGGAGCATTTTTATGTGGCCCGCGAGATAAATATCAAAAATATATTAAAACTGGCCCACTGGCCGACTTTACCGCAAAGACTTCAACTCCCATGAAGTTTGTGGCGTTAGCGCGGAGCCGACGCGCCCCCTCCTTTGTTTTTTCCAGCGTCTGCTGCCGGTGTCTGCAGCTCCGCTGTCTCGGACAAACTAAACACTCCTCACTCTGCGCCGAGTTCACTCAGCTATTTTCTGACGTTGAAGCCCAGAAACAGAGATTCTAGCCGCGCAGTAATGTGTTCACGACTGAAAGAGAAAGTTTTCCAACTAACGTCCAGACAGAGCTGATACAACTCCAGCGAGCAGCGACACGCTCAAAACTGTTTGACCAACAGTGGTTTGATCAAGGAATTATCTTTGTACACGATATTAAGGATAAAGATGGTGAAATACTACAGCTACAGAATTTTAAATACAAATTTAATAACATTCAATGTTCTCTTCAGGAATATAAGAAAGTATGTAAGGCTATACCAGTGACTTTGATACAAATGATAAAAAACACAATTCTCTTCTCTAATGTTCAAACAAAACTTCCTAATTTATTAATAGAATTGAACATCACAGAAAGAAAATGTGAAAATAAATTCTTTAATGGAGCCTTTAAAAATATATCTATCATGATCATGATAGGAAGATTAAAATAAAAATACTAGGAAATCCAATAATTGAAGAAAAACAATTAAAATTTATAAAATGGCCTATAATGCCCAAAGTAAAAGAAATGCAATTTAAAATTCTTAACAACTATACTATCCATCAGCAGAGACACCGAGGAAGAGATTTGGTTTTGAAGTTGACCCTTGTGAATTCTGTCAGGGAAGCCCTGAGGGAACAGAACACTTATTTTTCAGCTTTCATATAAGTAAGAGGTTTTGGGAAGAAGTCCATTGTTGGTTAAGAAATAAAATAAGAGAACTTGATCGTTTTACAAATGAAGATATTCTTATTTACAATTCTAAATTAAAGGGGAATAATTCATTGTTAATAAACATTATTATTATTATGGGTAAATACCACATCCACAAAAGCAAATGGAAAAAACAACTGCCAAACAAGAACTGTTTCACAAATGAATTCCATATGTTCATATCCACTTTGACTTGTATAAAAAATTCAAATGCAACTGCAAAAGCCATTTGTCATGCTGCAGAAAAATGTTTAATCTTGTAACAATGTTTTTACTTTGTGATATAAGTGCCTCTTTTTAAGTTTCTTATTTGTTTTTCTTTTATTGTTACTAAAGATGCCTTGTATGTTTCCATTATGTGTTGTTGTCTCATGAGAAATTGTAATAAGCATTTAATAATAAAAAAAAAGACACGCTCAAACTGTGGTTGCTGTCGTTGTGTTTCCTCCCCGACACACAAGCTGCTCAGACATGTTCATCAGCACAAACCTATGTGAGCACCTGTTGTCATCTAATGTTGTCATTATGATGAAGATGAACAAAACAACAGGAGTCTCCTCTGCTCAGATCAACCCCATGATGCAGGTATCTGGCTGGAACAGGTGAGCATCACAGTAAACCAGTGGAGCAAACTGAGCTTTTAATATGTTGGTTTTATGCTCTTTTTCTGCTCCAAAACATGAAAGTTAACAGGTGAGATGTTGCATTTTCATTTAAGATAAAATTATATTTTTATTTTGTTGTTGGCCCGTGAGAAAAGATTTAACCTACAGTAAACAGGAAGTGGAAAGGCTGCAGATTGATGAATAGAATAGAAAATCCCTTTATTGTTCCTCAGTGGGGAAAGCTAGATGTCACAGCAGCGATGACGTGTATTACAGGAGAAAAAAGAATAAAAATAAGAAAAATGAATAAACAAGAAAACATAAATCCTGAATAGATTTTAAAAATGCTGATTATACCACAAGTGATGAATACCACTGATGCCTTTTATTTAAAACTGACTTGCTCGTGTGTAATTTGGTTATTCCACATTCAGTGTTAATGCAGAAATACGTTTGTTTCCAAATTAAAACGTTCAAAATTGCATACATGTTGATAAAGAAAATGTGCAAATTTGCCGTCACTTTTTCAAAAAATATTAAGTTTGGCCCTCGACTTCGTCCCAGAGTCTCATTTCGGCCTGTGTGAGTTTGAGTTTGACACCCCTGGCCTAGAACATCAACCTCCTCAAAACTGTTGAGTGCCGTATTTGGCCAGCAGAGGGCTGCAGTCGTTAAATATGAAGTTGGTTAAGTTTCTAACTCCATCACTGAGCTCAAGGTTAGCGCTCTAAAGTTTTAATAACTTAAAACCGTTTATATCGAGTAATATAATGCAGACAGCCTCTCCAGGAGGTGTTTCACTTCCACGCACTCGTTTAAAACTGCAGCTGCTAGGGCAGGATGCTAACAAGTAAAGACCCCAAACTCCGGATTCTGAGGCGCTGGTGTGGATGGAAATATGTCACATCAAACTCAATGATACAGGGAAATTTGTTTTAATTTTCCATTTTGAGACCTTGTGCAACACAACAGCTCCGATGAGCCAATTTATCAACAAATACGCCAAAAATCAGCGGCAAGCAGTGGAAAATGTGTTTACAAAAGAACACATTATGAAATGGAAATTGTTTCGACTTACTGTCACACCACCCAATTTGGCTTCCAGGTCCATTTCTGGCTTCAGTCTGAATGAAGCAACAAAGAGATGCAGTTTACCAGCTACACTTTAATAAATACGGGGCTAATCGTTTGAACTGAAACTGCTTAAATGTTTAATCAAGCAGCACTGCTGCCATGTATATTCTATCAACTGTTACCAAGACAACAGGTCACTTCCTTTTTAAACAAACCCAAAAGCAAAGTAGGAACAAGATCATGTTAGTTTTAGGCAGCGATGCAATCTCTGCTTGTCCTGATTCGATGCTCAGTGTGAGCGCCTGCAGGAGACATCCTCCGAGGCGGTGTGCATCCTCCGATCAGGAAAACCATCAAATTTAACAGCCCTCATCTAAGAACAAACACCGTAATCTCCTTCCTTATGACAAACGAGCCTGACACTCATCTGGGATGCGGTCAAACGAGAAACAGGCAGCTGTTTGACCGCACAGGCTGCTGCAAAGCTTCCACAGGACTGCAGAGGGCGACACAGACCTCACCCCACAATCAGAGTAGAAGACTGAGCAGGGGGCGCTAGCTGATGATACTGCTAATCGACTGCAAGGAAGGGAAATCCTCATTCTCTCTGATGTGCAGGGTCTTGTGGGAGCTGAAGTCTTTAGGGGCCAGAACCTGTCTGCAGGTGGGACACACCTGGCAGTCCAACTCAGCCGCCGTGTTGGCCGCTGAGGCAGGCGTCTGCCAGGCATTCTTCTTGTTCTTAGTTTTCCTTCCTCCTCCAGCGCCCGACTGCTTCTCCAGAGCCTTGAAGTCTCCGTGGGCGGTCAGGAGCTCCTGCTGCTTCCCAGTGTCCGGCAGGAGCACCAGCAGCTCGTTGAAGATGCGGCTGAAGTCGTCTCCGAGCAGGTCCTTACAGTGACGGTGGTACTGGGCCGCTGACATCAAACTCTGGAAACGACAAATGGACAGATCAACAGGAGGTGGGCAGCTGTAGCGGGAAACTGGGAAAGGCACTTTTATACAGGGAGCTCCAGTACCTGTCTGAACCGGGCAGAGTAGTTTTTGAACTGGTTGAACTTGGACTCATCGTTGTCCAGATACTTTTTAATGGACTGGATTAGCTCCAGGTTTCTGTGTTGGAAATCCTCTGGCACCAAATAACCACTGTTGAGTACCTTGGGGGGTCTAGAGAATAAAAGAATAAATAAACGTTTTTGTCAACCTCCGACAAATCCAGAGTTTGATGTCCTGAGCTGCTTACACGCTGGCCACAGGCTCCACCACGTTGCTGTTGAGGGGGATTCCTGTGAAGCCCGGGGGAGGTTTGGGGGAGGGCATTCCTAAACCAGGTGGAGGTGGGGGCATTGCAGGGGGTGTGGGGGCAGATGGGGTCTTCACAGGGAAAGACGTCTTGAAACCTGACAGAAAAACACGGATTAGGGACAAAAGTCCTATGCCTTACCTGCCACAGGTAAACCGCACTTGTTTGCTCTCGTTTTAAACCTTTTATTGAGTCAGGACTACACGTTTACAGAGCTTGCGCTACACCTGGGGACAAAGTCAAGGCTTGTGTTTCTACGATAAGTTACACAGTAGTTAGGAAAGTATTTAATGACCTGAAGAAATCCTCAATATTCCAATAAAAGCAGAAATCTGGTTTTCCCTCTTAGAAATCCATAAAAGTGACAAGTCTTGCCCTGCAATGTGATTTATTCAAGGCAATATGTCCGCCCTCACACCGTAGAGCGCCATGTAATTTGAAATGAATGCTGCTCAGCGTTAGCCAACAGAGTTAGACATCTGCATCAACACAGATGTCAATCACAGGGCGTGCACGCCTTTGTGGAGCTACCTACTGATGCAGATCTGGCAACATGTCTTATGGACGTAGGAGGTGGAGCTGATCTCAGGTGACCAGGTGTGGACGACTACTGCGCTGATGAGGGCGCAGAGGACTGAAAAGGAAGCTGAGAAGAATGCTCGCTGTCAGGAGAGCAGTGTGTGTGAGCGGACGTCGTGCCCTGGTGAGGGGGGTTGGGTGGCGAAGACAGCTAGCGAGAGGTGAACCGTTCCTGTGAGAGGAGGGGAGGTCAGCTGTCTCCTATAGAGAGCAGCGGCTGGGACATTATAGGGCGTTGCAACCCGCAGTGATCACTCTCCCTTTCTGCTTTACCTGCCGGTGGACATCAGACCGAAGGACTGGCCACGTTAATTGGTGGAGCTCAGACCCTGGGGTGGGTCGCAGCCGACTGAAATCTAGGTGTGCTGCTCCCTTTTGTGTCGGGATGTTTTAGCTGGGGGCGGATTTAAGGGAAGGACTCACCGCAGTGGGACTGTTGGACGCCGTCTCTAATAAACGCATTTGTTGTTGATGAACCAGCGGTCTTGAGGTTATTTGAAGGTTCCAACAAGGACAAGATTTCCGTCCGCAGCGAACTCATTTATTACACACGCATGAATATATAGGAATAAACAGCCAAATGTGGGCATAATATTTGTAAAATTAACTCATTCGCTGCCAATGACGACTAAAGTCGACATTTGCATTTTTTTTTACTGTGTGGGCGTCGGAACGAGCCCCCGCGCCGTGAGAACAAACATCTCATCTCTAAAGCCGATCTTAATCCGCATACGTCACATGACCAGGAAGCAGAAAATCCATGTGTTAGAAGATCATTTTTGGGCTGTTCCTGTAAAAAAAAAAAAAAAGTGAGGCGCGAACCAGAACAGCTTCTGCCGATCATAATTCCATCCATCCACCCATCTTCATCCACTTATCCAGAGTCGGGTCGCGGGGGCAGTAGCCTATGGAGAGAGGCCCAGACTTCCCTCTCTCCAGCCACTTGGGCCAGCTCCTCCGGGGGAATCCCAAGGCGTTCCCTGGCCAGGTGAGAGACATAGTCCCTCCATTTTTTAGCCTCTAGGTGGTGCCTTCTGAGGAAAAACTCTGGTTTACTGGTCTAATCATTACTGGAGTTTTTCCTCCCAGACACAAATGGCTAACTCCAATATTCTACAGCACGAAAAGCTGCAACACCAAGTCTGACCTCCTCACAACATTTAGAAGGTCTTTTACACCTGAAAATTAACGCTGGCCAATTTTAGAAAGCCTGTAGTTTCATCCCAAAATATAGCAATGGCCTACGCTGCAGAGATCATCCAGACTGGGTGTGGGCATCTACCAGACTTCACATCTGGTGCAGCTGTTCTGCACACAGCTCATCGTTTATTAAATTACACCTAGCAGCCACTAAAAGGAGATACTTCTGTTAACCAATTATGGCCAGCAATAAAACGATCACAATATTTTACTGAGAAAAGAAAGGTGAGTGAGATGGGAGGCAGAGGACAACTGCTTTATTTTCTAATCAACATATTTACGACTATACTTACAACTATGTTAGAACGTTGAGAGGCAGGAAGAAATGTTTTAAGCCAACTTGCTGTGCAGATTTGCATTTGTAGCTTTAGAGTGAATATGGGATGTAAAGAAAGGAAGTCTGGTTTACATGTGAGTGAAAAGAAAGAAAAAGAAAAAGAAAGAAACAGAAAGAAAGAAACAGAAAGAAAAAGAAAGAAACAGAAAGAAAAAGAAAAAAAGACAGAAAAAAGAAAAAAGAAAGAAAGAAAGAAAAAAAGAAAAAGAAAAAAGAAAAAAAGAAAAGAAAAAAGAAAAAAGAAAAAAGAAAAAAAGAAAGAAAGAAAGAAAAAAGAAAAAAGAAAAAAAGAAAAAAAGAAAGAAAGAAAGAAAGAAAGAAAGAAAGAAAGAAAGAAAGAAAGAAAGAAAGAAAGAAAGAAAGAAAGAAAAAGAAAAAAAAGCAGTGATGGAGGCGGTACCTGGTGGAGGTTTCTTCGTTATCAGAGCGGGGAACTCTTCCTCTGCTTCAGGAGCAGGCTCTGCTCTCGGGGGCGGGGTCACCGCGGGTGAATCTCTGCAAACAGGTGGAGGCGTGTCCGCCTTGATGCTGCCGATTCCATTTGAAAGTGGCGCCGGGACGGCATTAGAAAGAGGTTTGCTCCAGGTTCTCTCAGGAACATTTTCTTTCTGTGCTGCCGTTTCCACGGAGATCGTATTTCCAGCCGGAGTCACCGCCGACATCGTGGATGCAGGCGAAGAGGGAGCTGCTGTATTTTTCAGTTTTTTTTTCTTGTTGGCCTTAGAGGTGGGCGGGTCCAAGGCAGGAGGTGGATTTGGAGAGGCGGAGGTTGCATTTGGCGGTTTGCTGCTGCCTCCTTTAACTGTGAGGAGAGAAGAGATTTCCAACATGGTGGGAACCGAACGGAACTCCTGCCGCGTCATTCCTCCGCTCTCATCGTCGGAAAGAGAAGCAGAAGGATACGCCGTTTTCCCGTTGACCCCAACTTTCTTCTTCTTGCGTGAGGATGATAAGTTTGAGGAGGAGAGGGGCTGAGGACCAGAGGATGCAGATGACATGGGAGGAGGAGCTCTGGAGGTCGGCGGTGGGTGGGGGTTTGGTTTAGCAGTGGTTGTGTGGTTGGACCACGCAGAGTTGGTACCTGAAGCAGGTTTGAAAGGTCGCACTTTGGAGACGAGAGCGGGGAAGTCCTCCTCTTGGAAAGAGGAAGTCTTCTTGGGCTGTCCAGTGTAGGCTGGGGTCATCGGGGCTGAAACGGCAGCGCTCGAGAGGCTGGGGAACTCGTCTTCCTTCAGAGCGGATTTGGAGGCCACAGGAGCCGACTTCACCCTGGACAACAACAACAACAACACAAGTCAACGCTTCAGCAGGCCGTAAGGTGAGAGCATCCGCGTGTTGGGTGTGCTGAGGGTTACATGGAAGTCCCAGCTGTGGCTCCTAAAACTGGGAAGTCATCTTCCTCTCCAGGATTGGTGCTCTTCAATGTTTTCACTGTAAAACGTGAGACCACGTCAACACCAAGCCACCAAAAGAGCAGCCATGCAGTTTCTCTCCCATGCCTACCTGGTGGTTTGCTTGCTGCTTTGATGTGACCGGTCAGAGGTCTGGGCTCCTCCGCCTCCACTCTCTCCATCCTCTCCTCTCTGATGTGCTTGGGAGTGCTCCTCTCCTGCACAGCAGCTCTCTCCTCTAGTCGACGCATGGCCATGGAGGCTCTCAAAGCAGCTTCCATCTGCCGGTCCTCCTCCTCTCGCTCTCTGAACCCAGGAGATGAACAGAAGCGTGAGGAACAGAACTTTACCGTTTCGAGACAGAACGATAAGGCTCTCTTCCAGAACTGAACATTTCTGCTCACCTGGAATACCTCCAGCTCTTCTGTCCCATCTGAGGCCGGCCTCGACCTCCGCGACTGTGGCGAACTTCTGCGTAGTCCTCTCCTGTCACGTGACCTAAACATCGACACGTTTTATTGACGATCCTGCCCCAGTCTCAGTCTGAAGCCATCAAACACAGGAACACCTGGACCAACCATCATTCCTCCTCTGTTGTCGTGGCGCGTAGTTAAACTGAAGGTCAATCTGGCGGTTCTGTCGGGCCTCGGCGCGACTCTTGCTGTGCGCTGCAGCCTTGTGCGCCTTGTAGTCGATCTCGGTCCTGAAGGCGTGGGTGAACTGTTCCGAGGAGCAGCGGCCTTCCTCGCACAGATAGTGACTTTCTCTGAAGTGCTCGCTCAGATACTGATAGTCGCTGGTGACATGCGGGATTCATGTCAGCATCAAGGCAACAGTTTGACTTACTGAGAAGACATCTAGAAAAGGAAAAGCGGGTCTGCTGGTTGAACGCACCTGTAGTACTCCTGAGAGCCGTCAGCATCGCAGAAGTGACAGAAGTAGTGGTCCCTGCGTAGGTGTTTCAGCAGCTCGTCGTTGTCCAGGTAACGGTCATCACAGAACTTACAGAGCGGGTGTCCTCTGTGGCTGGTGTCATCCGGGTCTCCGTGAGCTCTGTGACGGGCCAGTTCCTTACGGTTGTACCACTTCCGCTCGAAGGAGAAGATCTGGAGAAATAAGATCAACCGTCTCTGCTTAAGAACTCCTCTACAAAGGGATGTCTGGCCATTTTGAAGTGTGGAACGAGCTGCCAGGGGACCTCAGGGCCACAGAGAACGTTCATGTTTTCAGAAACAGACTCGAGACCCATCTTTTTAGCTTAGCTTTTAACTGATTACTATCACTTTTTAAATTAATGAAGTTATCTATCTATTCATTTATTTAATGTATTCTTTCTTTATCAGTGCTACTTTTAAACAGTTTTTATTTTACCTTAGATTTATGATGAACATTATTTTAATATCTATATAACTTTTTATATTACAATTCTCATTTTAGCTCTTATTTTATATTTTAACCTTAATTTAACCTTTTTCCAGTGTTTCCACTGTGGGAGCCCTCTGCCCCGGGGGCCGTGGTCAGCTGTGGGGGCCTGAGTGCTTTCCAGGTGTGCCTGGGTGGAGGTGGGGGTCTCCGCCCTCCCTGCCCTGGGCGCCCGGTGTCGGTGCCTCGGCTGCTGCTGTGGATCTGCTGCTGTCGGGGCGGATGGCTCCCCTGATGGCGTTTTCTTATCCTTAGCTGGTTTGGCTCATCTGATCTCAGCCCATCGTGTTTTTGTGTGCCGGTCCGGAGGATGAGTGTTGTGAAGGGGTTTTTATTGTCAGACTGTTTTTAAAATTCTGGGGATGGGAGGGAATGTGGGTACGCGGGGCCTTTTTAATTTGTTAACTCATTCACTGCCATTGACGACTAAAGTCGTCATTTGCATTTTTTTACTGTTTGAGCATCAGAACGAGCCCCCGCGCTGAGAGAACAAACATCTCAGCCCTGAAGCCGATTTTCATCCGCATACGTCACATGATCAGGAAGCAGACCATCCATGTGTTAGGAGATCGTTTTGGGCCGTTCCTGTAAAAGAAAGTGAGGCGCGAACCGGAAAAGCTTCTGCCGATCACAATTGAACAACGGATTATGAAAGAACGGATAACGCTTGAAACACACGGCTTCTTCCTGATGTAAGAGGTGAGTCTCCGCTTTGTTTTGGTTGTTTTGGCGTCGACATCATGCTAGCGCGCAACGTTCTGTGACTCTTAAAAAACAGTAAAAACGGTGAGAAACACTGGCAGCGAAGGCCGTTAGCGATCAGGAAACGGCTGGCAGTGAATGAGTTAAGCACTTTGAGTTGCATGTATAGCATGATTAAGTGCTATATAAATAAAGTTTGATTGACTGATAGAGGGATTATAAGTGGTGACTATCACATCAGTTCCTGAGCAGACTAAACCGGACAGGACTGGTAAGCAAGTGGTCTGGGCAGGACTAAAGTGTGCTGCTGCCACCTTAACCCTCACATCACCACCAGTTTTACATGACAGTTATCGGAGCGGGACATCTGGAACATCTAACCTCTGGATGTATCAGAATCGCCACATTTAGCTGTAATTAACCACAGAATTACATGTAAATAAGTCATTTCACCACACACCAGTGTGTGTGACAATTGATGGACCTTTTAATCTGCAGACTGTCAACATTTTTTCTTAAAATTTGATGCCCTTAAGGAAACAATCTACAACAAAAGAGTAATTATAACTTTTACACAGAACCAAAAGTCCTTTTAGTCCCAGAAATGTTATAATCTGGTTTGTTTCCAAGGTCAGGTACACGGGTAGCCGGGTAACCCACAAAACGAAGATATTTTCTACCGTTTAGTCGTGCAAACCAAGGTGAAGATAAACGATTCTTTTAACGACTCTGACCAAGGTGGATATTTGTGTATTTGCTTGTGGACGTAAATAACAGCGTTTTAGGGTTTCATATTCCTCTGAGGTCACATGTGCAACGTGTGTGGTTTACGCTCAGTTGTTCTTACAAGCTCAACCACTCCTCTATGTAGAAAACCGCCCATCAACTAGTTATTCCACATCCAAGGAACACTTTTCAGTACAACACCAAAGATTTGGGGGACACAAAGGGGATAAATTACAATGTAAGAAGGAGGATTGAGCATCTAACTCTAACCAAGGTTCGTAGCTCACAGACATGTCAACAAACATCGTAATATTCCTTTTTATTTGTGTACGACTGACTGGAGGCACAAGAAAATCAGAGAAAACTTAAAGAGAGAAAGTGAACTAGTGTTAGCATCCCTTAGCTAACACCCATCGTTTTATGTCATCACGTGGATAGGAATTACTTTCATTGGGACACGTTGTTTTATTACACTATTGTATTGCTCTTCATGTGTATTTGATTGCTTGCATCGTAAAATATTGTAAATGTAAGAGAAATAAAATGATTAACCTAAGCAAGAGATTTTGAAACAAGCGTTGAGATAACAGACCTTCTATATGACTTTTTAAAGATGGCTGATTAAAATCTCCACAGCCCAGACGTGACGAGTGATTATTTTTTTAGAAAGCGTTTGTGCTACAAGAGCAGCTGTGAGCATGCTGAAGGACCAGCATACCTTGAGATGTTTCAGACAAAGCTTGCAACAGAAGAGCTCGTGCTGCTTCCTCATGTGCTGCTCCAGCTCCTCAAATCTGGAGAACACTTTGGGCTCTCGGCAGAAGGGACACTCTGACAGCAGCAGACGCCTGATTAAAAACAGGAAAAACATTGATGAAATGCTCTGGCACGAGTTCAATTTGCAATTGCACAATTTGCACATTATAATACCTGAGATTAAGAATTATTCTATACCTGTACTGTGAATGAATCGTTTCATCAGCAAAGTAAATATCGTGCTTCCTCTCACAGGGGAACCTCTGGTAGTGCAGGGACTGAAAAGCCTCCAGCTTTTTCACAAACACCACCTGAAAACAGCACGACAGAAAATCTAAACTAAATCACACCTTAGGTGCGGAAAACAAGTTTTGCAACACTTGATCTGGAAAAATCAAACATTTTATGCTTCATTCTAGATGACGATATTCTTGATGCTCTACTGAAACATTCTGATATCAATCATGAAGGTTGATTTTATGGAGAACAGCGATGGGCTGGACTACTGAGCTAATATCAGCAGCTGTCTCAGGGTGAAGGGTGTTATTTGGAAAACATGGATGAAAGACCCTCATAAATCCATCAGCATTATTGGATAACTGAGATCTCACAACCCTTGCAGTAAAATCACAGGAGAAAATGCTCCAACTTTAAGGCTATGAGTGTAATTGTTGTATGACCTACTGTTGGTGACTTATTCATATTCAATACTCTATAAACACCATTTGATCTTGGAAAGTGTGTCACAAAAATGTTATTTATTTACCTTATTAATTAATAAGATAAAATTAAATGGGAGCTTAACCTGAAAGGTGCCCAGTCGCCAGGAGACTAAACACCAGAGTAGAAAAGGTTAAGACAGGAGAAATATATAAAGAACCACACAAATGGCATAGAGGACCCAGAGTTTCATGCTACACTCCTGTTAACAAGCCCTTTTTGTTAATCACAGGGTTTAAATTTAGGGACAATATCTTGTTTTTCATTTTAAAGGTGAAATAGCATTCTGGGTGAACATCAATTCCTCTGCTTACAGTCACTGTGTAACCTTCTAATGTTAACAAGTACCTAAAGTACGTCTTCTAGAGGTGTGCTCTGTTCACCTGGGAGGGCAGGTATTGACTAAAGTCCACTTTACTGTCTCACAATAATGTTTACTTTAAAATTCTTAACAGTTCCAGGGGGTAAGTACCTTTGTGGTATTTCATTCACAAAACAAATATCCAACAATTCATTTAAATCAACAGTAAGAAAAACAGACACGACTGACTTCCTGGTCGCTGGCTGATGCTAGCTTTAGCTAACTTAGCTAAAACACTGAAAGCGACGAAAAGTGGTTCTAGCGGAGGCTGAACACCTTCACAAACACACTATATATCTAATTCTCCTTTTATTAAATAAAAACAAAACCCGACCTGGTAAAACGAGTTTTTTTCATAACAAATTGGCATTGCGGCCTAGTTCGCTCCAGGAGGCTAAAGCCCCGGAATGAGGTAGCAGAGAGGTGGGCACCTTGTCTAGCTCCTCGCGGCAGACGGCGCAGTACTTCTGGTCGCAAAGCACCCTCATCTTGGTGGAGCAGCGGTAGCACACCGGGTGGTCGCATTTCCCCAAAGCGAAGATGTCGATGTCCTGACAGCACAAGACGCATGTCTTCTCTGAGTCTTTAGCAGTTGCTGAACTCATGGCGATGTGAAAGGAACTACAGTAGTCAGTGTTTGGATGAGCCACAGCCGCTCAGGCGAAGTGCTTACGTAACATAAAAAGCCTGAACTACTGCCGGTACGGTGTGTACGACATAGGGATGGACTGATCTCTAAGTGTCAGGTCCTGCTTAGACCCATCACACATTTATGAGATCAGCGCTGAATGTGTGAGCGCCACACGTGTGTCCGCACCAGGTCCGCACCGGTGTCGGTACAGGATCTGCTCGGGTGCAAGATCGACTGCCGATGACGTCACATTACTGCAAATCTACTCGGCTTTCATACACACGTTTTGGAAAGACATTTGTGTTTATTTGTTTAGCAGACATCAGCAGTTTTGTTAATAAATTCTTGTTTGTTAACACCTAAATGTTTTCTTTCTAATTGTAATTTGTTAATAAAACACCATGTTATCTTTGTTTTGTAAAGAATGTGAAACTGCATAAAACCAACATCGGACTGACAAAAAATAGGACAGTTCTTATATGTGAAGCCACATCTGTTAGTATTAATGTGGAGTTGTCTGCATATTTCCTTAGTTGTTATCTAAATACATTCTTTGACTCAAAATATTGCTTGGTGTCTTTCAATAAAGTTATACGGTATTTTATTTTGCCCCATTTCATCAACATCAGGAGCTTTTGAGGGTCACTGTTTATCATTTTCTTATATTTTACATTTCCTTTAGAAATTCAAACATTTTCTCCAGTAAGTGTTGATTTTTGGACTACAGGACTACAACCGCTGAGACTACGACCGCAAATTTGTTCTGACCAACCAAAATCATAACGTGATAATGTCACTTCCTAAGCTTCATGTTCAGCCAATCAACTATTTTGATGTCATCGGCAGTCGAAGGACCCCGAGCCGATCCTGTACCGACATCGGCTTTTACGCTGAAACAGAACTGAAACAGAACTTTTAATTCATATTTTTCTACAGAAACAAATAAATCCAACATTTTTTTAAATGACCATCATAGTTAAAACTTCTAAATCATTACCACGCAAACCATAATTAAGCAGGGGCAGATCTACAGGGGAGCAATCAATCAATCAATCAATCAATCAAAGCTTTATTTATAAAGCGCCTTCCGCAACCCTGTCAGGAAGCCCAAAGCGCTGAACATGGTACAGTTGTAAGTAATTATACTGAATAAATCAACAATAAAAGAAATTCAAATTACAAAATACAAATTACAAAATGGAAATTACAAGATAGATGAAACATTCCGGTAAAATACAAATGTGTGAGACACAATTGGATTGAGTGGATGGATTGAGTGTACCAATGAAAACTGTGGAATGGATTCAACATAATAGAGGGCCATAATCAAACATGTTCTGGAAACGCCAAGCGGAGGAGGTGTGTTTTTAGGTGATTCTTAAAGACTGGCAGAGAAGGGGACAGCCTAACTGAGGGTGGCAACTGGTTCCAGAGTAACGGTGCTAGGACTGAGAAAGCTCGGTCCCCACGGGTACGACACCTAGACCGAGGGACAGCGAGCAGGCCTTGATCAGAGGAGCGCAGAGCACGTGATGGGGAATGTCTGTTCAGGAGTGTGGCTAGATAGGGGGGAGCACCACCCTGGAAGAAATGATAAACAAAGACGAGTATTTTGAATTGTGAGCGATAGGAAATCGGAAGCCAGTGCAGAGAGGCCAGAACTGGACTGATGTGGTCCCGTTTCCTGGTCCCAGTCAGGAACCTGGCAGCGCTGTTCTGCACAACCTGTAGGCGACGCAGTGATGACTGACACAACCCTGCATAGAGAGAGTTGCAGTAGTCAAGCCGAGAAATTACAAAGGCATGCAGTACCCGCTCCAGGTGGGCTCTCGACAGCATATGCTTGATTTTAGCAAGGCGTCTCAGGTGAAAGAAACTGGACCGGATCACAGAATTGATGTGAGCGTCAAATTTAAGTCCTACATCAAGTTTCACCCCCAAACTGGTAACAACTGGTTTTGAGTATGGAGAAAGAGGGCCAAGATCAACATAACGACCCACATTCCTGTGTTGTTTAACACAGAATGTCCTGTTTTGGAGATACGATCTAAACCAGTCCAGAGCTGACCCTTTGATCCCAACCCATCGTTCCAAGCGATCGAGTAGAATCGCGTGGTCAACTGTGTCGAAGGCTGCTGTCAGGTCTAATAACAGAAGCAGCACAGATGTTCCGTGATCTAGTAATAGATAGATGTCATTTAGGACCCTCAGTAGAGCAGACTCTGTGCTATGGCCAGACCTGAACCCTGATTGGAAAACCTCAAACAGATCAGAGTCAGCTAAATGTGAGACCAGCTGCTGATAAACGACTTTCTCAAGCAGTTTAGATGTAAAGGGCAGGGTAGAGATAGGCCTGTAATTTTCGATCACAGAGACATCAGCACAGACATTTGCAATGAGGGGGCAAATGTCCCCTTGCTGTCGAGCCATGCCCCCCTCCTACTTTTATGTCTTTAAAACACACGTAAGCATAATTTACCATTCTGTATGTATTCATTTTGTAAAACATTTGTATTTCTCATTTTAACCCCTAAATGTTCTTAGAAGAATAATGACCCATTTAACATGTGTAAAGTGTTTTTGTGTCTATTTTGTGGAAGATGTTAACGTAAAAGTGGTTTTCACATACTTCAATGAGGTCCAGCATTGTTGCCACCGTGCTTAAACCTTTTACCCTTTCTTTGCTCCTTGTAAAAATATATTCTAAATCTGCCACCGTAACTAGGCACAGATTACTCACTAATGGAAGCATGTTGAGATCACAATCAAAACTTGAACCCCTTCTCATTAAAAAGTTTCAATTTTTTATTTTTTGGGCAATTGGCCCTTGCTAAGACATAAATGCACACAGGCGCACCCGCGTATCAGTTACGATATTTTTTGTGATACTATTGGTGAACTACTTCCTTCTGCAGAACAAATGATTCAAGATCAGCTGACGATTTTGACTAACATCCTACATCTACAACTTAAATCTCTTGTTTTTTAATAAGAAAAAACAGCAACAGAGTCTACACAAAAGAGGCAGTAGATGCTAACTTTAAAATGCTAACCATTTATTAGACATAAAACTACTGAGATGAGGTTACATGTAAAATTTCGGTGTTTTAAAAATAATTTACACATTTACAGTAGGTTTGAGTTTTCATCAAGGTGTCTGTAAATACGATTCTGACCAGTGATTCTGTGTGATCAAGTGTTTGAGGTTTTCTGGGCTAGTGCTTCTTGTAGTGGCTGCTGCTGAGTCCCATCACTTTAAAGGTGCAGCTAGCGATCTTCTCGTAGAGAAGGAACATGAGGGCAGCAGTCAGCACCGTCTGCAGCAGCTTGGCCTCCAGGCCTTTAAACAGGCCCAACATGCCGTACTTCCTACAGGGATCAAAACATTACAGCCGTGTTAAACACGTAGAACTGTTGTTGTCAGAGTGAAACTGCTAATCAAATGTACTGATTAAGTGATCATCGGTGTAACCGCCTTTATATAACTTGAAGATATCAGGAGGTCATTTTTCATTTGGAGATTTCATCCAAAAGCTGAACATGTCAAACATGTGTACCGTAAATCCTCTAATACAGGCCCGGGCCTGTATTAGAGGATTTACGGTAACTATTTGGATGAATAAAGGAGGCTTATTTTGAAGCAAAGTCTTGGGCGACGGTGGCACAGGAGTTAAGCGCTCGCCACGTAATCGGAAGGTTGCAGGTTCGAGCCCCGCTCAGTCTGTAAAGCGCCTTGAGGGGTTCCAGGACTCTAGAAGGCGCTATATCAAATACAGGTCATTCAAGCATTAGAGGAGAACACAACTCAATAAAACAGCCATTGAAAAATAAATTGTCAAAATATCTCAGCTTGTTTTTAGTAGCTGTTTTAGGAATAATGGGCTTGGGAAGTCACACGTCACAGGGTCCATAAACAACGGGTGACTCTGGATTTGTTAGCCATGTCTCCCAGAAAGAAGAATGTTGTAAACTAAAAGTGCTAAAACCAGTTCTGGGCTGTTTACCACAGAAAGGCGGCTCCACGTTGCCACCTTTCACCAGAAATCCACTGGAAATCGTGCAGGTTCATACAAGTTTCATCACTGCTTTGTGAAACCGCATTCACAAACTGAAACAAACGCTTCAAATGAGACCAAATGATATGATGATTAATGTCAAAACCCACCGAACTCTGGAGACCAGCAGGCTCTTGACAGCCCAAAGACTGGATGCTAGTTTGGACTTCTCTGCCGGTTTGTTGAACTGACCAAACTGCGTGGGCAATAAATGGGTCAAATATTCAGTACTGAGGTTAGATTTTATTTGCTTAGAAATTTTTTTTATCTTCAAAATAAACAATAGTTTTAAACAATGTAACAAAACACAGAACCTACCCTAAGAATGGACTGGATGGTCTGCAGAGGATACGTAACAGCAGTGGCAACAGCTTTGGCGATGGCGCCAATCACAAAAACCTCCAGCGATGACAGCTTAGAGGAGGAGAATAAACACCCATCACCTTTAGATCTGTTGCGTACGACTCACCATTTAGCTTTTGCTATGGCCACCCAACGGCCATCTGAGGGTCATGTGCACAGAATTGCTGCCACCTCCCGAGGAGATCCCCTTCTCAGCTGCCTCTTCAGGCCTTCATAAATCATGAACTGCATGGCGGGGTTCAGCACCAGCAGCAGGGACGGGAAGGTCCCATTCCACAGGGCACCGACACCCTCCCGACGGATGATCTGCACAAATGCATCTGCGAAAGCATAAGACGCTTAGGACTAGGGCTGGGCGACGTGGCCTAAATCACAATATGTTGAGGATTTCACCTCGATAACGATTTGGACGATAACTACATGCATGCAAAAACACAAAAGCTGTCCACTAGATGGGGCTGTCACGTGTATTACGTTGAATCATGTAGTCATGTGACTCCAGGTGGTACAGCTTCTAAAAGGGACACGAACGTCACCAACCTACACATGTTTTTTTCATTGCCAAATGTAATGACATGGGAAAATTGGTATTGTTCGAGTCAGACATTTCGATAACGATAAATTTTCAATTTACTGCCCAGCCCTAGTTAACGTGGACAAATACAGACGAATAAACAACAAAAGTGGATCTGTTTACCCAAGATGCCAGTGTAGTTGGTCGGTCGGATGTCTGCGTTGTGAAACTTGGAGCCCTGAAGCTTCAGCCTGGTATTGACCACCCACATAGGAGTGGTAACCAGAACATTTACAATACCTGGAGAAAAAAGAAGGCTGATGACTCAGGCTACCTCTTGTTAGTAGCTGTGAGAGGCTGTAGCTGATGCAGCATATCTGCAGGTTTAAGGGAGCCAAACTTAAGACTTTTTAAGACCTTTTTTAAGGCCACTTTGACCAAATTTAAGCTATTTTTAAAATTAAGTTTAAGCCATAATTTCCAGCTATTGCCTGGAACCGGTGCTAACCACGTCGCGAAGGTGGGATTAGCCATCCAGTTACCATTAAACCAACACATTGTCACACCCAAGGCGTCAAAATATGACGCGTGTGACCAAGCCTCAATATATGACGAATTGGGACGCCCAAGCGCGTCAGGAGACGACGATCAGGGACACGCTGGATCACGTGGCTCCGCTGGCGTCACTGTTTGACGTGCACGGTCACACGGACATTATTCGACTATTTAACCTTCCCCTCACTCCAATCCTACATTAAGGTCCATAAACTGTGACCTTAAGGTTAGGATTGGGGTGAGGGGAAGGTTAAGTAGTTCACAAGTAATTCTAATGTCCGTCTCAGCACCGGCGTCGGATACCGACGCTCTGGGACGCTGCGTCACCAGTTTGTCCCTGATCTTCGTCTCCTGACGCGCTGGGGCGTCCCGAATCGTCATATATTGAGGCTTGGTCACACGCGTCATATTTTGACGCCTTGGGTGTGAGAATGTGTTGATAAAACTTCCACTTCCCCATGGCGCAAGCTTCCACTAGCTTAACCAGCTAATGTGCTCATCTAAAAATAGACCCCTTTCACAACCAACTGAATGTGTACGGTTCCGCTTTCGCCAACATCGCACACCAAAAATGCTGAACACCAACTAGAAAATCACAAACATTTTATAGAAATAAAAGAATCTTGTTTATTAGGTCTTTGGTAATTTAAGACCTTTGGAAACTGTATTAAGGATTATTTGTCATTTTTAAGGATTTTTAGGGCCTTAAATTTGGAAAAGCAAATTTAAGACTTTTTAAGGACACGCAGATACCCTGTGATGCAATAAAGACACATGGCGTTCATATAATAACGATCAATTTACATGTCATTCATGAGAAAAGGAATGTCTGGATTAAGTAATCCAGGGTATTGATGATGTGGGTGAGGGCCAGCTCACCTGCAGCAATGCCTATGACTAAATCTGTGCTGGGTGTGGACGGTTTCTCCTTCAGCCAGCTGGCCTTAATACAGTGAAAGCAGTAGAAGTACACAAAGTTGGAGCAGCATAAACTGCAGATGACCGGGAACCAGCCCCTGTAGGGAGCAAGTCTGCAGGGAAACCATAAAAATCAGTCCGTTGCTGTTTTCTATTCACGATTCTTCCTAAAAGGATGTTTAAGCAGCATGGACCTAAAACATACATTAAATGTCAGATTTAAAGTCCCGTTCAGATCTCATCTGATTTACTCACAGCCCTTCTTCTCTGATGATATCTGTCAGAACAGCTGGCGTTGATTTGGCTTTCCTGTTTTCATCCACTGAACACAGATACACTTTTAATAATCAGATTTCTCTGACAAGCGATCAGGACCTACCTCCTAAAGACATCATCGCCTCTTACCTTGAAGCCGTAATCGAGCTGTATCAAGAGGGAAGAAGACTGTCATTGCTGTCACACTGCCCTAAAATCAGATTTAAATCAGATTTAAGGGGGAAACAGAATAATCCTGTGGATTAGGTCGCTTCTATTAAAATAATGTTGAAAAACGATACATCTAAACAGACACAAGTAATTACAGCACAAACGTACTTAAAAATCAGAATAATTTCAAACTTTAAGTGTTTATAAAATAATCTTTGAATTAAAATGACCTATATAGCGTCTGTTTACTTTATATTAGCACCCGGGACCACATGACCAACACAAAAAAATGTTACATTTGGATATTTACTGCGTTAGAGTGATCTAAAAGCACTAACAGCATGAGTGAAGGTAAATAATGACTCTGGAGCTAGCTTACCACCGCTCCCGCCACAGCATGAACCAAACTTTCATAAGAGAAAACCTCGGATGTCATTTTGACAGCATGTAAATATCCTCTACTTCCAATATTTTGCTTAAATAATAAAATCCTCCAGTTTCTGTCTGTCGTTCTGTCACTTTGCTGCTACTTTTCGGTTTACACACATCACTTTCGGTTGTAGTAGGGGGTTTTCACGAGAGCATTCTGGGTAATGTAGTCTCATTTGTGTCGTTTTTCCATCGTTTTTCACTTCCACCCGGTTTCTTTGGAACTCATACTTTTATCAGCTGAGTTTTTTTAAAATAAACTATTAATTTGATATTTTTAAAAAATATTATAAAGAAATAAAAATTCGGTTTGTAAACACTTGTGTTGACATTTTTTTACGCAAAGGCATTATGGGTAAAGTATTTGTACTGCAGGCCCTAAAGAAGAATGAACGCCTTTTTTGGTCTAAAAATATTGTTAAAATCTAAAAAAAATCTCAAGAAGGATACACATTTTTAATTTACACAAAATAATTATGGGTAATGTCGTTTCTGTCATGCCACAATACAAGCTTGGTACATTTTCTGGTTCAGCAAACTAATAATGATGCTTTCGATATGGAATTTAATCTTGAAGAGCACAATTGTCCACTAAATCAATCTCAGTCTTTTTCATACTTTAAAAATCTTCTTAGACTCTAATTGTGATATTTTTCAATTGGATTTGGTTGCATTGGAAAAGCAAAGCTGGTAAAATATAAAATTTCTTTGTGTTTCAATTTAATGCTGTAAAGCAAAAAGATAGAAGTTTTTTTTTTAAAGGATCGATTAATTCATGCTGCATTTAGTGTCAGAGACCGTGCAGAATTAAACAGAGAGTCTGGCTGGCCAGGCTAGAACTTACCCAAACCCCAGGGCCTTATGTGTGGGGTGATGTGACGGAGCAGGGAAATGTCTGAGGATGGGAGAGAAAATATACAAAACGCTGAAAAGCAAAACATTTTCATCAATCCATGAAATGTCCCGGATGCTCCAGACGGAGCATGAAAAGTGGACATGTCTGGGGAAAAGAGGACGTTTGGTCATCCTGTTGCCTTAGGCAGGCGTTATGAGTGAAGAAGACATATTTCCAGACCAGATACATTTAATAACAAACATGGGTACACATTACATAGGATTTTATTTACGGGACTCGTATCGCATACAGGATTCAGCCGTGGTCTATCACATTGTTCTAGAACAACACAAATATGTAGAAGAAAGGGAAGATGAAGCTGTCTAGATTAAAATCACAAGGTGCTTAAATGAATGAATGAATGCTACTGAAATCTGTCATGCCTGATCAGCAATCAGCGGGGTGTTTTCCTATTTAAGGTGGATGGAGGACACAATTTGACGCCGGAAGATTGCCTCAGCTTTGGTAGTAGCCAGCCACTCGAGTTACCTCTAGTGTTTCTAGGATTGATGATATTCGTAGTGTTTTTTGCTCTTCGTAGTGTTTTTTTTTTTTTTTACCATTCTTCAGGATTCCTGTCGGTCACTGGATACTGACCTCTACTCCAGGATTTGGATATTCAGCACACGGACCATATCACCCAGTGCCCCATCCACCAGGACGCCCCGCTTCTCTCCACCTCTGCTCCCTCTCCTGCGCTTCCCCCGGCTCTCTACCTCTCCCTCCTCCAGCCAACACATACACCCACCACAGTAAGTCTGCTGAACACCTCTGCCTGCCAACAATGGACTTTGAAATCAGAACCTATGCTCACCTGTGTTCTCCCTCCTCCAGACGCTGAGCTGTCGTAGCAGTTCCAACCACAGACTTATCTGTGCATCCTAAGTTCCTCCTTTATAAATAAATCATTTTTACCATCCGTTTTTGGTCTGTGTTGCATTCTGCATGTCTTGGGTTAAGTACCTTCCTCCAAACATGACAGAAATCTACTAAAACGGTCTCTGTGACAACAGGAAAAAGCCTATGGAAGTTAAGGGGGACCAAAACCTTAAATCCAGTATTGAGCTTTCTAACAAAGAAGACATCTGATGCTCAGCGTCAGTGCAGTTTCTAAGGCAGCTGAACGCTAAAGGGAAGATGCATCATTTTAACGCTGCATAAAACTCCTCATACTTTCACTTTCTTGACTTTTAATTTTCTTGTTAGAAATAAAACAACATTTTATTTTGCTTGTAAAAAATAAGTCCAATGCTGGCCCTGTGAGCATGCTCAACATGCAGAAGTAGATTAAAAACAAATGGGACCTCATTCATCTCCAGCCCATTCACTCAGCCACTCCTGACAAACCCCCCTCTGCTCTTCAGTCTCCTCTTCCACCTTCTGATGACTCCTTTGTTTCGTCCTCTCCTCTCCCCTCACTCTCTCGTTCTCTTTAGTCTTTCTCCTCTCCAACACAGCTTCAACGGTGGCTTCTAATGTTCGTAGCGATCGCTGAGGGACCCATTTAGGGTCGACCGTAGGGACAAAGGGGTCCCCGGCTTTCACGAGGAGGGGCTGGGCTTCCAGAGGGATGTGGAGGAGGTAGGCGTGCAGCATCATTCGATACGGAGAGTCGTCCGCTCCGAGGCTGTAGGTGAAGTCTCCGACGATAGGGTGGCCAATGGCGCTGCAGTGGACCCTCAGCTGGTGGGTTCGGCCTGAAACAAAAAGGAACATGTTTGAAAACTCTCTTTTTTGTATATTTTTTATAAAAGACTCAAGTTTGCTCAGTACTTTTGTCATCTGTGGAAGCAAGAGGGAACAACTGAGAGTATTTACCAGTGAGAGGCTGCAGTAGCACTTTGGTGACAGGCTCTCCATCATACAACCCGTACTCCAACACAGTCAGCTCAGTTAGGCACGACTTGGGATTCTCACAACCTGACAGGAAATAAAACCAAAAGTAAAAACAACAAAAATCTAGCTGCAGACGAGAAGTTTCACTAATCTTTTCCACTCGACTTACCTTCTGTTCCTTCAGTGCACATCGTGTGTGTTCTTCCCTCCGTGGAGTTCTTGCCGATGGAGAAGTCTAGAGTTTGAGTTTCGTTTTCAACCCACCTGCGAAGCTGAGACGCAAAAAAAAAACACATCAGTTATTTGGAAACAAGTTAAAGCACGCATAGGTAGCTCGTAGGGTTAACACGGTGTGAAAATGTAACCTCACGGTTATTGTGACCAAAATTACCACGGTTTTCGGTATTATCGTGGTATTTTTTTTAAACGTGCTACATTTTCATACAATTAAATAAACCCTGCATGTCAGGAAATATTGTCCTCAGTTTGTGTCTAAATTTTGCCTAAAATGTGTTATTTTGTAATTATGTTGTTTATTTGTTTACATTTTTCACCTTTAGTCTTTAAAATAGCAATATTTGCCCATAACTTCTTATTTTTTGTCTGTTTGATGTCATCTTTTTAACAATATTAGACCAGATGATACTCAGTACTCAAGTAGCCTTCTAATCAGATACTTTTTTACCCTTACTTGAGTAATAAACCTTATATCAGGAAAATATTGTCCTCGGTTTGTGTCCTTCCAGTGCTGCCGACAACTTCAGCAGATGATACGGTGGCTGGTAAGGGTCAACGCGCCTACACCGCAGCCACGGTAATCCACCGAGATAATATAGTTTTTAAAAAACAAGACGGTTATTATTATTGTCAACTTTTTTACCGGGGTTTACCGCTACACCGGTTACTGTGTTCTCACAAAATAGAAGTTATAATGTTTAGGGGAATTCCAACAGGATGAAAGACACACACACACACACACACACACACACACACACACACACACACACACACACACACACACACACACACACAACACACACACGTTATTCCCTAACATTTGGATGTGTATCAGATCCTTGTAAAGATAAGAATTATAACTTTCAAACCATGTTTTTACATAACAAGCAGCAAAAAATAATGACTAAGCATTAATTTATCCTTGAACATACAAAAAATGTTTACATTTCTTAATCGGCCATTTAATTTTTAAATGGTTGACAATCATTCTTTTAGGCACAACCGTGTTCTGAATCCTTTATTAATTAATTTCAGACGGTTAAAACAAAGCCCCCTACATACATGTTGATACCACGACTAAACAGGACCTCAGTGGGGCATAAAACCCATCAGCTTGTTGATGTGAAAGTGGAAGTTCAGCCATGTTTAAGAGTCCTTTTCTGTTCTTTTTTCTCTCTCAGTAAATACGTTGTTTTCTACCACAGCTCAGCCCCTCCTGCACCCTTTTCCTCTACAACAACAAACAAAAGACTTTGTTCTGTCCTGCTCTGCGAGCATCACTCAGGGTGTCTGGTAGCTGCTAAAAGATGCTTACTGCTGCCACATCAACAAAAAGCAAAACAAAAGAGACATTTTCAAAATTAGTGTAGCACACGCCAACTTCTAAGAGCTCAGCTGGTGCATATACTCTTGCTTTTTTCATACATTACACATTATGGCCGTTATGGCTGCTCTCGCGGTCTGCCTGTATCTGTCCTGTCTATATGTGTGCGTGTAATCTTGGTCAGGCTGTACTGTGGAGTCAAGTTCCTATGCTCTGGATCGCTGGAGCGCTGGCAATAAAATTCTTTCTGATTCTGATAAAAATGTGTTGAATGACCTCAATTACTCCTCAAAGCAAACATCTTCACCTGTGTGGCTAAATATCTGCATGCTACAGTTTTATGCTAATGAGTCTGTTGTATGCTCAAGTCCTTGTGTGTGTTCCCTACCAGAGCGAGGTAGGCTTTGGTGACAGTTCGGTCCTTGAAGCAGCGATAAGCCCGACCAGCAGCAGCTTTATTGAGGGCCACGCAAAGAGCTCCGCTGGTGGAGAAATCCAACTGATGACAGAACCTGGAAGAAGTAAACAAGAGTAAGGTCTGTGCTCCTGTTTAGGAAGCTTAATGCATAAATTAAGACGAGCAGCGACCTAAATCCGTAGTACGTGCTGGGATCCGCCAGACGAGGAAAGTGGTGCTGAAGCTGCTTTTGCACCGTCAGTTTTTCATACCACATCTTGCTGTCGATGCGGATGTCCCAGTGTTTGTCCACCACGATGTAGTCATGGCTCTGGTGTAACACACACAGGCTCTCGATGCTCGCCGGCTCTGTGCTCATTGTGCACAGCCACCAACCCTGCAGAGTCAATATGATCATCGCTGAAGGCAAACATTCTTTATGTGTTATTTGTTGATCCATTGCACCCTCACAGAGGTGTTGGAAAGTATTTTTACGTCACTAACAGTTAATAAAACTTCATAGAGCAAATGTTTTCTCCCAAAGTAACTGGGAGCGAGTGTTATGTGAAGTTCTGGATTCAGAAATAAACACAGGATTACATTTAAAAGTCTCTAATTTAATAACTAAGCACAATGCAACATCAGTTTCAATGTTTTTAATCTTCAAAATGTAAAAGAAGATAAACAGCTTGATGGTTTAGCATTTAGAAACAACTTTAGGAGCTATAATTTAGAACCTCATTAACAGGACTCGGAAAACGTGATTGGGGACGAATTAGTAGATAAAATGTGGTGGCGGTGTCTAAATAAAGGAGTTCTGTCAAAATAAATAGCTTTGCTTCAGCATGAAACATAAATTCTTCCAAATTTGAATGTTGCAAATGAGCAAAATAACGTTGGTTCATAAACTACGACTCTTTTGCCGATATGTATTAAATACACATTTTCTCTTTGACAAAATAAACCAATATTAGATTTATAAGGATACATTAGGCAGTAATTTACCTTCACTGCTTGTCAAAAACATGTATTTAAACCAGAAAGCGTTCTCTTCCGAAAACACGTGTGCGCGTGCGCAATCTTTTCGACCCTGCCTAGCAGATGGAAAATGTGGGTTATACCGCCACCATCTGGCGTGGAGAGTAAACGTCACAACATTTGGTTACAACGTTGATGTACGGAAGTGAGTTTAATGGCTAAAGGTTGTACTCTAGTAAGAGTAGCGTTACTTTATCATATTTTTACTACAGGTAAGTTGAAGTAAAAAGTATTCATTAAAAATAATAGCATTGCTAAAAATGCACCAGAGTTAGCTACCTCTATTTTTTATTCATTATCTCTGTCCTTTTCTTTTCTTCACAAATTTTACTTTTCCTAATTTTATGGTAGTTTAAAATCTTTTTTACTTTTTAATTGTTGATCTTGTGAAGCACCTCATGATTTGTATCTTGAGAGGCGCTGATGATATGACACAAAACATGCAGATTTTCCAAACCAGGAAGCAGAGAGAAGAAGGTATTGTCTACCTGTTCAAGATTCCAATTATTTTACAATCTATTTAAAGTGGATCCACTTGACCTTCAGCAATCCAGCAGATTCAGATCAGACTGTAAGGGTGGAAGTTGTTAGCATTGTTGCCTTGAAGAGAGAAGGTTGCAGGTTCAAATCCTGGCTACAGTCTTTCATGTTTTCATGCTTGAGTTTTCTCCTGGTACTCCATCCCACCCCCCCACCCCCCCACCCCCCACCCACCCCCACCCCCCACCCCCAGACCAAAAGCAAGGATGTCAGGCTGACTGGAGACTCCAAACCTTCCCTAGGTGTGACTGAGTGTGTGACTGGTTGTTTGTCTCTGTGTGTCCTCATGGACATGCAACCTGTCCAGTGTGTCCTCACCTCTTGCCTGATGACTACTGGAAATACGCACCAACACTCACAGCTCCCCATGACCCTAGTGTGGACCACTATGACTGCAAAGGATTTCCATGATCAGCCTGCATGAAAAACTCAGAGTGACTGATTATTATCAGGAATAACTAAAAAATAAGTTTTCACTGTTCCACACCTTTAAAGCATCTTGATAGAGCATTAGGCTTAGTACCTTAGTCAGAAACCTGCCAGATCCTATTTCTTTACCCATCTACTGCCCCCTGGTGGAGCATCTACAGATAACTAGGGCTTGTTTTCTTTATTCAGCCTTTAAAGAGTTAAAAGAATACTCACTAAAATGAAGAAATTAGACAAATCTTGATCAGTTCAGTCAAAAAGGGAGAAAACATTTTAAACTAAATCTCAGATGTGCTTTAGATCTTGATCTTCTATTGATTATTTTAGAAAATCTTTTCACTAAATGAAAATACTTCCATCTTACCTATGTGGACACACACACACACACACACACACACACACACACACACACACACACACACACACACACACACGCACAAAGCATTATTTGAACTCAAACTCAGCGAACACCAATGTTGGCACCCAGACAGCAACAAAACAAAGGACTTCAGCAAGGTCAACAGAGGTAAGCGGACAGGTCGTCACAAAACAAACGTGCATGAGCAAATCTGGCGTGTTTTCAGTAAAGGAAAATATTCAAATAGAAATGATCGGCTGATATTTAAGAATGCATGGTTAAAGAATAAAACACTTCTGTTTTCAGGCTGTGAGACATCCTCCTCTGGTCCAAAGGCTAGATATTTATTGATACCTGTCTGGAGCAGACTGTTCTGAAACACTGGTGAGTAATCCCTCATCACAGCAGCTGTGATGATTACAGCATAAGTTACATTTCATAACACAATCTGCTTCCCCGTGTGAGTTTAATGCAACAGTTCAGATGCTGTGCTGTCTCTGTCATTGCCTTTCCACCCATTGTTGCATAATATTCCACCTTGCTGAGCACAAGATTAGCGTATTCATTTGGGAGTGCGCTGACAACAAAGCTCTGCACAGATCAGAAGGTGCACGTGGTGCAGTACGCCGGCACGGACATCCTGAATGCAGTGGAGAGATAAAGGGAGGAGATGAAGAGGAGAGAGGCTGCAGGCTGAGAGATGCACAGGTATCGACTGAAGGAGGATGTCTGTTTCTTCTCCGACCAACAGCTGGATGTTTGAGTTATTTCTTAAAAGACATTTTTTTTCCTTTTGTAAATAAGAAAAAAATGCTTTCACTTTAGCTGATCTGTTGTTTTTGAAACGCTCACGGCTCCTTGGCTTAATTTTTCACCATCCCTGGATCTTTTGTGGCCTTCAAAGTTTTGATTCTGTACCAGAATCTATAGACCACTGTCTCCTTTTCTGTTTGATTTCATATCAGACGCATCAGAAGCCTTAGATCAAAACAATTCCTGCTGAGTACGACGCAGTTCTTCAACCATGCCTAACAGCTCCTTCCTCCAGGCTCGTTGCGACGAGCCTTTAGTGACGTCGGACTGGGGCTTCCCGCTGCTGCTGGCCCTGCTGATGCTGGTGCTCATCTACTGCTTCCTGTACCTTCCCGCCATGGCCCAGCGAGCCCTGCTGGAGCAGGCTCTCAGCGCCAACAACACCACCGCTGTGACGCAGTAAAGATGGCCAAAAGTACACTCTCCATCAGACGGCCAACATGGACTCTCTTCATCCCTTCTGTCGAAAGTTATTTTACTTTGTTGGGCGAAGGTGACAGTGGCAGGTTGCAAGTTCAAGTCTCACTCAGTCTGTCGCGGCTGTTGTGTCCTTCAAGACATTTCACTCTCCTTGCCCACTGGTGGTGGCGCCGGTGAACAGCAGCTTCACCTCCATCAGCACGCCCCAGGGCAGCTGTAGCTACACTGTTACTCACCACCAGCAGAGTGTAAATGTATGCATGCGTGGGTGAATGACTAATTGTGCTGTAAAGCACCTATGGGGGGTTGTTGCATGGAAACAAAATAAAAAGACCTGAAAACGATGAAAGGAGGTGTGTTATTCCTAGCAACTAGAAAATCAGATTGTGGATTTTTGTTGTAATGATGTCAACATTTCTAATTATTGACATATTTAAGCAGCATAATTACTTAAATTAGATTTAACCCTTGATATTTAATCATTGACATAATGATATTTTATTAAAAAAGCTGGAGAGGTATGGGTTCAGAGGTACAGTATTGGATTATGTAACTAATAGGCAACAGTTTGTACAGATAGATCAAAGTAAATCTAGACTCATGAATATAAATTGTGGGGTACCTCAAGGATCCGTCCTAGGCCCAAAAATGTTATGTACATAAATGATATATGTAAAATATCAACGCTATTCATATTTGTTTTATTTGCAGGTGACACAAATATTCTATGTGCTGGTGTGGATTTGCAGCAGATTCTTGGGGAAATCACAAAAGAAATACATGTTATAAACAAATGGTTTGATACAAATAAACTATCATTGAATCTAGATAAAACAAAATTCATGTTATTTGGAAAACACATAAAAGTATTGTGGTAAATATGACTATTGATGGGGTTAACATTGAAAGGGTTACTGAATTTAAATTTCTTGGGGCAATCGTGGACCACAAAATCTGCTGGAAACCACAAACTGAATATGTTAGGTGGACGTTGGCTCGGAGTTTTGCCATCCTAACAAGAACAAAACATATTCTCAATTGTGAAGCTCTTCATACATTATATTGTACACTACTCTCACCCTATCTGAGTTACTGTACGGAAGTGTGGGGAAATACATGGTCACTGTTGCAACTGTGCAGTCCAACAAAACAAGGCTCTCATCTATACGGTATCAATACTTTATAAACTTTTCTAAGTTTTTACTGCTCTTCATTTCTATATGAATGAAAAATTTGTTCTTTGAATTTTCTTTATGTTCTTACTTTGCTTTATGTCATCGGTTAGACCATTCTGTATTTTAACAGCTGCCACTGAGATACACCAGCTTTGTAATGTTGTTCTGCAAGCATGTGTTTTAAAACTCAAATGGGCTCTTAGGTTGTGCCCTCCACCCTTTACATGAAACAGTTTCAATATCTTTGGGGGAAGTTGGTTGTTTTTTGCCTTATACTATATTTGTGCTGTTTAAAATTAAACCAGATGTGGAAATTTCAGTAGTCCGATCTTTACAAATAGTTCATTAGTATGATCTTTATATCCTGCTTGATTTATTAATCTAATAGCCCGTTTTTGCAGTAAATTAATTGTTTGTAAGTTACTCTTGTACTTTGTTGTATTTCTTTTTTTCTTTATTTTTATTTTTTGGGAAAAAAATGTGTAAATTTGTTAAAATGAATGAATTGATACTCTTAGTTTAAATAGGATTATTTTTTCTCTTCTTTTGAAACATTAAATATGTAAAGGCGGTAGGGCCTTAAAAGTGTATACTTCAACCTACCTCTTCAAACAATGTTGATTGTCACAAATTATGTTATTTACTTCATTTTTTAATTGCTAATGTTTAAAATAAAAACAAACAAACAAAAAAACATCTCTGAAATTGAACAGTTTATTGAATGACAGGATGCTAATTATGTAACTAGACTTTACGTATTTTGTAATTTCCCTCTTGCAGTACCTACGTCCTCCACTAGAGGGACTATGCAGAATTCAATGCAGCTGGTTTCTGAGGAATGTACCAATCCTGTTATTGAGAAAGGTTCTAAATAAGTTTATCTGGTATATTGTTAATGACTGTAGAGTTTATCTAAGCTAATACAAGAGATACAAGGAAATGGCCCTTCTCCTTTCTTAGTTTGATGTTTTTATGATTTATTTTGACATAAAATTCAATGGAACTGTAGATAAATGCCAAACCCACATCAACCACATTTCACACCTTTACAGTATTGTTTAGTGGAAGGAAATCAGATGTAGATTCATTATATTTCATCAAAATTGCACTGCATCTTGTCCATGCTCATTCAATAAACAGAATATTAACACAAAAGCAATTAAAGTTTAAAAAAAGTGTAGTTAGAGTTTTTTTTTTATTGGAGCTGAATCATCTGCAACTGAGCAAAATTTAAGATTTTGGAAAAACTCACCAGAAAGAACAAATGAATGAAGTTTTATTTGCCTTTATTAAACAATACATGATACTAGAGTGGACACCGATATGTGAATGCAGCAATTAATTTTTACAAGAGGATTCCAGATACCCAGGCAGCGTTTTCCAGCTTTTAAAAGATCCTTGTAAACGGTTTCAGCTGGACACTGCTGACATCTGAGTGTGTGCCTGTACACTTATCTTTATTTTATTTCATATCACGTTACGTTGTAGGATAAAGCAGTAAAAAACGGAGGGAAATCCTTGCTTAGCCATGCAAAACTCAACAAACCAACATCTATAGTTCATCTTAAACCACAACAGCTCACAATGACAGAGTTCAAACATGTCCAACAACACACACGGTAAGAACCCTCGTCTTTTAGGGGGGTTTCCATTCATCCCGCCGTGTACCTCCCAGATTAAAACCAGGACTTCATTTACATCTCGTGTTTTTAGCATGATGACAAAAACGAATCAAATCCTACAGGACGTGCATGCATCTCTTTCTACAATGTACACAGTTCAGCTACAGCTGAGCTCTGTTGAAAAGCGCCACACAGAAGTTTAAAAAGGATGGTTTGAAAAACAGGAAAAGATACAAAGGAATGTGTTTAAACTCCTTGATGTTTAGAACATTCATCTTTACATTCTGCTTCCATGAAAGCTTGATGCGTTGGTGAGATAGTCAGAATGTGTCCTCTTGTCCTTGTACGAGTAACTTTATGTACCTGGAGTTTCAGATGAGGCTATTTATGTCAGGAAGTAAAATATTTCCTTTCTGCAGTAGTTTGAGATCAAGAACGGCGTTTGCAAATGTAAAGAACCAAGTTTTCCTCCTGTTCTTGAACAACCTCATTTCAGAGAAATAGACCCACTTGTATAGTGCCTTTCAGAGTCAGAGGACTCCAAAGCGTGTTATACTACAGTGTATCATTCATCCATTCACACGCACATTCACACCCTGGTGCTGATGAGCTACGGTGTAGCCGCAGCTTCCCTGGGGCGCACTGACAGAGGTGGAGCTACTGATCCTCCGACCACCACCAGCAGGCAATTGGGTTAAGTGCCTTGCCCAAGGACACAATGTCAGAATTCTCTTCCAGGAGCCAGGATTGAACCTACAACCCTCCAAATACCTGATAATCCGCTCTCCCTTCTGAGCTGCTGCTGCTTGATCCAACCAGACTGATAAGCTAATGGCTAGTCCAAATGTTGCCTCCATCTTAAATCAGCGGCAATCTGTTAAACCGTTCATCGTTGCATGCCAACATCATTTATGAAATAATTACTGCTTTCAGTTTAATTTTACAAAGTTGTTTTTAGCAGGAAGGTTCACTTCCAGCTGGACTTGAGCCCTGGATGCATCATACCTGCTGCGCTTCGCTGCTAACAGAGGAGTTCATGTGATCAGAGTGATCAGAAATAATATTTCAGGGATTGCTATGGAACGTAGGAGCTGCTTTAAGACTTAGTGGTAGATGGTCTTCAGTCAACTCAGTTTCTCCAAACTGAGGTTGTTCAGGAAGTTACAGGGTGGAAGATAGTAACTACAGTTCAGGAGTGGATTACTCGCTTAATCAACACATTTGCAGTGGTCTCTAGTCAGAATGAATGCCTTGTAAGTTGTTCTCGGGGGAAAATATACCGTGGACCATTACTCTGACCTAAAAGTCACAGACATCATATATGCTGACACCTCGTGGACTGGCGCTGCCTACTGGAGCTGTTGTAGTGGCCGGCCACCATCTTGGATGGGTCAGCAACAGCAATGCGACTCTACCCCTGACTTGCAATGTGAATGTTTTATCACATCAAATAACGCAAACCTGGAGGAGCTTCTGCCATGAGGTGATATTGCTAATGCTAATGTCCGGTTAGCTTAAACTAGCCAAAAAACTAGCTGACTCTGCTGTTTGCTGGATGTTAAAACAACAACAGCCTTCCTCGTTGTGAGTCAAGATCGGTGAGTCCATGAATGCTAATTCACAGTGTGATGTGGATTTGTGAGGATTGTCTAATCATAGAGTTTCACCACCTGTTTTCTATGAGAAGCTAATTCATGAGATAGGTGTAGGAGAACGTGTGTTACACTTTCAGCCTGCATGAAAAATGCAAATTGATTGATTATAATCAGAAAAAATGTTTTTCAGTCAACCCTCTACATGTGTTTTTAACTGGTGGTTTGAGTCCTTTTTTGGTCACATTTCGTTCTGTCTCTATTGGATGTTTAACGCAACTTAACTATAAAAATAAATTAAAATGAAAAACCTGCCAAAAATGTTTTTCAGTGGTAACATTATTATTTTTTTATAGTTGTTGTCTTAAAAATACCTTGTTCCAAATAAATAAAATGTTGGTTGAACGAACACACTGATTTGTGTTTTATTCTCTCGTCTCTGTCACAGTTTATCGTTACCATGAAGCAGAAGCATTACATCACTACAGCTGTAAATTTGATAACACACACACACACGCACGCACACACACATGCACACACACACACACACACACACACACACACACACACACACACACACACACACACACACACACACACACACACACACACCGAGATAATCCTGGGACAAACTGGACAGAAAAAAGGTATAAGAAGAAAAAGGGCTTCCTGTCAGTGTGAACGGGGCTGTTCTTAGAGGACGGACATGTTTTTAATTCCACTCCTTGCTGATGTTGATGTTCCACCCCCAGGATAGGTAGGCGTTCTTGTCATCATCGACAAAGCAGGATTTGATCTGATATTGGCCGCGTGACATCAGGCCCTTAGGTGTCTCATCAGCCGGGCAAAGGAACTCCTGCTCCTCAGCTCGAGGGCCGTAGCTTCCCATCATGCACACCATGCTGCTCTCTGGGGGAAGAGGCAAGATGCAGAAGAGATGATAGAGAAATATCGATTCTAACTTCTTACTTAAAGATAAGAGCTTCTGGCTGAGTAAATCCAACTAAAGTGAACGTACGTCTTACTCCTTTTCTGTAGGCCACGTGACGATACCTCAGGCCAGAAACTATTTCTCTGTTCACCTGCAAAAACATAGTTTTACACTTTAATGGTTGAGATCTCATAATGTGTCTCCTCTGTTAAAATCATTTCTAATAAAATGGCAGCAGATAGGAGTTCACATTTCCCATCTCGAAGCATTCAGCTCTATAGGACGGCAGTAACAACATTATTCCAGCAGGTGTCCCCGCAGCACAGAGGAGTCAGCTGGCGCTGTAGTTCTTGTTCCAACTACTGTACACCACAAAGAACAGCCAGGAGCATTAGTTTTCACCAAAGCAAGCAGTTGCAGCAAAGGTTCACATAAATGTATTATGAGCATGAATATCAGGTTCATTTTAAGGCGTTTACTGATTTGAATTCTTAATTTTCCATGGTGGAATGATAATATCACTTATAAACAATGATTAGGCTCACAAATCATCTCTCCTTCAATCAGGGTCAGAGCTATACAGGCAAGCCTGGTTATATAATAATAATAGTAGTAATAACAACAACAACAATACGCCCATCTAAATGTTTTAATAAAGGGGACTAAAAGTTCTAGAAAGACTTAAATTAACAATAGCTAGTTCTTTAAACTTTAAGCTAGCACTTGAACATTGATCTCAGTGATTGTTGGGTCACAGACTTGACCAGTTTCATTTTTGACACCACTTTGCTGCCCTCAGCTGACCAGAAACTGGGCTTGATAGTTTTGTGGAGTGTGCAGGTGTCCTAGGGGTGCTCTAACTGCTTTACGGCTGTTAGCTGTAATGCTAGCAGTTAGTATTTTCAGTTCAATGGGGGAAAAAAGCACAAAAGGAAGAAAAAGAAGTTTGCTTTTTCTCTTGCCATCCTTGTGGAGCCTGGAAGTAAAAGTAAGAGAGACTTTGGAGGCGACTCAAAGGATGACTCTAAACTTTTTGCTTTTAAATCAAGACAAGACGGAAGTTCTCATCTTTGGACCAGAAATCCAGAAAAGGAAATTGCTTAGCCAATCGCCTGACCTGAATGGCTTTACATTAATCTCCGAGAACCAAGTAAGGAACCTTGGTGTTATCTTTGACCAGGACATGTCATTCAAATCCCAGGTTAAACAGGTTTGTAGGATTTTCTTTTTCCACCTTCGGAATATTGCTAAGATTAGAAGCATCCTTTCCAGGAGTGATGCTGAAAAACTAGTTCATGCATTTATTACATCAAGACTGGATTACTGTAATTCATTATTCTCAGGAAGTCCACATAATGTAGTTAAAAGTCTTCAGCTTGTCCAAAATGCTGCAGCTAGAGTTCTGATGAGAATTAAAAAGAGAGATCATATCTCTCCTGTCTTAGCTTCCCTACATTGGCTACCTGTTAAATTCAGAATAGATTTTAAGATCCTCCTTCTCACGTATAAAGCTCTTAATAATCAAGGTCCATCATACATCAGTGACCTGATTGTTCCATATGTTCACTCTCAGACTGCAGGTTTACTGGTGGTTCCCAGAATATCTAAAATTAGGATGGGAGGCAGATCTTTTAGTTATCAGGCTCCTCTCCTGTGGAACCAGCTCCCAGCTTTAGTCCGTGAGGCAGACACTTTGTCTACTTTTAAGACTAGGCTTAAAACATTTTTATTTGATAGGGCCTATGGTTAAAATTTGATGTTAGCCTAAATCTGGACAAGTGGGGGAGTAGAGGGAGGTGGAGTGTACAATCGGTAAAGACGGCTCTCCCTTGCCCTGCCTCCAACATGCCTCCATCTAAATAGGATAGGTTATCCAGAGTTATCTCTGTAGTTATGCTGCTATAGGCTTAGACTGCTGGAGGATACACTGACCACTTTTCACACTCTACTACTTTATTCTACAGTCTGCTCTTTAACTGTATTATTTTCTGCTATTTCAGCTGTTAACTTTATTTTCTCTCTAAGTGTTTTTCTCTCCAGAAGAAGCTACAATGATGTTCTGCTGAGCTGTGGTGGCCTCATGGAGGGGGCCATCGTCTAGCACACTGCTGCTAACCACTTAAACTTTCTCCCTCTCCTGATAATAACATTTTATTTTCTTTAACACTGAATGTGCTACTACTAGTTTACCCATTTAATTATAGATTCACTAGGATAAATACAATAAAGTTTATCTCTCATCAAATAGAATATTTACTAACAAATCACAATGTAACTATAGAAACACTACTTGTGTGTGTGTGTGTGTGTGTGTGTGTGTGTGTGTGTGTGTGTGTGTGTGTGTGTGCATGTGTGCGTGTGTGCGTGTGTGCGTGTGTGTGTGTGTGTGTGTGTGTGTGTGTGTGTGTGTGTGTGTCTGCTCTGTCTTCTCGATCCCCAGTGAGTTGTGGTGGATGGCTGCTTATACTGAGCCAGGATCCTCTGGAGGTTTCTTCCTGTTAAAAGGGAGTTTTCCTCTCCACTGTCACTTTATGCTTGCTTAGTATGAGGATTGCTGTAAAGTCACTGACACTAGTCAGTGACTTGATGCAATTTGCTGGGTTCCTTATATAGGAAACATTATTTCTGATTGGCTTAATGAACTGACCTGAATTGGAATGTTTATTATGTGAAGTGCCTTGAGACGACACTTGTCGTGATTTTGCGCTATATAAATGAACTTGAATTGAATTGAATTGAATAGATAAAACTGGTATAAATATTGGTGCAGCCTACGCTAGTTTGAGGGAGCTAAAGGATGCTACAAAATCACGTACTGATGGTGACCTGCCTTTGTTGCTACTGGACTTGTAAGTAACAATGTTATTTGGTGTAGATCTTTTTGCTTTTGTGGTTTATTTTAGAATCAGTTGGCTCATGTTAGTGTTAGCTCGTTGCTAGCGTTAGCTACAGCAGACGGCTGCAGGGTTGTTTATGACAGTTGTAATTCCACTTTCAACCAGTAGGGCGGAGGAGCAGGAAACTGCTCTCAGTTACTTTAACTTGACAAATCCAAATCTTATTGACTCCTCAGTAGCAGTCTTGATTGACTGAAGTTTTTGATTGGATCTGTCAAACATGTCTTATATTGATCAGTTTTGTGAAGAAACAGGTGCACTAACAACGGCTACACACAGTTGCAGATGTTCAGATGTCCTTCTCAGAAGCAGAACTTCCTCTAAAGGAATCCAGCCATTACCTTCCCTGCTCCCTGAAGTTCTCATACTCCCACCTTCTGTAGCATGAGAACATCTGTAACGTTTGGTACTGCTTTAGGGTCACGGGAAGTTGGTGCTCCAGCAGTCACAGAGCCAGAGGACACTTTCTGCACATCACCAGTCCACCACAGGGACACAAATGGGACACACAACCAGGTACACACCCATGCACACCTAGGGACAATGTTGTTAACCTAGCCTAGACAATTTAACCTAATGCATGCTTTGGGCATTTGGGAGAACTTAAAGAATACTTGAAAAAACCCACACATGGACAGGAAAAACATGCAAACATCACACAGGAAGACTTCAACAAGGTTTTGAACATGCAACCTTCCAAGGCAGACAGTGGCACCAACTGTGCCACCATGCATCCAGAATGACAAAGGAAACTGGTTTGGATGTTCACAAAAAAACAAGAATCCACCAAGACTCAAGTCCACCATGACACGGATGCTGCTGGAACACCAGTTTCCCTCTGTCCATGGTGACACCAACTTCACACCATCAAGAACAGCAGGTTCTTTCTTGGTCTTCAAGCTGGACTGGAATCTTCAGCTCCAGTCATACAAGCTAAATGTCCTCTGGAGATAAAGTCTGAGTTAGTTGGTCTAATAAACAACGTTGAAGCCACTCTTGAGCATGGAGGTGGTCGCATCACAACGTCTTCATCTGAACAGCTTAGTTGAGTGTTACGCGCAACCAAGGACGTAATTTTCACTTTAGAAGTGAGGGGGGGGGGGGGGGGTGTATCTTTACAATATGTTCTAATGGGAAACCGGCTTCAACACGAACGGTTGCTTTTCGCTTGGTCCTACAGCTCCACCAGTGTCAATTTAATATAGCGTAATATTGTTTTTGGATGGTAAAAAGTGCAGGGGTCAAAACTTGACTTTGGAAAAAATGGGGGGGACATGCCCCCCCGTCCCCCCTCAAAATTAGGTCCATGCGCACAACCAAACGTATCTGAGCTGGTTTCTGACCGGATCAATCAGGTTAACATCAAATTTCTTCAACGGCCTTCACAAAACTCAGGCCTTGTCCACACGTAGCCGGGGATCTGCCAAAACGTAGATATTTTTCTACGTTTGGCCTGTCATCCACACGAAAACTGAGCTTTTTCACACGAAAACGGATCTTTTTAAAAACTCCGGCCAAAGTGAAGATCTGCGTTTTCTCCGTTTTGGGTGTCTGCGTGTGGACAGACATAACCGGAGTTTTAAGGTCCGCAACGTCACTTTCCGCGACAAAAAAATGCTGACATCACGTGTGCGACCTGTGTTTACACTAGCCGACAGCATGGATGCCCTCAGAGCTGCGCTCGCTTTGTCAATTGTCCAAGCGCTTTTTGCTTGTTTGTTTTTGCAAGCGGAATTACTGCTCCTTGCGGAAGACCACAGACGAAGGACGAGGATAAGAACGGGGGAAGTACTGCCGCTTACAGGTCTGGCATGTCCCTAACAACGTATTTATCCGGGAACGTGTGGACAGAGTTTTTTTTTTAACGAGGTGGTGTGGATGCAAGTTTTTGGAGGGGCAGATATTCGTTTTTTTAAAAACCCAGCTACGTGTGGACTAGGCCTCAGACGGCAGTTCTCTTGGCGAGGTGTTGATTTTGATTAAAAGGTGGATTTGTCCCAGGAAACTAAACCAAATTTGTTTTTTCAAAGAGCCATTCAGATCCAACAAGGTTATACTTACCTGATCTTTCTAAACTCCATTCAGACTTATCCATCCTACCTTGAAGTACACCTTCAGCCTGTATTTCACTCCTTCTTGTAGGGTGAAGCTTTTCTCTTCCAGGGCGCTCAGATCTCCTGCACAAGCACATAGTCAGCATGACATTACTCACCTTTCTTTATAAAAACCAGATACCTTTAGAGCAAGTTCTCTCTCTCTCTCTCTCTCACACACTCACACACACACACACACACACACACACACACACACACACACACACACACACACACACACACACACACACACACACACACACACACACACACACACACACAAAATCAGTTTAACATTTAAATAGTGACTTTGACATGTCTTTTTTGTACTTCATTGAAAAAACGCATCTCCTATTTCTTAGTTGTGCAGCTGAGTTGAACAAGTTTAAACAGAAGGATTGAACAACAAATTCATAAACCCATCCACTGTCGAATCACTTTATAAGTCCATTTAAAGCCATCCGTGGGTCCTGAGTGCTTCCTAATGGATGGAACAAGATGAAGGAGAGATAAAAGATTAGAGTGGATACAAACAGGATGGTAGGGCTGTTTTGTGAGGCAGAAAAACGAACTCTCGTAAACAAACATCATGTGGGACTGAAGGTTTTGTGTCTCTGACGTTCGGAACATTTAGGTTGCTAAAAATGTTAAAACCTTCTGTAACTGTGCTTGGAGGTATGATTTTAGAGCTCCATTATGTCAGAAACAGTCAAATGAGATAAACATATGGTTTAGAAATGATCGCTCCATCAGTGTTACTGTCTCATTTTATTCAACCCTTCTCACTATGACAACCACAGATCGGCGTGTGCAGCTCATTCTGATTCACCTCCCATCTCCCGAGATGGAGAGAGAGGAGGGAGGATGCTGGCCTCCCCTGGGAAAGTCAGACTCAGAAATTAGGTCAGGATGGGGAGCTGTCTACCTGCTCCCTCTCTCACACACACACACATGCTGTGCTGTCATGCATGCAAACATGAGCATGCAGAGGCCACATGCTAAACACACTGGTCTTGCAGCTGAAGACTTGCACTTTGCAAATGTCACTCAGACGGCAGAAAACATTGGAAAATAAATCAGCAGAATGAAAGTCGCTTTAGAAACGACCAGAAAACGGCTTTACTTTTGAAGTTCCTCCCACGAAATGCAGGTTAGTTTTTCTGTTGGTTCTAATTTGACTCTCGTAGGTGTGAGTGGGAGTATGTATGGTTGCTGGGACAGATCAAATTTGTTCTCTGCATATGATCCATCCCCCGAGGGAGCGGTGAGCTGCAAACACCACCGTGGAGGTTTAACCCCCCAATCCAAATCCATAATGGTGAGTGTCAAGCGAGGAGGCGCTGGGTCCCATTCTCTAACCCTAACCTTAACGTCTGTCCCAAGGCGGACACTCGTACCACTAGGCCACTGAGCTGGTAAGAAACTGAGCTGATACAACACACCCTCACCCCTGCCTTCCGAGGGGGACGCAAAAAGTTATATGTCTCCTGGGGGGAACTAAAGGCAGTAACTGAGAAACACTGGCTTAGACTGAACTGCCTGGCATTTAATAAAGTAGTAAGTGGGAATTTGAAGTGAAATGAAATTGGATTTAGCACAGCAGTTACAGGCAACAAACTGGAACAAACCATGAAATGTTTGGAAAAATATTTCCCAAGCTCTGATTTTTTATCACTCCAAATATGAAAAAAGTCTGTCCATCCATTTTCTGTCAGTGCTTGATTTCAGGAATTATGTGACTAAAAGAGTCCCCCTTTGTGACATCACAAAAGGGGAAAATAGCATTGAACCACCTCTCACATGCTTAAGAGAGCTGCTGCTGGAGGAGCAGCCCCATGAGATGTCTAAGCTGCATCTGTTACACACCTGCTTAGACTCTATCAAAGCCTGGATGGCTGGGAGCTTTCTTCAGCTGAATGAAGATAAGACTGAGATCCTCATCTGAGCCCCAGACAAGCTGGTTCCCAAAGTCAGAGACTCTCTTGGTCAGCTTGCTTCCCACACCAAACCTTCTGTCAGGAATCTTGGCGTGACCTTTGACCCAGCTCTCACCCTGGATTCTCATGTCAGTTCTCTTGTTCGCTCTTCCTTCTTCCATCTCAGGATCGTTGCTAAGCTGAGTCCCATTCTGTCCCGCTCTGAACTTGAGACTGTTCTCCACACCTTCATCTCCTCACGCTTAGACTACTGTAACTCTCTTTTCACGTGTCTGAGCAGAACCTCCCTGAACCGTCTACAGGTGGTTCAGAACGCCTGTGCTCGGCTTCTGACCAAGTCCTCCAAACACACCCACATCACCCCGCTTCTCCTCCAGCTTCACTGGCTGCCAGTCAACTTCAGGGTTCATTTCAAGATCCTGGTTCTGGGGTCTCATTTATCAAACATTGCGTAGAATCCTTACTAAAACCGTACTTAAGCTCAGCAAAAAAAAAAGTACTTATGCCAAGTAGGTTTGTGATCTATCAGACATGGAGTACGCACAGCTGCACGCAATCTCCGCTTCATAAATCAGAAACTATCTAGAAAGGTCCTCAGCTGCTTTTTAGTCGCATCCCGCCCTCACCACGCCCACTTACTGCCATATATAGTCAATGCAAAGTGCCTTGTGGATCTCATGCATATACATAAGTCGGCTTATTGCAGCATTTCGATCACGACCGCAGATCAAGGAAGCGCTATTTCATAAACAGAAATTGAGGGACTTGTGGGTGAGGTGGAGAAATGAAAGGAAGTGCTTTTGCAAAACAAATAAGAGAAAATCTGGAGTGGCACAACGTTGCTGAAGCAGTCAATGCTGAGTTCTTCAGAGAGATCTGTGGCGGATTTAATGAAAACCATCCGATAAGGATTTCATCCCCAGACTCCCGGGTGAAAGTCACATGCGCTAACCAGTCAGCCAAATGGAGATCTCCCTTGTCCAAGTAGCCAGGGCGCATGATCAATAGAGTCACAGTGACAGGACACACCCTGTCACAGACACATGACGTTCGGTCTCAATCTGTCCCCGTGCTGAAATTCTGCATTCTGTGCTTCAGGCTGAGTGTGTGTGTGGGGGGGGTCTTGTTCTGTGTGAAAGCGAAGCGGTACAAGTGATAATGCTGCAGGATTTCATAATTGTATCTTCTCAGCAGCAGCACTGCAGGTGCTCTCCATGTCCAACATGTGCGTAAGCAAGGTCCTTAGTCAACTTAAAGTTGCGCACATTTTTCCTTTAAGTTTTCTTTCATAAATCCCAAACTTTGCGTGGAAAGTTGCTTACGCAGTTTTCTGACCCCGTTTTGTGCGTAAGCAAGCTTGATAAATGAGGCCCCTGGTTTTTAGGGCCTTACATGGACAAGCACCATCATACATAGGTGATATTCTCAGTCCCTACACTCCCAGCAGGTCCCTGAGGTCCAGTGACCAAAGCCTACTGGTTGTGCAGCGCACCAGGGTAAAGACCAAAGGTGACACATCATTTGCTGCTGTGGCCCCCAGACTCTGGACCTCTCTCCCCCTGAGCCTGACATCAGTGGACTCAGTGGTCTCCTTTAAAAAGCAGCTGAAGTCTCACCTGTTCAGGCTTTGGTGTGACCTTATGTTGATTCTTCACCACTTTCTTTTCATGCTGATGTTTATACCAATTCTGTCTTTCTCGGGATCCCTTGATCACCTTGTCTTATTCATTTTTGTCATCCATCACATTTTTTAAATCTAAATTTTTCATCTCTCCCAATTTTTTATTACAATATATTTTTAAACATAGTTTTATTTTCATTTTTGATGAAGCGCCTCGTGACTTTTTTTGTATCTTGAGAGGCGTTACATAAAAATAGTTTATTCTTCTAAAGTATGATACCATCCAGCACGGCACGATGCAGTAAGGACGATGCACTACATTTAAATTCAGCGCCATATGAAGCAGAGTGGTACATTGCAGTACTGTATGAAGCTGTATGTTACAGTTCGTTGCATTTTGATTTAGCATATATGACACAACATGGTACAGTGGAGCACAGTGAATTGCAATATAGGACTACGCAGCTCGATACAATGCAGTATTATTACATGTGGCGCGATATGAGTATGGTACAGTAATATGATACAATGCAGTATGGTATGGTGCAGCATGATTTGATTTAGTATGGTGTGGTCTGATATAATACAGTCCAGTCTGTGTAGTGGAGTACAACATGACATGACAATACAACTTGGTACAGTGTGGTGCAACACAATGTGAAAATATACATGCAGTATGATAAAAGTACTTCTTTTTCCCCTTTGGATATGTAAAAAAAACAAATTTTGAGTATAATCCATCAATAACATTCAGCCCATAACGTATTAAAATGTCCATGATGAAAAAAACAGCAGCATTACTGTTACAGCATTCCTCTTCTTTGTTGTACATGAAGTGTTTTATTCTGCTGGCAGTGATACATCGGGCTAGCATTCAGTTCTTTTGAATAAATTACCATGTTTTCATGGTGTCACAGAACAAATACCCTGAACAGGCACAACGCTGTTTAAACAGAGAAACAGCTACTGAGGCTGCTCAGCGTGTGTGTGTGTGTGTGTGTGTGTGTGTGTGTGTGTGTGTGTGTGTGTGTGTGTGTGTGTGTGTGTGTGTGTGTGTGTGCAGAGGTGTGCCGTCTCAGCAAAATAGCCCTCACAGCATTAAAATATAACAATGTCTATTTGATTTTAGGGCACAGAAACACTGACAATTAAAGCCAGGAACACTGACACTTCATTAGTAATAATTAAAATCTTTATTTTTTCCATTTTTTCTCCTTCTTTTTCTTTATTTTCCCTTTTTTTTCTTTGTTTTCCTTTTTTCCTTTCTTTTTTCCTTTTAATAATAATTAAATTCTATTAAAACCTAAAAGATCATGGCTGTGTTGTTTCTCTTAACACCCAGTTGTAGCGGAAATCCACATTTTATGTCCTCAGGTTAACTTTGTATGGATTTACACAGACAAGAACAATAACATTTTCACACAAAGGATTCTTTCACACTTAGCAGGACCTACAATCAAATAAATTCCGACGGACCATTTTCGAAAATCTGGCTAACTCCAACGACTCTCTCCCAGGATCGTGAA